TTATTGACTCTTTATAAATGCATTACAAAGTAAAGTATTACAACGACATTTTTTTAGTCAAATTTAGCAAAAACGTTTAAAGAATATGAAATCAAATCAAATTTGAACACAAAAATACCACTGCACAATTTCAAATTAAATGGCCGCAATTACCGCTGCTATAGTACAATACTGAGACTAAATTCACAGGCGGTGACGTCGGTTAGAGCGTCCTCTCGTTTTTCCATACCCCGTTTTTTTTTACCCTTTTTGCAAAACGCGTTTAGCTTTAAACCATGGTCGCTTTAGAAACCGTTTGGTTGATAATAACACTCTAGCTTCTGATGACACGGTCTTGCACTGTTACAAGCACTTGATACTGCTTCTTTGAAGTGGAATATAATAGGTGCCATTCGATAACGAGCACTGGAAGACGTAGAATCAGCACTAATCGAACTTGTTTATTAGGTTTCAATACTTTTTTGACTGTTTGATGTGGGTGCTGATTCCATTACTTTTCTGCTATCTCTGCTGTCTACTTCTTTGGTTTATTATGTCTGATGGCTGCTTCTTTGGTCTGTATCTCTGGCGGTTGTTTCTTTAATCTTTGTCTGGTCTCAGGTGTCGCTTGTTGTTTGGTTTTTTTTATGGTATCGCTGATTGGAATTGCTAATGGTTTCGCTGATGGTACTGTTGCTGGTATTGCTGATGCTCTTGCTGCTGCTGCTAGTCTGGTCTTTTCTGGTCTGTTATCTGTGATGTATGCTCGTTCTCTGGTCTATCTCTGGTGATTGCTTATTCTCTGGTCTATCTGTGGTGGTGATAAGTGGTAACTTCTTTGGTCTTTGTCTGGTCTCTGCTTGTAACTTTCGTTCTTTGGTTTTTCTATGGTGCTGGTGTTCCTGCTGCTGCTATTAATCTGGTCTTTCCTGGTCTGCTGTATTTGGTGCATGTTCGTTCTCTGGTCTGTCTTTGGTGATTGTCTATACTCTTTTGGTCTATCTGTGGCTGTGGTAAGTGGTAAGTATCTTCTTTCTTCTGGTCGCAGTGATATAAAACTTCTTTGAACGTTTATATGATTGCTTCCTTTCTCGTGATAATGCATTCATGATGTTTGCCTTGTTGCGCTTTTTTCTTCTTTTTTTTTCTTTTGTTGGTAGTGTTTCCTCTGTAGCTTTACAGGAAACAACATTAGTCATTATGTTGTATCGCAAACTTATAATACCACTGTTGCTTTTGCAGTTGTGCGTATTTGTGTCATGTTGCTTTACATCTGACTATTACTACCATGCGCGCTGCTCATGTAGTATGCATTTTCTTGCAATAGCAACAAGCTTTTTTAAACATCTTTGATGTTGTGTTTGTTATGCTTTTCTTTGACTCGCTTCGTGTGAGTGTGTCTTTTTTGCCTACATACTACTATACTCGTATAGTAATAATATGTTCTTTTCTTCTTTCTTTTATTATTATGTTTCTTTGAAGCATACCTTTTTTACGTTGTGTGGATGTGCCTATCCCTGAAGCTCAACAATACTTTATCCGAGGCTAGGAGGTGGATAGGCTGCCTCCACTTGGTTATCACTACTTACTTTAGTGATGATTGAGGGTCTCAACGCCAGAATCTAAAGCTAGGTGGTGTAAGTAAGGCATGCTCTAGCACCTGAGGGAAATTTGATGATAGTAACGGCTATATTGCTGTATATAGCGGAGCTTAAAATTTTGCCTCACATCAAAACAGAGGGAAACCCTCGCAATTTTTTTTTAGGTCAGCGGAGTTTTCAAGCAATCTGATTGGCTCACGGACCCAAACGGCGAAGGTCTACAACTAGTAGATTTCATATTGATCTATCATTTATCATAATTTTGTAATTGTAATAATAAAAGGGTAACCAAATAGATAAAATCTAAATCCTTTTTCTTTGTTCAAGAGTAATATAAAGTGCGATCATTTGATTTATCACCCAGTAAGCAGTTTCATGTAAGGAATGTCTTTTAAATCTATATTGTAGGGAATGCAATACTATAAGTAGCAATAGTGCAACAGCAGTACACCAAGTAACAGTTCTTTCCAGCATCAAATGCCATACTCAAACATGCGTTGCTTATCAATATTTTCCAGCTTATTTCAATTTCATCATGATTTGCTATCTTTTACCTCATTTCCAAGACTCTGGGTTTGCAAAAGTATTACCGGTTCTGAAGTTTGGGCAATCTACAATTAGGCTTTGAAATATTAGTGATGCTAGAGCTCTGACAGCAGCATGTTCCTAGCAAAGTCTTTTGAAAAAAAAACAACAGTGTAGTAGGATCTTAGATTATTCGATGGTGAGCTGCTGATCAGATAAGGATGATTTCGAAAGCAGATAATTCTTAACAAAGCCATATGTACAAAACCTATTGAAAGCTGCTAATTGCAAATTATTAAGATTATTAGATCAAGGGATTATTAGGTGTTGAGAAACGCTGTAGCGAAAACTTGATTAAATTTTCCTTTTATATAATTTGGCAAAAAATCAAAGTTGTGCTTGATGAATTTGTAATAAATAAGTCAAGTGAAATAATCAGCTTTCAACTGTATCTAAAACGAAAGCAAAAAGCTTCTTTATTACAGGACATCGAACTAGCCTACATATGAAAGATCACTGGTCAATGACTACTATGTTGGGATGGTATATAAATAACAGGTCACTATATAGGGTCACCAACGCCTTACCTATCGATTTGTCACTGTTAATTAAGAGATTATATTCGACAAATGTAGCAAAATTTGCGTTTCAATTGAGCCACCCACTATGACAACGATATTCTAAAAAAACGAATGGTCCAGCCTACATACTGCTCTGAATGAGGAACCATAATAGATTTCTGACATTTTTTGACCTCAAAACCATGCGATTCTGATGATAACACTGCCTTCCTGCTAAATCAAACTTAGAATATAATTCAAATGAGAATCTAATGATACTAATTTAACGTGTCTTGCTCTAAGCTATTAGACTAATTTCTGGTGGGATATTTTTTGTGGTTTTTTTTTTGATTGTTTTTGACACACTACCCAGTTACTGTTATTGAGACTCTACCTGTAGTACTTATGAAAGCTTAGAGTAAACAAAATCCTATCGAATGAAGTCTGGATCGAAGCTCTAGCATGACTTTCTCATTAGACATTGATAATTTTGTACCTCCAAAAAAATTATCATTCAGATTTTTGCATTGCTATTACAGGCAAATTTTGGCCAAAAATTGATAATTTTGCACAAGAACTTTTTTGATCATATCTCGGAAAAGACACATCATATTTAGATAAACCAATAGCTATTCAATAGCTCTACTTTGGTTCTATCATGATGTAAAGGCTTTATGCCATAATTACACGATCCCTTTATAATTTTGCTCAACAAAATACTGTATTTTACGATCTTTAGGCAGAAACGTTGTTGTCAAACGATTCCAAATTGAGGTACATTGGTTACGTAAATTGGTATAGAATTGAAATGTATATTAGACGGTACTACACATGTACGCAATTCTATATTGTGTACACAACAAATAAGCTTGTTTTTCTTATATTTTAATGGTGTTTAGAAAAAAAATAAGTACCAAGTCTCTACCAATTCACCTGGTACGCATGATTTTGTTGGATTAGTATACAAATTTATAGCTATCATAAAATAATAAATCTATGGTCCCTAGACACTTTCAAAGCCTCAAAAAGGAAAGAAGTTGCTCTAACAGGTATTTTGATAGAATGGCGTTATTAAATATAGAAAGCAAGAAAAACAGCATGGCTAATGATAGTGCTATGTAATTTGCCACCTAACTTCCATACGCTTCAAAAGCATCTATTACTGTATTGCCTTTATGATTAAAACGGCATTGAGTTTGTCAGCCGGCCCCACCAGCAGCCGAAATTGATTCAAATTCAGTTTATTTTTTTTTCTCTTCAAGATTGGACAGACTTTGTTTTTTTTTCGACTTGATTGAACTATTTTGTGATCTTTGACTATACAAAATGTGATAATCACCCCATGCTTTCTAATACATTCTTGAAGTGCTTTTCGAGGCGAATCCAATGAAACCAAGTAAAATAGATGCTTTGAATAAACTTATTGAGTAATTTATAAAAATATGAAAAGAGGTTTCTGGCCAAAAAGTTGAGATTTCACATATCAAAGTCCCACAAAGATGATTTCAGGGATTGCTTAGGATCAATAGCATCATTTTGATTCAATACATACCCTAGTAAAAGTCTTCATTATCAAGGTTAAAAACGCGATGGTTTGATTTTCGATGAAAACTGTGAGGGGTACCTCATGCTTTTTGGTCGAATTTTACCCATGTTTTTTGATCCCCAAAAAGTTGAGCAAAGGTGTCAGAAAGTAACTGCCAGATGAGAGCAACTGTTTGGTGCTATTCTGACGATCTAAAATGGCCTTAAACGCGAGAAAACATAGCTCAAATGCGCCCAGATTTTGCTGTATTAGGCACACTAAGGACTAAAAACGGATAATATCTGTATGTTGCTTGCCCGTATATGAAGTAGCTACGTGTATATGGATGTAGAGCATCACGTAAGAATCAGATCTACAAGTAATATGAAGGGTTTTATGTGTAAGTGGGGGGGGGGGTCAAAATGAAAGTAGCAGTATTTTGCTAAAATACACAAGGGCAATCGGTAGCGGTAGAGAGCGGCATAAACACACTCGTAATGTATCATGCGTATTTGCTGTCTACTCAACAAGCGATTTGTAAATCATGATTAGGGTGATTTATCCAGAGAATTCCAAGAGTAGCTCAAGAATTATAATGTGAAACCTTGCAATGATACTGGATATAATGAAACTCAAAGACATGTGTCCTCAAAGTTAGTCTTCTTGTCTCTACTGCTATTGGAATCATCACACAATTACGTCCTTCTGTTTATATTAAATTACTTTGTATTATTTGGTATCTTCACATGACATATATATGTTATCTAATATGTGTGCTATGGATTATAAAATGATATCAACTACAGGTGCTTAATGAGTACCATACAACTAGGCAACAAAAGTCAGTAAGTACGCCATGCTGCTAATAAGATGACTTACCGTAATATAACCATCGTTTCCACTCGCGGCCATCACCATCAGATTGGGATGGAAACCCAGAGTACGCGTTGAAGATGTCTTTTGACCCAGGAAACCAGATGTAGGACGAATGGTTGAAAGTCTATTACCATCCATGTTCCATACTTTGATGACTTGATCATCGCCCGCACTGAATATCGCTTGTGAGTATCATCTATTATAGTGATTCGTCATAATAGTAGAGCTTACCTTGCAACCACACTGCTATGATCATGCACCGCTAATGCAGTCATTTCATTGTGTGTATGTGCTTCGATCGTTCGTAGTGATTGAGATTCGCGGATATCCCAAATCTTGATATCACCTTCAAACCCACCAGAGACTAGCTCTCGATTTCCTTCACGTTGCAAATGAATACCCGTGACCCAAGCCTTGTGTTCTTCCCACTTTTTGACTCGACTAAATGGTATCATTAGAATCATGATGAGCTCTGTTTCTTGTACTCAACCTACGCTTCTTCAGGGCTCAAACGACGATCATAGACACCTATAGAGCCATCACCAAATCCTGCAATGATGATATTACCGTTGACTTGATCACTCGTGATACTTGTAACACAACCCATAGACTGTGTCGGAATATCCATGACAGGCATTTCTTGATGTACATCCCAGACCTTGATGATGCGAGCATCGCCACCTGTAAACAACAAGCCTCTTGCTTGATGCCAGTCGCAGACAAGACCACTTTGTCTCGAATTGCTCTTCTCCATGTCTTTCAAGGCTCGCCATGAACTCACTAGCACAGCTTGTTCCTGATCGCTGCCATCATAGTTTTTATACAGTCGAACAACACCGTCATCTGATCCAGTCAAAAGCAATGCCTCGTCTTCTTCGTTGATAAATTTCATGTCGGATATTCTGCTATGAGTAGGATTGTGGTTGTCAATGACGCTCAGAGGTGTGCCTGTCTTCCAGTCCCATACACTATACATGCCCTGAATCAGTAAAATAGACATAGATCATCAGAGCAGGTGCACTTACACTAGGCAGTTGTACGAATCAGCGGCTACTAAGTGAGGCTCGAATTGATGTAAAAGTAGCAAGGTTGCCTCTGTATCATTGTACATGGAATTGATTTGTTCATCCCATCGACTGGACCCTGCCATGCCTTTGGTTGCATTCGATTCTTGTAAGATCTTTTCATTGCGGTTTCTACGCCATTTACGTTGGGTATATACGACGCTGCCCGGCTCATCGGCCTCTGCAGCCTACAGAAAAAGATGTGAGTCTATGATCACACAGCCCTCCCAAGATGCAACTTACTCTCATTTGAGGCTCTGTAAAGTATTCACAGCTCCAATCATAAAAGCATGAAGAGAGAGGTAACGCATTTTCATCGAGCGCAATTGCAGCGTTGGATTTTGGAGTTAATTTGGCAGTTGCATTGCTGTTGTTGTTGCTCATGTTTGCTGCTGCTGTACGGTCCATTTGGCCTGGCTGATTTTCAGTAGAGGGATTGCCAAAATTGTAGATGGTGCGTAAGGTTGAGGCAAACGAGACAGACCTGGTCAATTTGACAGGTCGTTTGGGTGAATTGGGTGCGTCATCTGCGAATGTATGTGCGCGGTCGATGGATGCACTGTCTGGCGCTGATTGCTGGGCAGATTCACGAGCCAAGTTGGATGCATATTCGCCAATCAAAGGTGTGCTCAGTAACAACAAGTTGATGTGATCCACCACAGTAGCAGCCAGCGATGACACATCGGGATGAGGGTCCACAGACAGATTCAACAGCGTCTTCCACAGTACAGCATATACGGAGTCATAGCTGGAAGATCCAAAATGGCCATCCAACGCAGCCCTCCACTCGGACTGTCTACCACGCATCATCTTGCCACGGTCCTCGCCAAACACAGATCTCTGAGACTGATCCTCCTCGATGGTTTGGCTTGCAGCTGCTAAAAACTTGGAGGGACCTGCCTGATCCACTATATGTGATAAGGCGATGACAAATTCTTTGCGCACCATGGGGGAGCCATCCGACATGACAGTTAAGGCAGAGATGGCAATGTTGTGTTCAATATTGACAATTTGTTCCGTCTTGTTGGGGTCAGCCAGAAAAGTGCCCAGCGCATACATGGCAGAAGCACGCACCTCAGGCACATTGTCGTTCAACAGCACACACAGCTTTTCATGGCCATTTTCAGCAATAGCAGCAGATTTGGCTTCGCTGTTGTTCATCCAAACTTGAGCAAGACACAAGCAGATCCATTGGCGCAAGAGTGGATCTGGATCTCTCACATGGGCCAAACAAGCGCTGATGACATTGCCTCTCAAACAAGCCTGTTGGCCCATCTTGAAGTTTGTGCAAAAGACAGACAGGATGAAGGCGCTCATGGCTCTGTGCTCGGATACATGTGGAATACTCAGCATGGCATTGTTAGGCGTCAAGATGTTGATAAAGTAAGCATAGCCATGGTCCTTGAGCAAGTCGTTTTGACACGAGCGATCCACTGCCAGGATACGGGCCCAGATAAACACCAACACAGGCTTCAGCTCAGCAGCAGGACTTTGCAACAGCTTGAGCACGTAAGGAAAGATACCGACCGACAAGGCAGCATTCACAGCCCATGGCCCCAGATCCAGGAACTTGCTGAGCAGGATCAGTGCACGCAAACGATGCACTTGACTTAGCAGCACCTGCAGGACGATGGGTAGTTGTTCGGGAATCTTGGGGTTGACAGCACCTTCTGATAGCCACACTTCGAATGCAGTCAGCTGCTCGGAAAAGAAGGTGCTGGATTGGTATTCGTGAGGGGGGCCACCTGCCTCTGCAGCCTTTAAAGCCGGCAATTGGAAAAGACACATGTCTACAGCCAAATCCCAAGCCTGCCACATTGGGTGATCATGTGTCTCTGGTAGCTTTGGCGTCGACATGGGAGTACATTGATAAGATCGCATAATACGTTCAGCCAATAAATAGTTTCGAAACATGGAGGCAACAGTGAGATCCTGTCTGAACAAGCGTTTAAACAGCTCAGGCTCATCTTGCAAGACGCACCAAGCAATGGTATCTGTCACAGCTGTAAAAATCCAGTTCAATTCACCCAGAGGCGTGCGTCTTTCCGTTGATCTTCCTGGCAGTTGAAGCACCATGTCCATGGTGATGTTGGAGGTCAAGAGAGGATTACGCATCACTACCCATCGCAAGGACATTTCAATAGGTGTTGTCAAGCATGCTGTGAATACGTCTGCTGGTAGATCTGGGTTCATTGGCAATGTCTCTGTGGGGCCACACGCAGCCAGCTGGATACTGTCTTTCCACGACGCTTGTGTGGTGGATGTGGACTGGTGTTGCTGCTGTAAGCGCAGCGCCTCTGAATCTCGCTGCTCTGCAAACCTGTTGAATGCATTGATGATGTTGCCTGCTGCTGAACAATCCCACACATAAATCACAGGCGAGCCGAGCCACGACTGCAAATCAAACAGAGATACTGGGATGTACTGAGTGTAATTTCGGTTGAAGACCCAAATCTCGCCGCTGGTTGTTGGTTTGGGCACACCATGGCCGTTGTAGTGAAACAGAATTCTCTCTTCTTTGGCATTACGTCGCATTTGACAACACACCTTCTTGGTTTCCTCGACTGAGGGATCCAGTGAGAGCTTGAATCGAGTGCGTCCATTGATGGTCTCATACTGGTTGTGCAAACTCTTTCCAATAGCCTCAAGTGATTTCTGTGGAATCAGCAAAAATGGGTCTATCCAGCACTCTAATTTTGCACAGGGATTTGTCTTGACGATGTCTGGTGGGTCGGTGCCAATGTTAAGACAAACCACCAACAGACCTAACATAACAGTGCGTTAGCAGATAGTTGTATTAAAAGCTCATCATCATCATCACCCACCTGATACGGTCTTTATTCTTTCTCGGAGTCTCTGTTGCAACATAGTTAGCTCACACAAATATCAGCTAGACTCTCTCACTCTGTCTGCTCCTTACCCAATCCTTCAAGGCATTTCGAACGACTACATTTGGTTTCGCATTTGTGTCATGTCTTTTTTCTGAAAAGTACAGAAATCGTATAATGTCCTCTTCGTACAGTTCCTGATCAAATCCATGTCTTATTTGCGGTGAGTTGGTATTGTTAGCAGTAGGATGGGCTGTATTATTGGGTGCTCCACTTTGTTCGGGCACTACTTCAGCATCATTTCTCATATTGTGTTCCCCACTCACTAATGTTGAGCTGGTGCTTCGCGCGTCCTCGTTGTTGTTGTTAGGGTCTGCCTGCGTTGCAGCTACCATGTTCAATACTAGAAAAAAAAAAGAGACGAGAAAAAAGTTGCGAGTAAAGATAGAGAAAGAGATAGAGAAAGGGAAAGAGGTGCAATTTTTTTTTTTTTTCCTTTTTACTTTTTACTTTTGGACAACCGCTGGTCATCTTGTATCTTGGAATAGATGTCAAGTCTCGAGCCAACAGTAGCTTCATGAGATGCTAGCGAGGGAGCCCTGTGATCTCATCTCTTCTTGGCCAGCAAGATAAACAAATCCTGCACTGCAATAAGATGCAAGGCTTCACGGCGAGAGTGCTCATCCAGGATGAACATTTCGAAAGGATGTCAAATGTTACAGATGCCTCGGAGTTGACAAGATATGGTTTATTGCATAATGCTAGCAATGGAGGTGCCGAGAAGACGTTCATCATCTCAATTCATGATACATCAGACGTAGATCTGCGACAAATGACAAAGACTGCAATGTTAGCTGAGGCAAAGCAACGATAATGTCCACGAGTGAGTGCGTAGATCAACTATGCATACATCACGGATCAAAGCAGCCTGTAGTCAATAACGCAGTATTCTTGCCTACTTTGATTCCTTGGATCCAGTCTCACTCAGCACAATATAGGTGCCCACAAGGCGTATCCCAGGAAGCATGAGTGAGCACCGTTAAAAAATGCCATTGCTACCTAATGAGGAGTGTCTCAAGACCCGGCTCAATTCATCGTGATTCAGAGGCTGCTCCTGCTTTGGACCTAACTCATCACTGTATACCGAGTCAGCAGTGGTATAGATGACCACTGATTAAGACTAGTGGCATTACAGATTATAGCGTGTTTGATGGTTCTCATCAGATTTGATGTCCTCCAATGAGTGCGAGCCGCCCCTCTCCTGCCTCCCTCTAATTATACACGTACTGACAAGAAAAAAAAAAGAACAGCAGGTTTTACCAACATTTTGTTTATGCTCTTCTTTCTCTATTTCAACACATAATATGCCGTTTGATAAAGAAAAGGAAAATGGACCAGTAAACAACAACTATTATAACCACTCTTTGCACCAAATGTACAGTTCTGGTAATACGCCTTATACTAGGTCGCCTGCTTCATCGCCTTCTGTGGGTGGTAACTATGCTGGTATGCCTATGTATAATGCTGCTGCTGCTGCTGCTACCAACAACAACCGCTATCCTATGCTGCAGCAGACATCTGAAGCTGCTTCATCCCCTGGTGCAACACCTCACTTGGCTCGACAAATCTCGTATGCGCAGATATCTCGACAATCCTCTTCGCCTCACCATCATGCTCGTGCTGCTGCTGCGATGGCTCGCAATACACCAATGTCGTCCACCGTGACTATTACAGATCCCAATGATCCCAACAAGATGTTTGCCAACAAAACAGGAGGTAATAGTAATAGTGGTGGAAAGGAGGAACAACAAGAAAATGCGTGGACTTGTCTTGATATGGGCGGCATGGGCCTCAAAAACATTGCCTCAACTATTTGCAACTATCGATTTCTTACAGCACTCTACATCAACCACAACAACCTGACTTATTTGATGCCATCGTTATCGCAACTCTGCAATTTGAGGATATTGGATGCTTCGGGCAACAACCTCAGCATGCTGCCTCCTGAGATGGGCCTCCTTTGCAACTTGAAGGAATTGTTATTGTTTGATAATAATCTCGTCTCTTTGCCTACCGAGTTTGGAAATTTGTATCAGCTGGAAACACTGGGTTTGGAGGGGAATCCTTTGCAGGCTGATCTCAAGAATATCTTGATCAAGGACGGCACCCAGGCACTTGTCATGTCGCTTCGAGAAAATGCGCCAGGTATGTGTGTACTGTTAAGCATGCCATGTCCAACGCTTACTAATGCTCTATATAGTGGGTATGCCTCCACCTCATCGAGAATGGCTGTTGGTCGAAGGCGACACAATGGAAGATCCAGGTTTGTGCTATATAGGAAGAGGCGTGCCTACTCGGCATCTAACTGGAAATTAAATAGACAAGTTCACTGTACTGTGCTACAATATTCTCTGCCAAAAATATGCAACACCTCAAGCCTATGGTTACACGCCATCATGGGCGTTGAGTTGGGATTATCGTCGAGAGTTATTGGTGTCTGAGATCTTGGGCTACAATCCGGATATCTTTTGTCTACAGGAAATGGAAATGGGACAGTATGAAGACTACTTTGTAGACCATTTCAGAAAGATGGGCGATTATGACAGTCTGTTTCATCCCAAGACGCGAGCAAAGACCATGTCTGAAAAGGAGAGACGGGTAGTGGATGGCTGTGCTATTTTTTACAAGACGACACGGTTCCGCTTGATTGACCATGACTATATCGAGTACAATCAAAAGGCGCTTCAGCGTCCTGACTTCAAACAGACGGTCGACATTTACAACCGAGTCATGAACAAGGACAATGTGGCTATATTGGCTGTCTTTGAGGACATCAACACCAGCCAACGCACACTGGTAGCCAACTCACATCTGCATTGGGATCCCTCAGACGCTGATGTCAAGCTCGTTCAAGTGGGTGTCTTGATGGAAGAAATGAAAAAGTTTGCTAGCAAGCACTGTGCGTCTTCTTCCTCGACCGACAAGCTGCCTACCATCATTTGTGGTGATTTCAACTCTGATCCACAGTCTGGTGTATACGAGTTTTTGAGTAAAGGCATAATTGAGCAGAACCACAACGATTTTGGCAACCATTCTTACGGCACATATACCACAGAAGGATTATCGCATCCTCTCTCTCTTAAAAGTGCTTACAGCAATGTTGGCGAGTTACCTTTTACAAACTACACACCTGGCTACAAGGGCGCTCTGAGCTACATATGGTACACATCGACCACGCTGGACGCCATCTCGCTGTTGGGCCCTGTTGATCCTGATTACTTGACTAAAATAGTCGGTTTCCCCAACGCTCATTTCCCCTCTGAGTAAGTCTTGACATGTGGATGTCTGTGTCTTTGTATTAACTCTCTTTCTTTCTTAGTCACATTCCCATCATGGCAGAGTTCAAGTTTCGGCCACAAAACAAAAAGGAAATTGTAAAGGCTGATTTCAATTCAACAAGATCATCTCATAGAAATAAATAGTATATTCTTTAAAAAATCCATGGCAAGAGAGCAATTATGTGTCAAATGACAGTGAGGAAATATCAGCTGACATTTTCTTGGCTTGACATCTGTGCTGTGATTTACATGTCATACAGACATTGACCCCACATCCTGTGCTTACCCAAATTCCCATCATCTGAAGCATCCCAGTTACTGCTAAACACCACTGCTGAATGGACATTTGGACTACATTAAATGTACGCTGTCTGATTATGCAGCACATCCAGCTTGATCCCTTGAGATGCAATGCTGAAAAGAGCCTCTCAACGCTCAAATCTTACGGCAGTCATCACCATGCTACCAGGCCATGTAATTCTGCTGATAAATCAGACCTTGTACAAATAGAGCCATTCGTCCTTATCCACATTGAATAGGTATCCAAGTGTGGTCGAATAATCGGAATATGGAGTGGAGGCTAAATTTTCAACCTTAATCCCATCATGTAACACGGCCATTTCGTTTTGAAAATGTGGGGTCGAGAGGGCAGAGCGCCGAGGCCTTTGGAAGAGAGCCAACAGTGGCCCATCAGATCAGTAGCTTATAAAAAAAAAGTAGAATAGCAGACCCAATGTAATGAAGCAGTGTGAAGCGTAACCACACATTGTCCTGAAATTCGAATAAGCTCTGACGCCTGGGAAATATTGTATTCATTTATATTAGTAGTCAAAAAAAAAGGGCTCTAATGAGACGCACACACATAGATCAAACCGTGGGAAACTAAATATCAGTTGTTTTAACCCACTACACACAAAATTACACACACTGTGCATTCTCCCTATATATCATGGAACGTATAAATACCATCGACATCAATCAAAGGGCTTTTTCTTTTTCTTTTTTTCTTTCTTTCTTGATCTTTTCAACTTTAAAAAGCCTTTCTCATCATGCTCAGACTTACTCAACGTCTTCCTCAACTTGTTGCTCGTTCCTCTCTCTCCAATGTTGCTCGTCAAGCTGCCAAGCGGTAAGTAGTAGTCGTGTGTCTGTGTGCTTCCACAAGTTACTGACGCGACCTGTCTATAGTAACTACGCTGCTTTGACCTACTCTTCTCCTACTGCTCACGAAGCTCCTACTTCATTGCAAGCCTTCACCGAGGAGGAATTAATGCTCAAGGACACTGGTAAGCCCTTGATAGATCTTGCTGTTTTACGCAGCTTCTCTAATCCAGCATCTAGTCGCTAGATTCGCTCGTGAGGTTGTTCAACCCAAGGTTCAAGAGATGGATGAAGCCGAGGTCATGGACAAGTCCATCATCAATGCCATGTTTGAGAATGGCGTAAGTACATTGCGTTAGTAGCCCCAGGTGGTCTTGTATTAACAACTACTCTCACACTAGTTGATGGGTCTCGAAACTCCTGGTGAATACGGAGGTGCTGAATGTTCCTTCACTGCTGCTATCTTGGCTGTTGAAGAGCTCGCCAAGATTGACCCCTCCATCAGTGCCTTGTGTGATATTCATGTAAGTTATTGGCAGTGCTTTTTCACGTGCCCCTTGATTTGGTATTTAATCTGACAAATCGATTAGAACACTTTGACCAACACTGTGATCCGCAAATACGCCACCCCTGAGCTCAAGGAAAAGTATCTCACTCGTCTTGCCACTGACACTGTTGGTAGCTTCTGTATCTCTGAAGCTGGTGCTGGTTCCGACGCTTTTGCTCTCCAAACTCGTGCTGAAGATAAGGGCGATCACTACATTTTGAACGGTGGCAAGATGTGGATCTCCAACTCTGCCGAAGCCGAGATTTTTGTTATCTTCGCCAATGTGTAAGTCTCTCGTGTTACCTCAATAGTCATTTTTTATTGTACTAATATGTGCATTGCAGTGATCCTTCCAAGGGATACAAGGGCATCACTGCCTTCATTGTTGAGAAGGAGTGGGGTGTTGAGATTGCAAAGAAGGAAAAGAAGGTAAGCTCCCTGTAATGTGCTATCTGTATTACTTGATCTAACGCACTCGTTTCATGTATAGCTCGGTATCCGCTCTTCTTCTACCTGTGTCCTCAACTTTGACGATGTCAGAATCCCCAAGGAAAATGTCCTTGGTAAAGTTGGTGAAGGTTACAAGTATGCCATTGACTCCTTGAACGAAGGTCGTATCGGTATCGCTGCTCAAATGATCGGTTGTGCTCAAGGTGCTTATGACATTGCCTTGCCTTACATGATGGAGCGCAAGCAATTCGGTCAAGCCATTGGTACATTCCAAGCCATGCAACATCAATTTGCCGAAGTTGCTGTCGAGATTGAAGCTGCCAAGCTCTTGACTTACAACGCTGCTCGTTTGAAGGAAGAGAACAAGCCTTTTGTCATGGAGGCTGCTATGGCCAAGTGGTTGGCTGCCAAGGTTGCTGAAAAGGCCAGCTCATATGCTGTTGAATGGATGGGTGGTAATGGCTTCGTCCGTGAAACTGGTGTCGAAAAGTTCTACCGTGATGCAAAGATTGGTTCCATCTACGAAGGTACCAACAACATCCAACTTCAAACCATTGCCAAGATTATCAGCACCAAGTACAAATAGATGAAAAAAGGACAACTCCATTGTAAAATAAATCAAAAAAGAATAAAGCTCTTTATTGCATGTAAAAAAAAAAAAAAAAAAAAAGCCTCTTAGACAATTTGAAGTGGATCCTTGTCTACTTTGGATACAAGGACCTCGATGGCTTCCCCTTCTTCAGACTTTTCATTTGCCAATTCCTTCTCCAAAGCAGGCTTCAATACGGCTGAAAGATAACCACGCTCCGTATTCGAGTGTTCGCCTAGTTATATAACATGTCATTAATAGTTCACAACCCCCTTATTTTTCACACGCTTACACAAGATGACGCTGGTATTTTTAGCCAAAGCAGCCAACACATCATGGTGGCCCATCTCGCCAGTAAAGTAGAGATCGGCGCTGACAGGGCCAAGCACAGAGGAGCCTGATCCAGCACAGATGGCCACGGTTTGGATCATTTTGTTTTTAGCTGTAGCAAGACGTACTAAGGGACATGGCATTAATACTGATCTCCAAGCAGAGACATCAAATACGTACAGTAAGGCAATCCAATCAACTTTTTAACTCGTTCAACCACTGTTGTCAAATTTGTGGGTTCTTCAAATGTAAATAGACGGCCGGATCCAGCTTCTTCTTGGCCAGCAGGAGGGTTCTCAGCAGGAGTAATGGGCTTACAAGTGCCCTTGCCTAATCCACTCGCCAACCAGTCGTTCACTTGTGTGCGTGTCAGAAATTGATGTCATATGCAATGTGCTTCTTGTTCATGTTACCTCCATTAGCACAGTTATCACAAGCTGTATGAGGTGAATAAATACCCACGCCACGTGCAATGGCCTTCAACACTATATCCTGTTTGACATCTGCAGAAGTCAAGCGTTTCATGGAGCTGAAAATGGGAGGATGATAGGACACAATCGTGCCAATATTGGCATCTGACAGTGCTTCATCGAGCACTTGAGGTGTGAGGTCAATCGTCAACAAGACCTTGTTCTGCTTTGGTGATGGAAAAGGAGGCTCTGTAATATCAATTGTCGTCTGTTAATAAACTAACAGAAACCATCAAGAAACAAGACTTACCAACCAAGACACCGACATTATCCCACGAGCTCTCAGCGAGATCTAAAGGTGCAATTTTTTTCATGCAACGGGTAACTTTGGACAAAAGCGACATATTGACAAGTCTCGACTAGTGAAAGAGAGTGTTGTTTGCTTCAAGATTGCAACGCGCTTTATTTACACTCAACGCTCATCTCGAGACCCCGAATCTGGCTAACGACACTTGTATAAATACGCATGAAATGATGGCCATTTCCATATTTCCTGTCATCCAACACACTGTATCATGAAGAACTGCATTCTTATTACCAACGTGGATTCTCTGCTGGGCTATGCCTTGTCGTATCGGTTTTTGGAGGAATGGAATCGAGAAAGACAGCATGAGAGTGATGCTATTTTAAGAGACAAGACTGAATTCCGTTTACTGTGCCGTGAGCGTCAAGGATTAGAGGATCTGGAGCTACTGGGAGCCAAGATCATGGAAGTCGCAGACTACACCAACAAGGACAAGATGAAGGAGTTTATGAACGGTGTTGGCTATGTCATGTTCTTGCCCGAAAACTCAAATCAAACAATCAAGGAAGGTGAAACAGTTGTTGAATGCGCAAAAGAGCAAGGGGTCGATTATGTGACCATGCTGTCCTAGTAAGTATACGTTTTCAAATGAATCATCGTACCGCAACTGATTTGAGCTAACTTTATACGCTAGTATGGGTGCAGACTATGCAAAGAAGAATGACAAACATTTGAACGAATACCGTCATCTAGAGAAGTGCGTTTCTCAACATTTCAATCATAACAGCTATTGTGTGATGCGCTCTGCCATGTGGCATCAGTTTTACTACTACTATGGTCCTATGATTGAAGACAAGAACAGGATTCAGCTGCCAGTCCATGACAAGGCTGAATTTGGCTCTATTGATTTGACTGATCTAGTGGATGCTGTCTACAATCTCTCTGCATTTCCCCAGCAAGACAGCTATGGTGGAGGCTTCGTCGACCTGGCTCATCTGTACGCGACTAACTTGAGAAAGAAGAACAAGACTTTGTTTGAATTCACGTCTCGCCACAACATCACTCCCAAGAATTTGGTTCAATCTGCTGCTGACGGTTTAGAGCGGAAGAACATGACGTATGAGAGAGTCAGCCCAGAGACGCTATACGATTACCTGCGCCGTATCCACAACGATAATCGCTTTAGGCAAAGACCCATCCAACGTGCTACGGATATCGTTGGACACCAGCGCAAATCGAAGGAGGACAGGCCCTATACATTTCCCTTGGGAAGATATCTGAACGACTGTGTTATCGAAAGCATCCTTGAGTACTGGAAAATGGTTGATTCTGGTAAGGAGGAGCATTCTACTGATGATCTGGAAAAGGCCATTGGTCGCCACCCTACTACTGTCGATCAGTTTTTCAAGAACAACAAAGATCAATTTAACCGTCTTCGTTGAAAATCGCATCATCAGATAAAGCTTGAATAAAGTATTTTATTCCATTATGTTTGTCACATCACATGGTTGTTTCACATACATTTAGATCTAAAAAGCATGAAATGCCCATTTGGAATATTTTACAATTTAGCTCAAATGGGAAACGTTCTAGATTCAGCAAGCACATTCGATATCCATACTATGAAGCTTCTTTTTGCATATCGTTCTGAATGTGTTAGGTCTGATTTAAAAGCAAATGAATGCATCATACATCACGATAAATAACGTGCTAAGAGAAATGGGAGGAGGGGGGGGGGGACTTGTAATTCCAATCATCGAAAAGATTGTTAATCAAAAACTCTGAGATTTTCTAAACTAAACAGAATCGAGATCAGAGCCATGTATAAGGACAAATAGGAATTCTACAAATCGAAACTTTCTTCCATTCAAACCTAAAATCAATTAAGAATTATGCTAAACCATAAAAAGCAATTTTTTGATCTGTAAAATTCCAAGTTCGTTTGATGAACGTAATTACCATAAAAGGAAGTTATGACGATACGTCTACTGCCTTAAGACTAAAGTGATTTAGCACAAAAAAAAAAATCGGTTTATAATACGAAATGGACGATGGATTCTTTCATCTTTTTTTTTTTTATTTCTCTGTCATTTAATAATCACAAAAAAGAAATGAGTGTTACATACGAATCTCCTACACGATACTTGAGCGATACTGAATCCAATAACAACAACCTCATGTATTCCATCAGCAGCAATGAAAATGATGGCTCACCATGCACATCACCTTACAATGCAGCCCATCCACCAAAAATGGAACAGCAGCAGCAACAGCACCAACTACCTTCAGCAAGTCATTTGAATCAAGAATTTTTCAACGTGCTGCAGAAACGTCAAAACAACTTTCAATCATCCACGGGTCCACAGCCACAAACATATCGACACCAACATTTGGAGGATTTAGCACCTATTGATAGCGAAAAGATGAACGAATTGATGACGAAATATGATTGCCATCAAGTCCTCGTAATAGATGTTAGATCGTTTGCATTCTACGCAAAGAACAGAATCAAGTCGGCCATCCACATCTCTATCCCATCTGTATTACTAAAGAGATCCACATATACATTAGCCAAAGTGTGCGACTCGATCGTATTTGAAGAGGCGGCCAATAGATTAAAAAACTGGCATAATGCAACGCATATCATTTTTTATGACCATGCGTCATATATACCGAGCGATTCTGGCAACTCAGCGACTGCCATCCTATTAGGGTCTAAATTGCGCAAATCAGGATACAGTGGCCAACTAAACTATTTGCAAGGTGAATAACAAAAATCTGCTTTGACATGGAGATTCAATACTCATCTTAATTTGATAGGTGGATACAATACTTTCAGTAACACATATCCTCACCAATGCGAACTAGTTCAGTTAGACTCAATCAATCGACCCAAAAGACACCAAACTGAACCAATCAGTCTCTTGCCTACATCCAACAAGACGCCTGCGATAAATCCTTTCTTTAGTAACATCCGTCAAAATCTCGAGCTATCGCATGGACCACTGAAAGAAAGATTTCACGTTCGATTACCCTATGGCTCCAAATACGACGAGGGCATCATCTCGACCAATTCGCATTATACTGCCATTAGTAACCATCATCCAAGATTTGGCTTGGCGGGCAGTTCAGTCGACGCACAAGGCAATTTTGTCTTGCCCATGTGGTTAAAGACGATTATGAAGAATGATACGGGTCCAAAGAAGTTGGCCGAAAAATACGAGGTAGGTCTGGGCATGTATGCCGATATGATTCATCTTTTTCTAATGACATCATATGTAGCAATTGGAGAGACTGGAGCAAGCTCGACTATCTACTGTCATGAAGTATCATTCCAGCGGATTAGGTTCTACTGCAGCGACAGAGCAAAATCAATCAAACACAGAGTTCCCCTTCAGTATCACTTCCAGCATAGAAAAAGGCGCATTGAATCGATACGACAACATTTGGCCTTATGGTATGCTTCACACTGCCCAAGTGAATGATCCAACTAACCGACATGTTTTATAGAATACTCTCGTGTGAAGCTCGAAGAGAGCAGCGACAACTATATCAATGCCAATTACATTCAGTTTGCCAATGTCAAGAAGAATATCACACTAAGCCCCATCTCCAAATCTGACGAAGAAGTAAAGCTTGAAGAAAGAGGCCTCTTGAGCGAGGCATCTGTCCGTACCATGAACCGATTGAACGTGGACCTTACCAGCAACCGCCAATACATCTGTACTCAAGGTCCTTTACCTACCACATTTAATGACTTTTGGCAAATGATTTGGAACGAAAACTCGTCTGTTATTGTCATGCTAACACAGGAAACCGAAATGAATAAGGTATGTGCCATTGCTTTTGTAGATGAATGTTTGCTCACTCAGCCTTTATAGATCAAGTGCCACACATACTGGCCAACCATGGAGAACGTCTCGCAGGCATATGGCTCAATCGTTGTAAAGCTCATATCTGAAACCAAGCAAGCTGTCCGTAACATGAACGACAAACGCGAGAGAGTCAACGACGATATGAATCAAGACGAATGCATTGTTACTCGCAAATTCATTTTGTCAAACGACAGCACTGAACGCAGCTTGACTCAACTGCAATACACTGGGTGGACTGATTTCGGTGTTCCTGACCATCCCATTGGCATCCTGACTCTAGTACATCATGCTGACGTTGCTCAATCTAAAAAGAATGAAGGTCCCATTGTAGTTCATTGCTCGGCTGGTTGCGGTAGATCAGGTACATTCTGTGTCATTGATACCATGATCCAACGTTTGTGGCAGAAGCGTGATGTCTATACGTGTGCTACCAATGACAAGATCTACGAAACCGTATGCCGTTTTAGAGAGCAACGCATGAGCATGGTACAAACACATCGTCAGTATGTCTTTTGCTATGAAGCTATCCTGTGGTGGCTGCTTGGTTACGGTAATCTGCCAGCGCAGCCTTCGGATGTCTCTCCCTCTGCGGGCCCTACTCAAGACATGATACGCCAAATGATTGCTACGCCTGTTTCTATTAGCTCTCGTTTGTCTGCTTCACCTCCATCACCTCCTCCCACTGCTACCCTTTTACCACCTGCGTCGTTGTTCTCGGCTCCAGTAGAAAACAATAAGAGTGACGGAGAGGCTTCGTCTGTCGGTAGTATGGTGAATGATTTTAAAGATTTGTAAATACATGCAAAACCCAATTGTAAATCGCATCTCCCTTCTTATATTTGAACTATTAGATAAACTTGTATCATATAATTTACTGTAAAGCATTCAAGAAAAAAGTAGGAAAATAAATCATATCCTTTCAAAAATTTAAAGAATTGAGTAACGTACAAGGTGGATAAACCACTGGCGAAGCCGGCATTGGGGGAAAGGGGAGGGGATTTGGAGGAGGTGATAAACCCATCCACCAAGAACATAACGCATATAATTCAACGTTTGGCAATATTGACCTATGAAGCGGTTTTACCGTAGCAAAGCGAAGCATCTAGCCCAACATTTAGTAATATTAATCTTAATGAGGGGTTTACCGTTGCGAAGCGAAGGTGCACAACCATAGTATTCAAGCAGTAAATTCGGCTTTTCATCTCCATTATTAATAAGCTTACCAACAACATAACGCATCAAAATTTGTATGAATTAGCTTTGCCAAAATCAATATGCCTCCCTCCTATTCGAATTAGAAATTGCACAGACTACGGGACTACTCTTCCAGAAGATTTCAGCTACCAAAGATGTGGTTCATGCCTTGCAAGTAAACTCTATAAAGCAATACATAACCAAATTTGACAGTTTTCACGCCTTCATAGCTTGACATGTAGACCTTTCTGAGCCACCGGAATGACGCCAAACAATTGTACTTGAATAGCAGTAACTTCCTGACACCTTTGCTCAACTTTTTGGGACTAAAAAAAAAACATGGCCAAAAATCGACCAAAAACCATGGGGGGTACCTCATGGTTTCCATTAAAAATCAAACGATCGCATTTTCCACCTTGAAAATGAAGACTTTTACTATGGTATATATCAAATCAAAATGTTTCTCTCGACCCAAAGCAACCTCTGAAACCACTTTTATAAGGTTTTCATATGCAAAATATGGCTATTTTCGCTAAAAACCTCATTTCAATTTGTATTGAATTGCTCAATAATTTCAGTCAAAACACTCATTACAGTTAGCACCATTGGGAGCGCCTTGAAAAGTACTTTAAGAGTGTATTAGGAAGCGTAGGGTGACCATCACAATTTATATAGTCGAAGATCATAAAATAGATTAAAGAAGTCGAGAAAAGACAAAATCTGTCCAATCTTGAGCAAAAAAAAAAAAAAAAAAAAAAAAAAAGCTGAGTCTGAATCAATTTTGGCGGCGGCATTGCTGCTGGCTAACCAAAATGCCTTCCTGTTGATGGCAATGATGATTGTAATGCTGATTAATTAGGGATTATGAATTTAAAAGAACAATCAATTAGCTTGAATCCTTTTTTATTTGGCTTTTTGCGATTTTTTCCCTGTATAGGTGTCTTTTGCAATGATAACCTCTCGAAAAAATCGCTGTAGATCTCATAAAAGTCCTGTGTTTACGCATGGCCAGCTCTGTGTCGCCATCTCAAGAGCAGCATCCGCGAATGGTATCACAGTTCTGCCGCCAGAAAATGCAACTCGGACGGAGGATGTAGTAAACCAGAAGTCTTATAATAATATAACGTAAATGCTTCATAAAAAATATTGATTTGTACCTCCAAAGTTCTCATGTTTAAATCAAGCTTCATGCCTAATAAAGTCATTGTTTAAAATGTACTTTTATAGCAGAGTTTTACTATCTCTTCTGATTTGAAATGTCTTCGGTGAGAGCCCGCAGGGCGACGCCGTCATCGAGAGTAGCGAGATGGATCGGCTAGTACAAAGATACTGAATTTGTATCCTTTTATGACGAGTCTTTCTTATAATGTCTTGGTGGTAGAATGCCGTATTCAGATCTCGAGACAAGTTGATCTAGGTGATGATTGATGTTTGAATTGCAACTTTCTTATGTAGCAGGTGAGTTATGAGAGCAAAATCGAGTGGGTTTCATACAACTTTCTTTTGTTAGAAAGACTTGAGCCATAAATGAAAGCTTTTTAGAGGTTTCCCAAATGAAGAATGACAAGATAGGATTACTTGCCTATCTAATAATTCAATTTCTCTTATGCAATATATATCGCTGCGCCCCTTTGTAGATGAAGTGATCCCAAACAGGCCGTTCAAGAAAACACTGTAGTCGATAGTTGTCCAACAACTTACGACATGATTGCCAGGAAATTTCAAGTGCGACAAATTGTTATACAAATTCGAAAAAGAGGAGATAATATTCTTTTTTCCATCTTTCTTTCATCCAACATGGCCTTATTTGCAAATTGTATAGACTTGGCAATACATCAGGATCAACGAATGACCAAGCTAGCATCAGTCAACTTTGTCGCGTCCTCGCGTGTCTCTGAAGAGTTAGCTCTTTCTGGTCATTTAGCCTTGTCAGCTCCTTCTCAAATCATGGGACAATTTCAGTTTTTAAAGGTTTGCTGCTTTAAGAGCGAGACTAGTTGCTGTTGACTCACCTATTGCAATATAGACACTAGCGCACCCAAATCTGTGCGAATACGTAGAGATACACCGTGGAAAGCATGGTACAGTGTCATAGCTTATGACCATGCTGGACAGTTGCTAAACTTGCATATACAGACCGATTATTTGTAGTATCCGAATACTTTGACCTTTCACTACAAAAAGCGAGAAACTTGGATTCCAAAGACCCTCCACCAGTTAGGTAAATCACGCTGTAGAGAAAAGCATGGCTAGCGTGTACTAAGATCCATATACAGCACGGCAGTATTAAAGCAGTGGGCATTTGAGATCTTGTCCGCATTGCAGTTCCTGAGAGAGAATCACATCATTCATGCCGCATTATCACCTACAAACATCATGCTGGACAAGGAAGTAGGTTGAACATAGAGACAAATGTGGCATTTTGTGCTCACAAGGCTTGTGCTTTAGAACCATGTCAAGCTGTTTGGATATGGATTGCATTATATGACAAGCGGTGGCCGAGATGTAGACTTTCCTATAGGCTATCCGACGTATTTAGCCCCGGAATGCTTGGATAACATCAGCAGTGTTGGTTTCGATAAACGGGATATATGGGCGACAGGCGTGATCTTGGTGGAGCAATATACACGGAATTCATTTTGGACTACAAGTGATGTGGGCTTGATCTTTGATACACTGATGACACTGAGAGAATGGCATCAGGAAGATCCATCGTCGGATATCTGGCATCATGATGGCATCGAGTCGTTAGACATCAACAAGAGCATATTGGAATTTCTGCAGAAGCAAGATATCCAGGACAAGGAGGAGTTTGCTTTTCAACAATTTGTAACAAAGTGCTTGGACATGTCAGTGGAGAAGCGGCCCGGTACAACCGAAGCGCTGTCATCGACCTTTTTTGAACATGGACTTGTGCCAGTGGATACTGCAGCTTGGGTAGAAGGGCCCATTTTGGCATCGGATGTAGTGGAACCCGAAACGATTGATACGCAAAACAGCCAAAGCCAAGAGGACGTCAATGGCACACTGCAGGGATTGCCAGTGTCTCAAATGTACAACTTGTGGAAACTGGCAGGTGGAGATGTCGAATTGGATCTCGTAAAGAGAGGTGTGTTTTTATCGACGCCTGTTATCAAGCGACTGCCTCGAGTGTGTATGATGCCAGAAGGGCTTGAAGTAGGAGACAAAGTGACAGATACAGCACAGCTATATTCAGACGCCATCTATGTACTTGGATTCAAAGAATTATACCAGCGTCTTGAGGAGGGCAGTAAGAAGGCCGCTTCCGACAGGTTTGAATGGGATACAGACTATTTTATCTTGGTGGATGAGAACGATGTCAACTTTTTATTGGACTCTGAAGACATTGATAGCAGTACAGGAAAAGACGAGAGCGACAAGCAGCAAGACGAACCGACAACTGAAGCAGATGAATTGGCAGCGAACATCAATGACTTGATGTTTGCGGATGACTTTTTGTCGTCTGAACCATCATCTATTCAGTCCAACGGCATGCCAACGCCTACAACGCCTTCATCGTCTCGTTCCCGTGCTATGTCTATGAATTCAGTCATGGGTAGATCCAGATCAGCCTCGTCGCTGTCCATGAACAGCACCACCTCTATACCAAACCAATCCAATGTCCCCAAGTTGCCCTTGTTCCTGAGAGAGCAAGACATCAATTACCAATATTACCGTCAGACGCTGTTTTCAGAGCTGCTTCGTCAATACCCAGCCTCCAGAAAAGAGATCCTGCATCATGCCAAAGTGGATATCCCACCTTTACTGAGAGGTAAAGTGTGGGCTGCTGTATTAGGCGTGTATGGCGATGTACAACACGAATACGAACAAATTGAAAAGTGTGTCGACATGGGAGCGGATAGACAGGTAGGCATTTCAAGAGCAGGGTCATCAAGAGTAGCACTAACGGATGCACAGATCGAAGTTGATGTGCCTAGATGCCATCAATACAACCAACTGCTTGCATCCTCGACGGGCCATGAGAAGCTGCGTCGATTACTCAAGGCTTGGGTATCCGCCAACACCAAACTGGTGTACTGGCAAGGTCTTGATTCTCTTTGTGCGCCATTCTTGACACTCAACTTTAACGATGAAGCTATTGCATTTGCATGTCTACAAAAGTTCATTCCCAAATTCCTCAACAACTTCTTCTTGAGCGATAATGCGCCCGTGCTTCAAGAGTATTTAGCCGTATTTCGACATTTGCTTAGTTTCCACGACCCTGAATTATCAAGTCATTTAGACACTATTGGCTTTATGCCTGATCTCTACGCTATTCCGTGGTTCTTGACACTATTTACTCGTATGTATCACGACTTTGTTTTGTATACGATACTGATGACCCTATTTGTAGATGTATTCCCCCTTGACAAAATTTATCATTTGTGGGATAAGCTTCTCGTGGGTCCTTCTTCGCTACCCCTGTTCGCTGGTATTGCTATTTTGCGTCAAATTCGAGACACGTTGCTATCCTACGAGTTTAATGACTGTATTGTGTTGTTCTCGGATAATTTCCCAAAGGTAGACATTGAGAAATGTGTACAAAGTGCCTTGAACATGTGCAAAGTAACACCTCCAAGCGTGTCATCTCGCGTGCACGGACCAGACAACAGTGAGGACAAATTGGAAGAGAGCAACTCAAATAACACTGAGGAACAACAGGCCAAGCAGTGGTGGGATGAACCTATTTCTATCGAGACCAAAAAGGCTGAATTAGCACCTCGCTTGTCAATAAGTGACATCTCCAAGATTCTGCCCTACGCTCTTGTACTGGACATACGGCCTGAATCAGAGTAAGTGTGGGCTTCATTATGCGAGAAATAAGCTATTAATGTGGCACCAGGTACGTCAAAGGGCATGCTCCTTCCTCAATGAATGTACTGGCCTCTCAGTTATCAAGCTATGCCAACATTTTAAAGAAATTAAATCGCAAATACCATGTAGTTATCGCAAATGAGGGCCAAGGAGGGCCAGAGGTAAGTCAAAATAGGCCAATTGTGGGTTCAATGACATGCTAACTCTCTGCTTTAGTTCGCTGCCGACCTTGTGAGAAGAAATTTCCCCAGAACAGCACTGCTACAAGGCGGCATGGACGCATTCGAGACTATCAGTGACAAACCAGCACATTTATGTACTTGCAGACCACAAAAACAGACAACCGCGGGCTTCAAGGGCAAGGGATCTGAGCCTCCATTTGTAATGTGGAGATGCAAAGTACCACCACCATTGAAAAAGAAATAAAACTTGTATCCACATATATATATATATATATATATATATCATTTTATTCCATTTACAAAGCTGTACCTCTCTCGAGATTTTCACGAATTTCTTTAGTATACTTGTCATAGAATCTTGCAATCTTTTGGTTGAACACACGATTCTTTTCGTTGATCCATGAAATATCGTCAGGTTGTTCTTTGCGATCGCGAGATCTAGTTTCGCGTTGCTGAATTCTAGTGTATAAAGTCAGGATCCAATATAACAAACACACATGTAAATTAACGTACTGTTTCTTGGTTTCTTCTGCTAATCTATCCACAGCCTCCTTTGATGGCTTATCATCAAGTCTTGCATAGTCTAATGAATTTGCCATGGCAGAGATATCTGAAGGATCCTCGCCATTGCGAATAGCACGCTCAATATCCAACATTCTCTTTTCCGTGTAAGCACCCATATCTGGTTTGAATTCTGACATCAAACGAATGTATTTCTTGTGTGCTGCTTGAGAGTGATCTGTAAAGCCATTGTTGGCCATTTTAGCCTTCTTGGCCATCTTCTTCTCCCATGCAGCAGCTGATTCAGCAGAGTATTTCCAGAACTGTTTGCGTTCGTAATCCTCTCCTTTATCCTCTGCCTCCTGTTTCTCCAGCAACTTTAATGCTTCTGCCTTCTTTCGTTCGTCTCTGGCTTCAAGTTTGGGGTTTTCTTTGCTACGCTGGAATTCGAGATTACGATCACGGCGATTGCCTTGATCTACTTCAGTTGCCTGAATGCTGTGGTTAGTCATCGGTATGGTCCAATGACTTCCTTCAACTTACTCTGCGTCTTTTGAGTTCCTTCAATTTAGCCATGCGATCAGAGAGAGATGAGCTGCTGCCACTGTTTCTGCTGCCACTAGGCTCACTCCTTGCTTGCTTCTCTTGTGGCTCTTGCTCTTGCAATTCTTGCTCTTGTGATTCTTGCTCTTGTGATTCTTGCTCTTGTGATTCTTGCTCTTGTGGCTCTTCCGTTTCCTCTTCTTCCACAATCTCTGAATGCTTGCGTTTTATTGAAGTCTGTTCAATCTTTGTTTCGGCATCAGGAGCCTCCACTGTTGTCTTTACTTTCACTTCTGTTTCAACCTTCTTTTGTGTCTTTTTTGCTGATGTTGTCTTTCTTTTTGGAGGCATTTTATAGTATCAAAGATGAATGTAGAACGAAAGCAAGGTAAAAAATTGTACGAAAGAAAAAAAGTGGGTGCATGTTTACAGACACTATTCATAAACCGATGTTCGCGGTGACTTGAACAGGAGACATGTGCGCTACTAATACAGAAAGACAAATCAAAGATTTTACTAGTTTACATGCTTATTTACGATAACTTTTCTTTAGCTAAAAAGGTCATTAATATTCATTGCTATACCATGTTCAAGGCCTCGTTTATTCGCCTACGCCAAAAGGAGGCAGATGATCAGTGTTGGTGGTGATGACAAAGCGATACGATTGTTGAGGTTCTTGGGTAATGTGCTCTGTGATTCGTATTTGGCCGCCACAAACAAACGATCTCAGCATCAGGCAATTAGCGTTCAATGCCTCCAATGTTCTCGTTGTGATGGTATTTGATTGTATGATGGTAGGCGGTAGCGTCACTATCAAAGTGTTCAATAATTTGCAACGGTTGGCTATAGCGATCAACCCTTCATCTGATAAACAACCGCACTGATGAAGCTTCAGAGTCTTCAAACCTGGACAGTGGCCGACCAGAGGTATAATGTGATGATCTGACAAGTAGCATTGATTTATACATAGGGTATGGAGATGAGGGCGCATTCGATCTTGAATGGCCATCAATAATGAGTACAGTACTTGAGCCGTACATTGGTGCATGTGGATTTCAGCGATACCTTGACTCAATTGAAGACTAAGGAATTGCTTGAGTTGCACACTTCCTTCATTGATGTCCACATGACTCAAGGAGAGTATCTCCAGATTCAGCTGGAATAGCTTGGTGAATAGCTGATCTGGTATTGCTTCGAATGTACTGAGATGAAGTGCCAGCCCTGATATCCAATGCTTGTAAGGATGTCGTGGCATTTTCATGTGTAGAGTGTTAGTCAACTGCTGAAATGATGTGAGGTTTGTTATGTAGGGCATATTCCACAATTGCTTTAATGCATGCGGCGATATCGTTTGACATGTTTGGCCAAATTCGCACATTGTCCCCTGATCAGCAAATTGCAAAATAACCAATATAACATCAAACGGAATCATTTCAGCTGTCATGATGTGATGAGTTGTCTATTCGAGTTTCAAGTGTGATTTCACTTACCAAGACTCTGAAGAATAAAAAGAAAGAGAGAGGAAAAAGAGTGTTGTAATGGAAAGAGAGACACAAAAAAGCAGGTCTTCTTGTACGCAACTTATCCGTCAAGCCGGCCATCATAAGGATGATAGCACTAAAATGTTGTATTTGGTTTTGAGAATTTTCAACTCCCCTAAATTATGATCAGGTTTTCACATTATAGTACTCGATTACCATTGTCCTTGTAAGCTAAATCAATGGGAGCGATTTTGAGCTGGGAGGTCGAGGGTGGGGTGAGGGGGGGGGGAGAGAAGAGGATAATAAAGGAAAACTCACAGACAGATGGGCGGCGGAAGAGGCGGCATCAAGTTTTGCACTACATAAATCAGCTACTACGGCCTGTGTCTTACTTGGGTGAGTAGATACAACTAGCATCCCTCAGGGGGGTACAATAGTAAAGAATAGAAACAAAGGGCGTACAACAGCAACTGTGATCGATGTCAACCCTATTTTGGATTTTGTAACCAAATTCATATAAAACTGGGCTGCTAATTAAATCCAACTTTGGAAGTTCAATGTACATTCAAATATCTGTTTTGAGAAACATGAATCATGTATAAAAACGTTTTCATTACCTTGGATGATGCGATTCGTGTATCAACTACAGTGTGTCAAAAACGCACTTACTAGATAGACTCTCTTTGCTCATTTAGTACTGTAAGATGGCGTACGCCACAGGCGAGATTCTCAGTCTCCAACGTGGCCTGATTTTTTCGCCTTTTTGGATGCATATTGTTTACATGTTCTCACGCGGATTACACCATTTATGTACACTTCACGTACTGACAGGCGTTGCCCATCTGTTCTTGCCATATATCCTGTTGCTTTCATATCCTGTCTGGCAATAAGATGGTTGAATTAGGAAAGAAACTTAAATTCAGCGGTTAAGCTTCCAATTGGAACAAATGCTTCTGAATTGAAACGACATTGAATAAACAATCCCTTTGCACAACATTGGATCGAATGTGATGAGCATGTTTACGTGCAGCCTTTCTAGAAGATTATCAGAATTGCTATATATAATCTCATTCCAGACGCGATTACGAGGGGGTTGTGGAGATTACGCTAATTTCCGTGTATATTTTGCTCCCAAAAGCCATTGTGTCTCTATGTGGGGTATTCTTGAAATGAATGGCAACTCAAACATGTGCTCCCAGATTATTCATATATTGGTTGTACAACAGCGACATATGCTTACCATGTTGTTACTCGCCTTGTTTCAGACAACTGCTAGACTCTCTTACAATCAACCTTAATCTATCGCCGTGCTACTAGTCGAGAAAGACGCCAAACTCTGTTGATACTGCAGTTATTTCTGTGTGTGTATCAAGAAGTTAGATTCAACCACATTCATATAAAGAGCAATTCCAAAAACATGTCACTGTATGGTTGCAAATAATAGCACTTTATATATAACAAGCTTTTCGCTTGCATGTATGTATACCTTCCTAATGTAACAGTAACATGTTCCTATTGCGCCGCCATGGATAGTGCATTAGTACATAATAAATAGCTTCAACTGATAGCGTATCTACTTTCAAGAGTTTTTCCGCGCTAGAATACAAAGCTGTGCAACTGCTGCTATCAAGCCTTGCTGGTGTCTCCCTAGTACCACGGAATGATAGCTTCTTGATTAATGCCATGTGAATATATTGGCGCTGCCTGATCTCAACGCTAACAGTAAAAAGAGCTTTCGTTATGGGAGTAATACAACAATTACCTACCGTATTTAAACCAATGGTACACGCTTCATCGTAAAGAAATACAATCAACATTACATTTAGCAATTTGAACATAAATAGGGCCATCCATAATCGCGGACAACTGTGCATTGTGGCACAACATATCAGCAATCCAATGTTGTTGGTTTGACTTGCTTCATCGTTGCAACGTGTCTGCTACATGCACATCTTGATTTTTAATCACAAACAGTGTGTTTGCATCATACATAGGACAATAATATATGCTGCTCAAGATAGATCCTGAGTTTAATGCCACATGAAATTTAACAAACTTAGAATGCCGTGCTATTGTCGCGCTTTACAACATTGCTTCTTTGCTTTAGATGTCTGCTAGCTGTTCGCATTAGAGAGAATTCAGGGACAGGGGATTCAGTTATATTTTCTAATGGAATTTTTGGCATTCTTCATTAGTTGTATTCCGGCCTTACGGCTATGATGTTAAGCTTAAAGTAAGGCTTTTTCGAGGCAAGTCTATTGATGCTACGCATATTTTTTAGCTATTGAGCAACTATGTAGAGCATTGGTGAACTGCCTAAAAACAATCAACGTGTAGTAGATATAACCTTCAAATAAGCATTTCAAGACATCATGCAGCAGTAAATTATAGTCACTAAGCAATTCCAAAGCCTTAGTGAGCATTTTGAGATTACAAACAAATATTGTCATGGCAAGCAAGATTAAACAACGCTAAATAAGTAGCCAATCTAACCAAAGGTGCTTTTCAATACATAGTTTATTCTATGATAGTATGAGGTTTTAAAAGCATCATCTACCTGCACCATCATAATATAATCGACTTCCTTCCCTGCCAGAAATATTCAATGTCCAAAAATAAATCTTTCATGATTTGCTATTTTTCAATCATTTTTCGACTTGTTTAAACTGTTTTGCATGATTCGACTATGTAAATTGTCGTGATCATCTTATATCTTCTTAAGCTTTCTTGGAGTACTTTTCAAGGCACATCTAATGGTGCTGGTTAAAATAGATGTTTTGAGTAAACTTATTGAGCAATTTCAGAAAATGTAAAATGTAATTTTGGGCGAAAATGTCGAGATTTTACATACCAAGGTCGTACAAACAAAGTTTCAACGGTTGCTTTGGATCGATACAAACATTTTGAACTAATATATGCCATAGTAAAAGTCTCCATTTTCGTGGTCAAAAACGCGATCGTTTGATTTTTGATGAAAACCATGAGGCATCCCTCATGCTTTTCGGTCGATTTTTGGTAATGTTTTTTAGGTCCCCAAAAAGTTGAGCAAAGGTGTCAGAAAGTAGCTGCCAGATGAGAGCAAGTGTGTGGTTCTGTTCTGGCAGTCTAAAACAGCGTTAAACACGAGAAAACACGGCTCAAATACACCGAGTTTTGCTGTGCTTTGCACATTTTTGAGTAATAGAAGATAATGCAAGTATGTCGTCCACCTGTATATGTATCTTTCCCATTGATATAGACGTGAATCATCGTAAAAGCGCCTGATTTACAGCTATGGAGGACTCTTATGTGATAGTGGAAAGGCAGAAAATCGATAGTAGTAAGGTATTTGCTGTAGCGTACAGTATTTTAACGAGACGGATCAAGGTGATCGACAGCGTGTGTCGCCTGCGCGTAAGTTGGTTCTGGCCAAAGTTAAACGAAGCTAGAGAACCACCCAAAGCGTAGTGGCACCCCCTTTTATTAATAATACAGAAAAAACTTCATTACTGTAGAGCACAGTGCGATCATTTGGGATCCTGTGAGATGTCCTGTGCACTCCTCCTCATTTAGGCTTCGTAGTTAACATCATGATGCACGGCTTAGAAAGAATTGAGATTTGTGTTGTCAATAACGTCAATTAGTAGCAACAGTTTGGTAAAATCCTAAGGGTCTAGAACACTCAGCAAATGGATTGCGTCGCAAATCTATTTTAGTAGTTGCGTTATAGGCTTGTAAATGCAGGGCAAGATGTTGTTTCTATACATAAAGCCTACAGTTTAGAGTTGGTTTCAGTTTCGGACATTTCATCATGCAAGGTGTTTCCAAGATTTCATTTGATTTCAGGTAATAATGTAATAGGAAATGCAACATCTTTGATACAAAACTGTTAGGGTGGTTTTATTAACTATATTTACAAGTGGGAAAAGTTGATGTACTATATAAAACGTGGGGTTTTGGTGAAAAATATACACGAAAATGATCAAGATCCTGCTTAAGCCTTGTCCTTGAGAGATTTGCCAGCATCAGCAACCTTATCACCAACATTCTTTTGGATTTCTTGACCCTTTTGAGCAGCAGCTTCCTTGGCAGCTTCATATTTATCAGCACCATCCTTCTTCAATTCCTCGACCTTGGCACTGGCATTAGCCTTTCCTTCCTCGTATTTACCCTTGGCTTCGTTGACCTTTTGATCGATAGCTTGACCAGCTTCAGATTTCTTTTCTTCATACTTGGCCTTGGCTTCATTAGCCTTATCACTAGCAGCTTGCTTGCCTTCTTGAATCTTTTGGTCAATCAATTCACCCTTCTTTTCAAGAGTTCCCTTGTTGGCTTCTACAGGTACATTTCGTTGAGTATCTTGTAAACATGCATGTCGTTTCAATTCAACTTACCAACAGATCTTTGATACAAATAGTAACCGATACCACCAGCAGCAGCTAAACCCAAGAGGAGACCACCGTTTCCACCGCCTTGTTGGTTGTTGGCAGCGGCAGAAGCAGTTGGTGGGGGAGGAGCGGAATAGAAACGCTTGTTGGCAATGACGGCATTACGACGAATAGAAGATCTCAAGATGGAAGAAGACATTTTGTTAATTGTTTGTATATATTAATATGTATGATATAATGAAAAGAAAAAGAGAGGGATAGAAATCAGTGCGTATTTATATTTTATCTTGCGAATACACTAACAAGTTTTATGAGATCATTATCACAACCTATTTCAACGTTATTAGAAACCAGACATTATGCTTCAAGTCAAAGTGACGTAAATCTGATGCATTGATCTGTTTTCGTGGTTGTATTTTTAACCTTATGTCCATCAAAACCCCCAAGGTACCATTGTTACTACACTTGTCTCCACATTATAGCCATGATTAGATATAGATGGGCATGACGTAAATCACAAGCATCATGGAGTAATCTTTGCAAGATGGAGTATTGAGTTTCAATGGCATCAACATCTGGTCCGAGCATCCATTCATTTAAATTTGTAATAATCATTTGGAGAAACCATGATTGCATTGCTCAGTTTTTCAATTAGCAAAGTAACATCGATTGATGAATGTTCCATGAATTTGTTGATCCAACTGACATTTAAACTTGATCCCATAGGGATGATCAATGTTGCCATGGTTACATTCCATCATGCTTCCGTGGCAACAGATGTCTGATCAAGAAGCACTAAACTAAGAGTTAATGCATGATACGTTTAAATCTGATAATTTAAATATGGCGATCCTTCATCAGATTCATTTCGAAATTTTGAAGGTAATCTATGGAGCATTGCGCAACCCCTCCCTATTTACTATTTTCCACCACTCAGAATACGTCATCAAGCGTTCAGATACGCAGTGCTGCGATATCCATTCTCCCCTTCCCTCGCGCATAGTTCCTTGGTCAAAAAGTAAGGTGGTACTGGTAGGAAACTTGCGAGTTTTCTTTTTCAGCAAAACCTTTACACCGACACTTTTACTTCTCACCCTCTCACATCCCTTTAGCAACGTATACTATTTTCATTTCATACAAATTATGAGTACATATGGAGCTTTTTCGTTTTCACAAAAGGTATATAGAAGAAAAAGAAATGCTTTTCAAAATTAGCGTTTCAAAATGACAATGTCATGAGATGTACTTATGCTTCTTTGCCTTGTTAAGTTTGCTACTGTAACTCTAGAAGCTACACGACTCTTTCAACATTGCAACCTTACGTTACGCGCACCTTCCTTGAGTAAACATCCTCATCTACATCAAAATTATGAACAATGGATACGAATGAACAAAGACACAGTAATGTTTTTCTCGATAGATAGATATGTACTTTGAATATTCATTATCACGCCATCTAGCTACCAGCATCTATACTCTCTGCAGACCTCGGTCAACTGAATAGAGCAGTGACAAATGCAACTCGCATATTGAAAGCAAATCCCAACATTGCATTGAATATGGCCCGCTTTATACCAAAGGAAAATTTTAAGACTGGAGCCTTCCAACCTATCCAACAACAACAACGTCGCACCTTGTTTTCTAGTAATGGAGGCAGCAATCGTATCACTAATTACCGACGATTGAACAAGCTTGAACAAGAAGCCAATGCTTCTCCAACGGATGCATTCAAACAAGCTACTTTATACAAGGTATAGACAAGAGTGCTGAATGATACGGGCTTCATTAATGCCTTGTTATGATAGGAATGGCTCAGATCAAACAACCCTCAAGCAGTGATCACTCGATTTGAACGTGGTAATTTCACACATAACGAAGAGTGCTGGCAATACTACATTGCTGCATTAGCGCAGACAGGGAAATCCGAAGCAGTATTACCCAGAATTTTGCAAAAACTGGAAGAATCTGGATCTCACAAGTTATCTGAAGCTGCGGGTGGAAGCAATCAGAGCGCCATTACCAAAGAGATCATCCAGCAAGTGATTGCCAGTCGCCAGGGAGGACGAGCTGTCAAAATGGAGGGTGCTGGTGGCGCCATTACTTCAGGATCTGGCAACAAATCAAATCCCATCTATGTCGTCGTGGAAGAAGCTCGTAAATACATGTTTTGGAAGGCTTTGCGATGGGTGGGCGTTACCTTGACATACGCATTTTGTATTCTTACGATTTTATCACTCGCGTTGGAGAACTCTGGACTACTAAAGGCAGCCAACTCACAAACCGAATATGAGCCAGTAACACAAACAACAGTTCGTTTTGAGGATGTCCAAGGTGTCGATGAAGCCAAGCAAGAGTTGGAGGAGATTGTCGAGTTCTTGAAGAATCCTCATCGATTCACAGAATTGGGCGGTAAATTACCAAAGGGTGTGCTATTGACAGGTCCTCCTGGTACTGGCAAAACTATGCTTGCTCGAGCTGTCGCTGGGGAGGCCAATGTGCCCTTCTTCTTTATGAGTGGCAGTGAATTCGATGAAATGTATGTTGGCGTGGGTGCCCGCAGAGTTCGAGAATTGTTTGCTGCTGCCAGAGCAAAGGCACCCAGTATTGTATTTATTGATGAAATTGATGCTATCGGATCAAAGAGAAACCCCAAGGACCAATCTTACATGAAGCAGACTCTGAATCAGCTACTTGTCGATCTAGATGGTTTCTCCCAAACAGAAGGTGTCATCTTTATTGCAGCAACCAACTTCCCCGAGTTACTGGACAAGGCTCTCGTTAGACCTGGTCGATTTGATAGAACTGTCAATGTTCCGCTGCCTGATGTGAGAGGACGCATTGAGATCCTGAAACACCATATGAAAAAGATTCATGTCGCCAGCGAAGTAGATGTCAGTGTTGTAGCAAGAGGCACCCCTGGATTCAGTGGTGCTGATTTAGCCAATCTGGTCAATCAAGCAGCCATTCAAGCAAGCCGCGAAAACTGCAAAGAGATCAATCTGCGCCATCTGGAATATTCCAAAGACAAGATCATCATGGGAGCAGAGCGCAAATCAGCAGTGATTACAGAGGAGAACAAGAGATTAACAGCATATCACGAAGGTGGACATGCTCTTGTAGCTTACTACACACCAGGCGCCATGCCATTACACAAAGCTACGATCATGCCAAGAGGATCAGCATTGGGCATGACAGTGCAACTGCCAGAGATGGACAAGGTAATAAGGAGATGATAACCTATAGCGATACTCATACTCATTCATGTGTGTAGGATTCCTTTACTAAAAAGGAGTTTTTAGCGCAAATCGATGTTTGTATGGGCGGCAGAGTAGCCGAAGAGTTAATATTCGGACAAGACAATGTTACTAGTGGAGCCAGCAATGATATTATGAAGGCCACCGACGTCGCCAAACGCATGGTGCGCTATTATGGCATGAGCGAGAAGGTGGGACCTGTGAACCACGACGATGATGACATGCAATTACTGAGCACACAAACCAAGCAACTGATTGAGAGTGAAATCCTGAACCTGATTGAAAGCAGCGAAAAGAGAGCCAAGCACATTCTCGTGGAGCATCGTGAAGAATTGGATCGACTTGCCAATGCTCTTGTTGAATATGAGACACTTGACTATCAGGAAATAATAGACGCTTTAGCAGGCAAACCTATTTCAAGGTCCAAATAGCTGTATTCAATAAAAATTTAGCTTGTACACACACATATTAGAATAACACACACCCACCCACACACCCATTTTACCGTCTTTTTTTCCCTTTTCCTTTTTCCTTCTTCCTTTTTCCTTTTTCCTGTTTCTTGTTCTTGTTTCTTTCCTTTTTCTTGATTGCTGTATTCTATTCTCTGTTTTGTACTCAAATGGACGTATCGCAACTATGTTCAAATCCTTCGGATTTAACTCCAACAGTGTCTAGCAAGACGTAATAAGTAGTATGCCCGTGGGATTGTGCATGGCGACTAACATACGCTAGGTGCTCCAGTGCGATGCACGATGAAAATAAATCAGAAACTGGCTTGCTTGGATCGGATAAGAATCCATCCACATCAGGTGGTTACACTTCAATAGCCAATGTAAGATGGTGATAGCACCCATGTAACGAGAGATACTAAAGCAGTCTGCTAGGTGCTAAACCAGTGCTCCAAACTATGTGAGAGTATATGGCAGCTCAAGCTGCAGCACAGCACCATGTCCAGTATAGAGAGGGAAATCATGATTGATAACCTATCTGAATCAGCAAAGCAGACGTTTCGAGACATTCAGTCGACTGGAAAGCACATTCACAAGGAGAAGCACATGCTCAAAAAGCGTCGCATTCAGTATCAGAACGACTATGACGACGACGATGAAGACGATGAAGACGACGATGAAGATGACGATGAAGACGAAGACGAAGAGCAAAACGAAGATCATCAGAATAAATCTGTCAATGTAAAAAAAAAAAAAAAAAAAAAAAAAGAACAAATGCTTCTTAATTTAGATAGGGCTCCTTTTAACCTTGTTGATATAGAAAGATCATGCTGAATACGAACTCATCAGACAGGCAAGGAACCTGCAAAACAACAACAGTCAGTCAAGGCCAAAGTACCGCAGGAGAAATGTAACGCTGCCACTGACTCATTGTTGTATTTGATTCACCCTCTCTAACAACAAATTTTTCGCAAATTTAGAGGCGCAACATGATAGGACAAAAGTGTCATTCTTGTGGCACAACTGAAACTCCTGAATGGCGTCGTGGTCCTGATGGTGCGCGGACTCTCTGCAACGCTTGTGGTCTGCGTAAGTGCGAATCAATCATAGATGATTGAAGGCTAAACAGTAGCGTGTAGATTACTCAAAACTGCTGAAAAAGGGGTCCATTGGCGTGCAGACACAAAACTATCTCATCACAGGTGGCTCGCCACAAGTGTCAGCGACATCATCCATACTACAGACCCAATGTATTCGGAACAGTTCAGCGAATACAAAAGCAATAGAAGCAGCGTCCACAACGAGCCCTGTGAATTACCCGTTTGTATTGATGGATCCAAAATACCTCAATAGAGGAGTAGGTACCCTGAAGCATGATCCCGACACGTCAATCATATCAACGTCTAGCCAACGATCCTATTATACCCCTTCACTACCTTCCTCCACACTGCCATCATTACAATTGACTCAACAGCAACAATTACCATCTTTATCTACATTAACAGCTAACAGCGATTCTAAATTTGTAAATACCAACCAGCCCGAAAAAGTATCGTTACCATCACTGACAAAACTGCAACGCAACATCAGTGATAACCAACTTAATAAGAATCACACATCTACGCCAACTACCACTACTACTATTACCTCCAATGCACCGGGTGGAACCAGCGACAGCAACACTATGAACAACATCGCTCCACTTCGTATTCATCAATGGAAACAAAACGAATAAACACATTATACAGACTTTTTATTACCTAGCATTTAGCCTGAGGAGAATAAGGGTTCACATTCACCTCAAACGTAACTGATCGCTTTGGTTCACACTGCTCATCACCAGTACCGTGAAACAGTGTTATCAAATAGTAATAAGATCCCGTTATAGGCACTTCCATGCTGAATGTTTTGGTAGCACCTAAAGTATTCAATGACTCTTTTTCGACCACATTCGATACTTTGGCATTGGTCTCTGCGCTATACACATCAACTGAAATCTTGGCCTTCCCACCAGCTCCATCAATATCAAAAAAAGGTGCAACACTGGCAAGATCATACGACACCTGATAACATTGGCCAGCTGTCCATCTGAGGTTTTCCTCTGTTGGCGAAGTAATTCGGATACCTGTGCAAATGTCTTGCTGTTGCGCTGATACACTGTATGATAACAGCAAGAGGACAGTCAGTAGATAGATATGCATATGTAGTGATTTTGAATAAAGGGGAATGTAGTCTGTTGTACTGTAGTTTTATAGTCATTAACATTTGTTTACTTTAATTCCAATGAGCACAGATCCTTTGGAATTTATTAAATTACATAAAACAAGCTAGGATTGATATATCGGATCAGTGTAACGCATCGAATACGATTGTAACACTTTGAAGGGCTGTTATGATGATACCAAACGTAAAAAGGATCGACAATCTGCTAAATGTAAAGGATTTAAAATACTGGCTTTATTATTACAGAAGTTGCTATAAGTACACAAGTTGAGAGCTTAATTGCATTTAGATGGTGGAGAGTTCTTGTTGTACTCGACGTAAAAGTAGGGTGTTTTGATTGGCTTGCAACTATCACCGTAGGTAACAAGGTAATAGTAATCACCCGACTTGTGATATTTACCCAGATCAACATTGAACCAAGGCGTGGAGATGCCGTCAGCCTTTACCTTATTGATCAGGTTGCCAATGAATTTGTCGGTCTTGTATTCGTACAGATCAACAGAGACCCAGGAGCGATCTGAAGGTGGGTTGCCGCCAAAGTCATACGAAACTTGATAACATTGGCCTGCAGTTGTCTTGAAATAGGTATTGGGTGCAGTAACATGAAATCCATTACACTTGTCCTTGGATGAAGTAGGAGCAGCAGAAACCATGGCAGCAGCAAAAGCCAAGATGGAAGCAGACTTGAATAAGGTGAAAGAGACCATTAGAGAATTTGTTTGTTTGATTGTTTGTTTGATAAGTGGATGAGTTTGAGGAAAGAGTAGACAAGTTTCGTTCTTTATATACAGTTTTTACAGAAACCTCGTGAACTTGAATTGAGCCATGAATAAGCTAAAGTTGTATATATAGAATAGCGACGCATTAGAATAAATGCTTAGAATGATACGAAAGTGAGATATAAATAACAAAGCGAGGTCTCTCTGCGCTTGTCTTTCACAAAAGAAGCACCTGACTGTATGAAAACAAGGTGTTCCAATGCTTGTTTATACAGTCGTTGTGTAATAACGTGGCTATGCTAAGGCTTACTTGACATTTACATAAAGTGAGCTCCATTGCTTGAAAATTTCTCACGAGTCTACTTATTGTGTAGTAGGATAAAAGGCTTCATGCAAACTCTCTTGCTACTATTAACAGTTTCTTTTGCAATTGATAGTAATAGTGCTATTTTTGCATCTGAGTGATCAAATGGAGCACTACAAGTTGATTCTTAGGCAACAACAGGCTAAGAGAAACATGCCTATTTAAAAAAAAAAAAAACTGTGTTTTGCCGCCTATTTTGCTATTTATACAAACAAATGATTTGGCTGAAGTGCCTGTTTCTAATTCAGGAACATAGCACTTTACAATAGTCAACCAAAATCATGAGAACCTTAAAGCACATACTTTCGCTCTTTACATTTATGGAGGTATTTTTAGATTTCGTTTATGCAAAAAATTCCTATTATCGTAGACAACAACGTACTATTCATCTGAGCATGCATCTCAGCCCTACTTTTTTTTCGTTTTTTGCTGGATAATCTTTTGCTTTGATATGACCAAATCATTATCCAGCCTCATCATAAAATAGTTAGTTAATAAGAATAGTGTCACGAAGTAGCTATCCACCGATCACATTTATTTAGCACCATTCTGCCCATCTCAAATGGCTCGACAAGGCAAATATCTGTGGATAAAACTACCCAAATCATGCCATATCTATCCAAGAAAACATGGATTCAGTGATAGCCCGAGTGCAGGACATTACTGTATCATTTTACAGCCTTTCGTGTTGATAATAAGCATAATCTGAAATGTATATATGCCTGCAGTTGGCCATATATCATACAATCCTAAAGTGTCTTACTAGTACAGGCTAAAACTTCGCTTTAAGACTTCTTATTATTATGTAAAACCCTTAAATGTAATCTACAACTGCGAATTTAACTCTTCATCGTTGATCCGCGTCTGTAGCAATGAAAATAGCTTATTTACAAGTATATAGCATACTTGCATTATCTTCTATTACTCAAAAATGTGCAAAGCACAGCAAAACTCGGTGTATTTGAGCCGTGTTTTCTCGTGTTTAACGCTGTTTTAGACTGCCAGAACAGAACCACACACTTGCTCTCATCTGGCAGCTACTTTCTGACACCTTTGCTCAACTTTTTGGGGACCTAAAAAACATTACCAAAAATCGACCGAAAAGCATGAGGGATGCCTCATGGTTTTCATCAAAAATCAAACGATCGCGTTTTTGACCACGAAAATGGAGACTTTTACTATGGCATACGAGCCTTTCAGCACTTCGGGTGGTTTCCTGACCTACGCTTCGCTTCGGTGGAAACCAACCTACGTTCAAACGGCTCGCGCTGCCGCGGGCCTTTGGCTAATATCCCAAAATTAATATAGCTAAAATGTTAGAAGAGGAACCCTGATTGTTGATTGATATATAATCACTAATCATATGAGTGTTTATGCTTCGGATGGTTCTCACCGAAGCGTAGCGAAGGTAGAGAACCAACCTGCGCAGCGGCAGCTCGTGCTACTGATTTCTCTTGCGTATTTTATCAAAATACTGCTACTTTCATTTTGACCCTCCACTTACACATAGCAACCCTTCATATTATCTGTGGATCTGATTCTTATGTGATGTTCTACATCCATATACACGTAGCTACTTCATATACGGGCAAGCAGCATACTGGTATTCCCACTTTTTAGTCCTTAGTGTCCCTAATACAGCAAAATATGAGTGCATTTGAGCTGAATTTTCTTGCGTTCAAGGCCGTTTTAGATCGTCAGAATAGCCCCAAATGGTTGCTTTCATCTGGCAGTTACTTTCTGACACTTTTGCTCGACTTTTTGGGGACCAAAAAAACATGGTCAAAAATCGACCAAAAAGCATGAGGTATCCCTCATGGTTTTCATCGAAAATCAAACGATCGCATTTTTCATCTTGATAATGGAGACTTTTACTATGGTATATCTTGAATCAAAATGTTTCTATCAATCCAAAGCAACCTCTGAAATTATCTTTGTGGGACTTTGATATGTAAAATTTCGACATTTTGGCCATAAACCTCTTTTCATATGTTTACAAATCATTTAATAAGTGAATTCAAAACATCTATTTTACTTAGTACCATTGGAAGCGCCTTGAAAAGTACTCCAGGAAAGCTTAAGGAAGCATGGGGTGATTATCATACTTCACTTAGTCGAATCTGCAAAAATAGCTCGATCGAGTCCAAAATTATCAAAATATGTCCAATCTGGAACAGACTATGATTCTGGGTTTGAATTAATTTTGGCTGGTAGGGCCAGCTGGAAAACTCATGCCCTTTTCATAAGGCAATACAGTAGTAAATGCCCTTGAAGCGTATAGAAAGTAGGTGGAAGGTCATAGCACTATCGTTTATAATGATATTTTATTGCCTTCTATATCGTTCATAATGATATTTTATTGCATTCTATATTTAATAACGTTAGTCTGGACATTGACAATGCATGGGTTGCATAAAATGTCTGCAGTAAGTAATGAAATCTCTGAGGCTCTGAGACGTCGCTCAAATAAAACATTGACAGCATTGAGCAGAGGAAAGAGGGTAGAAACAACAGTGGTTTTTGTTGATTGATTGTAAAATCATTATTCTCATATGAGCCAGGACAGATAGATGCCTTGAAACTCAGGTTCCATATTAGGATTGTAAAGTGCAAAAGTACTGAACATTTATTATGTTATGATATGAGCCAGGTCTGATAGATGCCTTGAAACTCAGGTTCCATATTAGGATTGTAAAGTGCAAAAGGACTGAACATTTATTATGTTATGATGATATGAGCCAGGACAGATAGATGCCTTGAAACTCAGGTTCCATATTAGGATTGTAAAGTGCAAAAGTACTGAACATTTATTATGTTATGATATGAGCCAGGACAGATAGATGCCTTGAAACTCAGGTTCCATATTAGGATTGTAAAGTGCAAAAGTACTGAACATTTATTATGTTATGATATGAGCCAGGTCTGATAGATGCCTTGAAACTCAGGTTCCATATTAGGATTGTAAAGTGCAAAAGGACTGAACATTTATTATGTTATGATGATATGAGCCAGGACAGATAGATGCCTTGAAACTCAGGTTCCATATTAGGATTGTAAAGTGCAAAAGTACTGAACATTTATTATGTTATGATATGAGCCAGGACAGATAGATGCCTTGAAACTCAGGTTCCATATTAGGATTGTAAAGTGCAAAAGTACTGAACATTTATTATGTTATGATATGAGCCAGGTCTGATAGATGCCTTGAAACTCAGGTTCCATATTAGGATTGTAAAGTGCAAAAGGACTGAACATTTATTATGTTATGATGATATGAGCCAGGACAGATAGATGCCTTGAAACTCAGGTTCCATATTAGGATTGTAAAGTGCAAAAGTACTGAACATTTATTATGTTATGATATGAGCCAGGACAGATAGATGCCTTGAAACTCAGGTTCCATATTAGGATTGTAAAGTGCAAAAGTACTGAACATTTATTATGTTATGATATGAGCCAGGTCTGATAGATGCCTTGAAACTCAGGTTCCATATTAGGATTGTAAAGTGCAAAAGGACTGAACATTTATTATGTTATGATGATATGAGCCAGGACAGATAGATGCCTTGAAACTCAGGTTCCATATTAGGATTGTAAAGTGCAAAAGTACTGAACATTTATTATGTTATGATATGAGCCAGGACAGATAGATGCCTTGAAACTCAGGTTCCATATTAGGATTGTAAAGTGCAAAAGTACTGAACATTTATTATGTTATGATATGAGCCAGGTCTGATAGATGCCTTGAAACTCAGGTTCCATATTAGGATTGTAAAGTGCAAAAGGACTGAACATTTATTATGTTATGATATTAGTTCAAAATGTTTGTATCGATCCAAAGCAACCGTTGAAACTTTGTTTGTACGACCTTGGTATGTAAAATCTCGACATTTTCGCCCAAAATTACATTTCACATTTTCTGAAATTGCTCAATAAGTTTACTCAAAACATCTATTTTAACCAGCACCATTAGATGTGCCTTGAAAAGTACTCCAAGAAAGCTTAAGAAGATATAAGATGATCACGACAATTTAAATAGTCGAATCATGCAAAACAGTTTAAACAAGTCGAAATTTAACAAAACTCATCCAATCTTGAGAAGATGAAAAACGGCATTTCAATTTGGAGTCGGCTGCCAACCTATGCCACATTGTCTATGCTCAAGCTGTTACCTATTTGATGCTGTTCATATCATGAAGATTCTCAGCACCTTTGATGCTTATAAAAAGGGGATTGTGCATTGAATATAACAACTGCTTGTCTGGCAAATCTCCTTTGATTTTGTTCCACAAATTTATATCTGATACAAAAAACAATCGTTTGCAACCTGCGAATGCAACTACGAAGCCTGATGTGAGATGCAAATATCGCTATCCTATTCAAGATGATGCTTTGTATGTGAGTCCTTTCTACCAACTAGTAAAGCCCTGATATACAAACAATTGTTTTGCCATCCAAAGTGGTAGCCATTTAAAGGAAGCTTGTAAATACACATTGGTAACCGGTTGATTATCACAGACTTTTACATCCCATTAGTAAGAAAAGAGGGAGTGAAATGTTTCTGACGACGACAAAGTACGATAATAAATCATTGCAATAGACTATTGAACTTATATACTGAGGTCATTTGTGCTTCCAAGACACAAGAGAGACGCTACTCTTGCTTGTGCTCATGCAACCACTACTTCAATGTGTCTTGAGGATGATGATGAGAATGAGCTCCGGGATTGTTCTGCCATTGGTCCGGCGCGCACTCGTTGAAAATGTTGTGAATTAGGGGGGAGATGTTTGAAAACAAACACCCCACTCTCATCTGAGGACGAGCAGCGACGACGGGGCAGCAAATTGAGTAAGTACAGTAGGAAAAGTGCGAAAATGGATGGATCTCTCTCTTTGCTGTGCGTATTAAAACGTAAGATATACATACATATACATCCGTGAGGATACAGAGATAGACGATGATGGATGGCCTGGGATGTGAGACAGGAAATGGGGTGATGCTCTCTTTTTTTTTTGGTTGGATGTATGGATAGATGATTGCTTGGATGGATATTTGCAGCACAGAAAAAAAAATCAGTTGATATGAAATGAGCTACGTTATTTCATACAGTGCGAAGCTGCCTGCGACAACCAAGAAAAAGAGAGCATTGCAGGAGAAGGAGGCAATATAATATTGAACATAGTATTGACACATTTCCAATTCATTTAGACTCTATTAATTAAATATGGTCAGATACGCTGCTACTCCAGCCAACCCTGCTAAGGGTAAGTGTGCCCTTGTGCATTTCTTGCTCAACATACTCACACATTTCTGATTTTACTAGCTGCCAAGTCCAGAGGTTCCTATCTTCGTGTTCACGTATGTTGATTTGATGCTTTGACGTTTAGATTCAGTATTAACAGCTTGCCCCTTATTTCCAATAGTTCAAGAACACTCACGAAGTTGCTGTCGCTGTCAAGGGATTGAAGTTGAGCAAGGCTTATGCTTATCTTAACAACGTTACCGAACACAAGCAAGTCATTCCTTTCCGTAGATTCAACGGTGGTGTTGGTCGTGCTTCTCAAGCCAAGGAATTCGGTACCACTCAAGGTCGTTGGCCCGTCAAGTCTGTCAAGTTCGTCACTGACTTGTTGAAGAACGCTGAAAGCAATGCTGAGGTAATTATACAAGTGTTCAGGGTAGAATGTAGTAGATCAGGATTATTTACGATTTGTTTAAACTTGTAGGCCAAGGGTTTGAATGTTGAGGAACTTTATATCTCCAGCATTGTTGTTAACCAAGCTCCCAAGCATCGTCGTCGTACTTATCGTGCTCACGGTAGAATCAACCCTTTCATGTCTTCTCCCTCTCACATCGAGGTTGTCCTCACTGAAAAGGATGAGGTTGTTCCCCGTGCTGATGACAAGAAGGTTGTCAAGCTTAATGCTCGTCAATTGGCCCGCAACGCTCGTCTTGCTCGTGCTTAAATATTACAATCTCTTTTTTTCGTTATTCAATAAAGAAATCAGGAAAATTACAACATGTATGAAATGTTACTCTTTTGATCAAATCATCACATGAGTAGTAAACTTGTTAATATATATATAAGAGTGTGCGTGAGAGAGCATGGAGCGAGTCCTATGGATCAAAGGGAGAGAATACAACATGTAACTCTGCTGATCTCTTTTGAAGAAAACTTACATCATGTCACTTGGATCATTTGAAAGGGGGGGGGAGAGAGAAAGAGATAGAAAGATCGCTCCACAGCTCTATTTTTGATTTAGTGCCCCGCCTTCTGTTGTGAATAGTATCATAATATGTAACCATGTCATGTATGAGTAGATCTATCGAGCTAGTGCCATTAGAAAACAGCGTAACCAGGAGGGCCCAACTTTTTAGATAAATTGACATTGCGTGCATCGTTTCTTTTTCTTTCTTCTTTTCCCTTTTTCCTCAATTTTTAACAAAAATGTCTACTGAACCTACTACTACTACCACTACCGCTACTATCGACGCACCTGTCACTACCACAGTCGATACTACTCCCGTTGCTCCTGCCACTGAAGCTGCTGCTGTAGCTGAACCCACTGCCACTACTGCCGCTCCCGTCGTTGATGAGCCTGCTACCACTGAAACTCCTGTAGCTGATGCCACCACCACTGAAGAGCCTGCTGCTACCACTGAAGCTGCTCCTGCTCCTGTTGCTAGCAAATCAACAACATCCAAGCGTCTTTCTCTCTTGCTAGGCAAAGCAAAGACATTTGTTGATAAAAAGGTCTCTGATAAGAAGCCTGCCAAGAAGGAAGCTGCCAAGGAAACCACTGCTACCGCCACTGAAATTCCTGAAGCAACTGAAACTACCGAAGCACCTGCTGCCGCTGCTGTAGAAGAGCCTGTCGTGCCTGTTGCTGCCACCAGCGAAGAGCCTGTCGCTGCTGAATCAACCGAAGCCGCTGTACCTGCATCAGCTGCCACTACCGCCTCCACTGAAGAAGCTCATGTCGAGAAGCCTAAAAATGAGAAGCGCAAATCTATCTTGGGTAACATCTTCCGCAGCAAGGTAATATATTACACTGCATTTATCATATGTCGGATCAGATTCAACTCTTTTGTTGCTTGGAGTTTGAATCCGTCCATGGGCTTTTCCCAAAGAAGGTTCAGCATCAGCAAGGCTGGTGTGACCCATTTGGGTTCCTACTATTTTATTTATTATGGTTCCAGCCTATTTTAAAACTCTATCATGGACTTTTGTGATCTACCTTTCAAAGTTCCATTGTACAATAGTTACTCAACCTTTTTTTCTTGCTTTTTTTTTTTTAGAGCCCAGTTCAAGCTAAGGAAGCTGAAAAGACTGAACCCAAGGGTAAGGCTTTCTGAAAAAAAAGTACAATGACGAGATACAATAGACTCATCTTGCATATCATTTTTAGTTGATCAAATTGAAAAGCCTGATGAAACAGTCGTTGATAAGGAGGTTCAGGAGACACCTGCTGCTGATGCTGCTGCTGCCGCTACATCGGGTGCTATCGTAGAAGAGGAAGCTGATGTTGCCACTCCTGCTTCTGCTAGCAAAGAGGCTGCTCACAAGGAACACAAGGACAATGTCATCGATACCATCAAGAAGGGACCACTTGGCAAATTCTTCAACAAGAAGGAAAAGAAGGAAGAAGCCAAGGAAGAGCATCATGCCGCTGCCACCGAGACTACTGCTGATGTTGCTGCACCTGTAGTCGCTGACGAACACATTGTTGAGCATGCAGCTACTGCAGAGCCTGTTGCTGCTGGTAAGTTTAACAAACCATCAACCCTCCACCACTTTCTTCATAAACTATCAATGGAAACACATGTGAACATGTGTAACTAGTGTTATTTTTGTATACAGGGCATGTTTGTTGTCCTGTGTTTTCAACAATTCCTTCTTTTATACATGTACAACAGCAACATCATCGTTTATTTCTAATATTAAATTTGTTTTATTTAGTCGCTGCTGAACCTACCACAACTGCCACCGCCACCAAGACTTCTGAAGTTAAACGTTCTGGATCTCCCTTGGGACGTCGTCTTACTCAGATGATTCGTGGATTCTCCAACAAAAAGAAGCCCGTTGAGAAGAAGGAGGAACCCGTTGCTGCTACTGAGGCTACCACTGAAGCCGCTTCCGAACCTGCTGCTCCTGCTGTTGAGGCTGCTGTCGTTGAGGCTAAGGAACCTGAAGAGCCTGCTGCTCCCAAGAAGGAAGAACACGAAGAGCCTGTCATTGCACCTACTGCTACCACCAATCCTGCCGTTCAAGCAACTGCTTAAGCGAATCGGTAAAATTAATGAAATAGTTAGCTTTTTGTGTGTAATGAGGATGGTTAATTAGTATAACCCCCCATCGTCATTGCAGGCACAATGTAGCGACTACCCTTGAACATGTTATTAATATCCTTATAATTCTCTATTATTTATACTTTTTATTACTATTATTATACTATATTCTTATACAAAAACCGTTCTTCTGGAGCAATTACATTACACATCCTTCACAAACACATATTGCAGTTGATAGCATTGAATAATAATAATAAAAACTCTTTTTTTTTTTTTTTTTTTTTTTCATTATTGTGATTTCTCGGTTATTATGTTTTGGCAAAATAATCTTTAATATCACACCACCTTTGATGTGTAACAGCTTGTGGTTTTGTTTGATGTTGATTTGTATAGAGCACAAATCAAAAAATCTTGTGTTCGACATTGGTAAACAAAGAGTAGCGACTCCTCTTTTAAGCATCTCCCTATTCTCCCCTACATGGCATGCTGAAGCTTATTCAAGCTGATCATACATGTTTTGATTTCTCACCATCATGTGTCTATGCTTTCATTTGTATATGCACAGAAATATTATATCATACACCCAGTTCTTTTTTTTTTTCATTTTAATTTTCTTGTGCCACCACAACCGAACACCAAAAAAGAACAATATCCTTTAAAAAGGTCATACAAAAAGTATACATCATGAGCATCATGTTACATTGCAACTACCAAGATAATGAACAAAAGGGCAATGTTTAATAAGCCAAGCTAGATTGACCAAGTCGCTGTAAATGTTATCATTTGAAAATCACGACACGGTTCAGACACACTCAGCATATCATTGAGTAACCATTCTCTGTGATCTGACTCGAGACAGAATTTTGGATTCACCCCTAGTTGTTTCTTGCAGAACAACAGAGAACATCTAGATTTTTATATGTTTTTGGACCTTTGTGAGACCAGCAACAAGGAATCCGCTAATACAAATACCCTTTTTCTCTTTGGCTCATGTTGGAATGGACGCTTGACCTACATTTATTGTTTATAGCGTTGACTAAATACTAGCAGATGATTCATGCACGCACAAGCCCATATCGTATTGTTGATTTCCTGCAATATTTCCAAACACAAACAAAACCAGCTTTCCAAGGGGATTGAATAAAGTGTTTCAAGTGTATAGATTATATGCAGAAAGCATTGTAACTTTACATTTTGTGTACTGAATACTTTACAGATCAACATTAATCGATCCAACTTCTTATCGTCACGATGATCTGAGCTGGGAGATTCATGTATTCATGTGCCAAGGGCCTCCTCTGTCTGCTCACGAACTGTATCTCTAGGTGAACTCAGATAAAGGCCGCCAACGACTTGAAATACATAGCTAGATCATGTTGAAATGCAATTAATATATGCAATGTAATCAACACAAATATCACAATGTCACCCAGAAAATAGTCGAGGGTGTGATAGGTGTCATCTGCTCCCAACTTCCATATGCGCTTAAAAGCATCTATAATGGCATTGGATTCAGTCTCTGCAAAAGATTAAAATTTGAGAAAGGGTAACCTCCATATGCACATACATTTTCAAGTAAAGAGGATATCAAACATCTAATTTTATTGCCCACAAGTGATGGGCTCGTTGACAGGATCAATGGCATCATCATCAGCGACACTTGAAGCAAACATATAATCATTCATGATATCGTCCACATCGTATTGCACTCGCCCCTTTCTTCTCAGTTGACCCTTTGTCTTCTTTGTTGACTTGCCTACGAATTTGGGAGCCTCAATGCCCTTCAACAGTGGATTGTAAGCATAAGTTCCTGCAGAGCTATTGTCATCGGTGGTCTTCTTTTTCGACAAATCCATCTTTGTTACTGGCTGTGTGGCTTCATCATCAGACGACGAGGAGGAATCCGCATCTTGTACCTTGACTTGCTTTGTTTGCACATCGATTGTCATGACCTTGTGTCTGTTACTCTGCCCTTTTCTCTCTATACGTCTCAAGTTGGATTGCTGCTTTTTGAGCATCAATGCCTTCTCCTGTGATGTTAACCAAGGATTTGACTGGTCGGTGGGTAGCTCGAAATCAGTAGCTTGATCAATAACAGTGCTTCGCTGTGCACTGGTTCTCTGAAATTCTAGTAGCTTCTCCTTGTGCTGCTCTGCTTTCAATCGGCTATCATCGTCATCACTGCTTTGATAAGGTGAGCCATAGGAGCTCATGTTGCCGCCACCCAGCTTGGACGCATAAGCAGCTCTGCCACCACTGTTGGCACTGCCAGGCGCACGTTTGGCAGGCTGATTTTGCGCTTGCTTCTGTTCTGCTCGTTTCCTTTTGGCTTCTGCAATGAGTGCCACTTGCTGTTCCTTGGATAACACGGGCGATTCACAGAGGGAACATGGTCCAACACCTTCCTCTGTACAGATGATTTTGCCGCAATTCAAGCAATTCGGTGCTGCGGTAAGCAAGGGATGTTTTGTCGCTTGACATTGGCAAGGTTTTCTCTTTTTTCCAGGTGTTTCCGCCTTGATGTCTAGTTCTTTCAATGCTGCCTCCAACGTCATTTCTTTCTTGCTGGGCTTTTTCTCCTTTTTCGCTGAAGCATTCGTAATGGATGTCTGCTTGTTTTCAGATGGAAAAGCTGCTGCTCGAAGTTCGTTGGTTTGTGATTTGTTGTTCTTTGATTTTTTGTTCTTGCGTAGTCTGTCGAAGAGTGAGCAAACTGGACAATCGTGGTCATACATGTATCAGGAAACATACCCTGCAAAGTATTCGTCTTCCTTCTTTTGATGCACACTAATGTTGGCTGGCCACATTGTCTCATATGGTTGCTGATGAGAAGGTAGAGCTGGAAAAACACCCTCTGACTGAGTGTTTGGAATTGAAGAGACGGTGCTAGATGACGATGGGGAAGCAGTTGCATTAACAGAGGCGGAAGCTGTAGGCTTTGGCTTTGGCTTTGGCTTTGGAAATGCTCTGCTCTGTTCTGCGGGTGCTTGCTTGGGGTGAAAGCGACGTTCTGTAAACTCTTGTATGAAAGCCAATGCCTCATCGCTGGTGCCAACCATTTCCTACAGGTAAATATTAGTTGATACATGCGCGCGTGCTTTAATACGTATGTTTCTTACCAAAAGTTGATCAGCAAAGGCTTGTGAAGAGTCGCTGGTCATTAGATAGGGCAGTATCTGTGTCTGCAAGGTCTCAGGATCGAATCCCAAGAATACGCTTAGTTTATCAATAGCCCAGCTTTCGAGTGACATTGCTCAAATGACAAGTGTTTGAATAAAAGTGAAATTCATCAAAAATCCTGGTCTCGCTTTTATGGATGTCGAGAAACTGCGGCACATTCGGGGACATAAATCAGTCGAAAAGGCTGAACTGAGCATGTTTAGATGAAAGAAAAGAGAGAAACAGGGCTTTATTAATTGATACAACTAATTCAAATATGTGAAGGTAAAATAACAGAAAGGGAAAAGCAATAGAAAATCCAAAATTAACATGGTTTTTATATATACAATCCTTCTAATTGGCATTGACAAGAGTCTTCAAAATGTTCTCGAAAGTGTCACGAATTTGCTTGGTGGAATCACGTTCACGGAGGGTGACAGTACCGTCTTGAACGGTATCGAAATCAATGGTGATGGCATATGGAATACCGAGCTCATCGTTACGAGCATATCTACGACCAATGGAGGCCTTACTGTCATCTGTACGAAGAGAAACACCAGCCTTACGGAGCTCGCGAGAGTACTTGCGGACCAAAGGCTCGAAAGCAGCGTTACCAGAGAGAGGCAAGAGACAGCACTTGAAGGGGGCGACAACGGTAGGGAATGAGAGGACGTTACGAGCCTCATCGTCTTCACGAACCCACCAACTGTGTTCCAAAAGGGAGTAGAGGATACGACCGATACCGAATGAAGGCTCAATAACGTTGGGGGTGTATTCACGGACATGTTCGGTAACTGTACCACGCTTGACAGTGACATTCTCCTTACCGACTTCGATGGATTGACCATTGACTTGCACAGAACCAACACCGTTAGCCTCCAAGTCCTTGGCCAATTGAGCATATTGGTCTTCGGACAAAGCCAACAAAGCCTCCTCAACGACCTTGGCATCCTTCTTGTACTTGGGACCAAAGGTCTTCTTGTTGATTTCAACTTGCCAGAGCTCCACAGTGCGAGGCTCAGCCAATTGCTCACGAACAACCAACTTCTCGCCAGTACGATTAGAATGAACAGACAAATCATAAGCAGAACGATCAGCACAACCGACACATTCGATCCAACCGTAACTAGTGTGAATTTCAGCATCCCAACAATCACAAGCATAATGTGCCATTTCGTTGTCCATGTGTTGACGGAAACGGAGACGATCACTCTTGATACCGATCTTGTCCAAGAATTGGTAGATACGAGCAATAAAGTAACCGAGAGTTTGGTTATCGATAATCTTCTTCTCGACAGCTTCACCCATAGCCATTTGAATAGTATCAGTCTTACCGCTCATTTGCACATCCTTGGGCAACAAAGTCAAGACAACATCCTTGACATCATCAAACTTGGGATGATCCTTGTTTTCAGGATCAACGTAGTGCTCAATTTCAGCCATGGTGAATTCACTAGAGTGTAACCGAGTGTGAGATGACGGAATCCATGTATATCTGTGCAAATCTTACCGAACACGCAAAAGACCAGAGCGAGGAGAGATTTCGTTACGGAAAGAACGGCCAACTTGAGCAGAGGCAAAGGGCATCTTATCATTGTTGAATTCAAGCAGCTTCTTGAAGTTGAGGAATTGACCTTGAGCAGTTTCAGGGCGCAAGAAACTATGGCTGTGTGAGTACATTTGCGCTAAATACTATCGAACTTGATATTTACCCCTTCAATTGACCTGTAGGACCGATCAAAGACTCAAACATCAAGTTGAATTCTTTGGGTTCGGATAGCTCATTGCCAGATTCAGGAGAACGAATGTCAAACTTCTTCATGATGACAGCCAGCTCATCACCACCAAAGTTATCGATTTGAGCCAAACATTCCTCGTACGATTGGCGAACATCATCAGCTAATTCAACGGCAACAACAGTACCCTTCTTCTTCTTCTTCTTTTTGTCGACCTTGGCAGCGGCATCAGCAGCACTCTCAGCGGCAATCTGCTCGGCTGTCTTACCAGCCTTGGCAGATCTGGCTTCCTTGTCACCTTGAAGACGTGCCTCAAGGACAGCTTCAATAACGTGATCAGCTCTGAAGATTTCACCGTTCTTCAAGTCTTTGCACATGAAATCAGCAAATTTGTCGACATGGCCAGAGGTCTTGAGCACATCGTGAGTGGTCATGATGGTGGTATCGACCTCGAGCATCTCTTCCTCCAAGACGAAATGGTTACGCCAGAGAGAGATGATGTTGTTTAAAAGGGCACAACCAGAAGGACCGAAATCATAAAGACCAGCGACACCTGAAATTCGCAAAAGATAAGTCAAACTAGGTACAGATCAAACACTATCATCTGAGCTACATTACCACCGTAGATTTGGAAAGAAGGCGCGTAGAAGAAACGTTTAGTAACGAGTTGCTAAATGGAGATTGACAGGGCTAACATTTAGTATGGAAAAACTCATTTTGCAACTCAAATGTCGAATGGTGGAAAAAGTACCTCAAGAGCAGCTCTATCAAACTTATCAGCAGAAGCCATGTTGAGCAAAATAGTTGTAATATGAGTAACGAAGAAGAGCATTTCACTCATGCTCCTCCGAGTTTCTTATATACGCAAAAAATTTAAGTGGCTTTGAATTTTTCTACAACAGAAGATGAGTCAACATATGCTGTTGGAAAGGGTACACAATAAAACTTACACCGAAGGAGCCATTGTTACAAATTCATGCGTGACATAATAACATGAGTCAACAATACTGGTACTTGGCCACCTGCGTCGCATTACCATTTTTTTTTCCTATCATTAGCTGCGAGAAGATATTGTAACATTCGAAGAAGCAATTTGCGTTTTGTTAAACAGAGAATACAACGATGAGAATATACGCAAAGCGAAAGCTCTTTTCGATATGAATTCCAATTAGTGTATTTGGAGAGTTATCCTGAATTATCAATGCTTGTACATTGCTCTCCTGTATATCTTTCAAAACTTGCATTACCCAGGAGTAGCTTTTGAAGAACATTGACATGTGCATGCCCACCAGTACAAGGTACATTGATCTGTAAATCTATCTTTAGTGTGCGCACAGACTCGTTTGCATTTAAATAATATGATTGCTGTCCATTTTAAAGACTGGTGCATGCTATTTTATAAAGGCATACAACACATGAATGGAATTCTCGTTGGCCACAATGACTTGATTAGGGGAGTCTGTGGTGGGCTTGGTGCCTGAGATTGGCGAGACCTTCCAGTAGATCCCCATGATGGTATGATACATCTGCTCGACAAGATGACGAGCACATTTCTTGCTTCGTAACAACCATCTTGATTTCGATATACGACACCCTTTCGTCAATCTGACTTTAATGCCAAGTACCCAACATGTGTTAGGCCGAGTGAACATACAATGCTGAAATGTGTGCCTTTAACCACCCTTGGTTTTTTCCGCAGAATCCCACTTTTCATTAGGCATTTGGAAAGTTCACGCCTTGCTTCCTCGCATGCATCCACCCGCACGCCATTGAAAGCGAGATGGTCCGCCGAGGGTCTATATTAGAAATCCATCGCATTTGACTTCTTCTTTAACTGTTAAATGACGGCATATCACTTTTGTTAACCACATTTGGAAAGGTTGTCGACGTAAGTCGGTTTCTCAATCCAAAAAATTGTAAAAATGAATCGTTTTCTTTGGGATTCTCTTTTCTTCTTTTTTTCTTTTTCTTTTTTTTTTTTTTTTTTTTTTTTTCATTAAAGAAAATCAACGCACACTCACACTCACACTCACACACATCATGTCGTTGTTCGTCGGTCGCTTGCCTACTCATAATTTCGATGATAGAGATTTAGAGGACATTTTTTACAAGTATGGTAGAATCATCAATTGCCAATTAAAGAGAGGAACTCGTTTCGGTAAGTACATTTTGGGTGTTTATATAGAAAAAGAGGGAGCTAAATGATGTATGAAAACAGCATTTGGCTTTATTGAATTCGAGGACCCTGAAGACGCCTATGATGCTATCAGAGATACGGATGGTCTTGTAAGTACATGCTTTGTTACGTCATTTAATGTCGTATGAATGCTGATGGTCTGTGCCGTAGGACATTGATGGCACTCGCATTGTCGTGGAGAAGGCAAAGGGAACCCCCCACAAGCATAGTGGTCCAGGCTGTTACAATTGTGGCGAGGAAGGTCATTACGCTCGTGATTGTAGAAGGTAAATTTATATTATTCTTGCTTGATTTTCATACAGAAAGCTGCTTTAGTTTACAATATTACTTTTTATCAATTCAATATTCAAGATACATGCTCTTTCGAAAAGTATAAATGTCAAGTCAAGGAAATATACACAATTACACCTTTGAATAGCATGCTAACAATCTCACCCAAATTAGAGGTGGAAGACCCGATTATCGCAGAGGTAGTAGAGATGACAGATACAGATCTCGTAGCCGTAGCCCAGATAGATACAGTTCTCGTCACAGAGATCATTACAGACGGGGCCGCAGCTACTCCCGCTCTCCATCTCCTTACGATGACCGTCGTGGTCGTAGCTATTCTCGTTCTCCTCGACCTGCTGCTCCCAGAGGATATAGCCGTAGCCCACCACCTAGAGACCTTTCTCCTCGCAGAGATTATAGCCGTTCTCCCCCTCCACCATCACAACAAGAGCCAACTTCTTACCCATCAGAGGATCGTATGCAACCTGAAGATGAAAAGAGAGATTGAGTGAATTTGTAATATGGAATGGATGGGCGGTATATCGTAGTGGAAGGGTGAATGGGTATCATAAACTAAAATTAACTAAACATTACAACAACAAACCTATTGCATTTCTCAATTTCATCTAATAAATAATCAAATATTTTGAAAAACCATAAATAGCCAACGCTTTGATGGCAGCACAATGGTTCTCCTAATTCTTGTGGATCGGTATTTTCAGCTTTGATCATTTAAGTGGCATATTAACTTGTGTGTGTAGCTTATGGTCTGACAGTGTTTGGTACACTTTTATTTCAAAATTATACATATTTTTTTTTTGACACAGGGAGATATAAAGCAAATGAAAATTAGTACAAGGTGAAGAAGTTTTTGTATAGATGATGAATCGATAGGGATAGGTGGATAAAGTAGTATCTAAGCAAAAGACTAGGAGGGTAAGTTTACTCAAGAGTAAAGTATCCATATATACCTGCTGATGTTTGATAAAGAAGAGGGTTTGATTCTCCCAAAATGAAGTAGTCGGTATATTTGATCCGTACATTTAATAGCCAGCAACAACGACATTTAGTCATAAAAGGTACATTGTACACTTAACGAACCTTAATTTTTTTTTTTTTTTTGCTTATTGCCCTCTGCAGTGCTTGGAGTTGTGTGGCAAGCATGCTTCTTCACCTGTGTAACAAATGTGGTTGTATTTAACCAGATATAAGACATTGTATCAAGTATATCCTCTTTCTTTTCCCTCCATTGCTTATATATGACTGCAGATATATCAATACCTAGCAAAAGACGCAATAGACTGTTAAGATCAGTGGTGGATGCCCTTTACAGGTACAGACGGAGAAGGCAGGACAATCAGCTCAAGGTAGCAGTTGCATCACCTTTGACCGCCATGAACGATTCACAGTTGATCGCCAACACAAAATTAGATAGCCATATCACATCCTCTTGCACACAAAACATCGACATCAGCAGCAATCAAAAGACATTGACTTCTCGATTGTCTATCAAGAGCTTGACCAAGGCAATCCATGATTCAGGTGTCAGAATGAGCCGTTCAACTTCCTTGGCATCTTGCATCGAAATTTTACCAAGTAGTGATATTCAAGATCTGGATCGCATGGTGTCCCAACACTATATTCTTAGAACAGCCTTTGGCGCTGATTTCTCTGCACCCATTGTTCTATCAGCAGATCAAGAAATGCCCAGTCAGCTAGTTGTTCTGGACATTGGGTGTGGATCAGGAACTTGGACCATGGAAATGGCAACGCAGTTCCCTCATGCTCATTTTATTGGAATCGACAAACAAGCTTCTTTTCCGCATGATGTCAAGCCAAAGAATTGCCATTTCAAGCTGTTTGATATCAATCAGTCTATGGTCAAGCTGCCTTTCCTGGACCAGTCTGTCGACTACGTATTCCAAAGAGATCTTAACTGTAATCTATCAGAGACAGCCTGGTTGCCCCTTGTGAAGGAGGTTTTTAGAGTTTTGAAGCCTGGAGGCTGGATCGAGCTGGTGGAGCCGGTAATTCATATATTCACTTGTACAAACAAATTTTATTCACATGCATATTCATCATACAGGATATTGAAACACACAGCGCCTCGTCATATGAAGACTTTTTGATAAACAAATGTAAGTTCTGGCCATAAGCATATAAAGAATTATCTCACTCTATTTGTTTCTTGCAGTAATTGATGCCTTTTATCAACGTCAACGAGATCCTTTCGTCTCAAAAAGACTGTCTTCGTTTGTGGCTGTTGCTGGCTTTAGGAGAATCCAAAGCGACTTTCAGTCTATTTCTCTGGGATGGGGATATCAAAAACAATGCACTAATACGCCTCAATCGACCAAAAAGGAACATCAATCGCTACGATGTTCTGAATTTGCAAGAGCAGCAGCTAATCATCGTTTAGACTTATTGAAATCGTTACAGCCCTGGTTCACTCGAGAAAATAACATTAGTAAAACTAAGTATGACAACTACATCAGCCAATTACCAGATAAATGGTACAATGCGAAATCTTATACAAATTGGCACCGATCTACTGCACAAAAACCATACAGTCATGATGCTGCTGTCCATGCTATTGCAATTTAATGTATTCAATAAAATATATCAAAAGGGTTTGCTCATTCTTGCAATGCAAATGTTGCTGTACCACCTGAAAACCCACTATCACTCTTGGAATATGTAACAAAACAAGTTGCCTCATACGGCTGGCTTTTTATGATTCTGTCAAGTACTATGGTTACACATCTTGATTTGGCACAGCCGATCTAAAATCGAGTATGCAATCAGCTATCGATATCGGTAGTTGCGGTGTGCGGTGAATTTAATCAAAGGGATAGCACGGAACACGCATACAATGATCAATCTTGTAACACTCCTGAATATATTGACACTCATGGAATATGAGTGTAACTCTCTAATACAACAACTACTAATTAAAATGTTCTGTGATTTATCTTCATCTAGAGTTCTCTCTGTGTATAATCAGTTCTTGCTGTTGTTTGCACGTAACATGATGATGAATCAATAATCTGCCTTGTAAATGCTCAAGCTAAAATGTAATCTTTATTTCAAGAAATTAGTTTTGCTTAGAAAACTCATCAATCTCCTTTTGCTCATTCTCAAAATGTCTCTGCAGAGAAGGTCAAACACGAATCACCTTTATAACTTCAACAAGGCAAGAGTCGTTACTAGCGTCTACCTTGACGCCTCTGTTATTGTTCAATTGATGGAAAAGAAGAATATCCGTATATGAGTTCTATCTGAGTAACTGTTGGCTGCGAGAAGAAAAGCCGAGTGCAATATCACAAACCTATCAACAGAGAAGCTGGAAGTCTCTAGAGAGAAGTAGAAATAGTAAGAGAACGCAGAAACAGGCACTTACATGCTACCAACAAAAGAGCTGGACGCTGCACAATGTTGGATTTCGCTTGAACGAAGTAAAAATGGCATAAAATTTCTTGTATATGGAAGAAAAATACAACCATCGATCGCAATCAAGTAGTGGGTGTGTATTTGACCAGACTTATTGTTGCCTCATACTCTATGAATCTTCCGACCCTAAATTCATGTAAAATGTAAATACTACGATACGTTTCATATTGCATCACCATTGTCACCATAATCGGATTATTATCATCATTAAACGAGTCTGACCACGCTACGGATGGCTCTCTATCTTCGCTTCCGTTCGGTGAGAGCCAACCTACGCAGCGGCAGTTCGCGCTACCAATTGCCCTTGCTCATCGTATTAAAATACTGCTACTTTCATTTTAAATTTCCATTTACACATAAGAATCCCTCATATTATCTGTGGATCTAACCCTTATGTAACATTCCGTATCCATGTACATGTGAGATAATTCATATAAGTGCAAGTAGTATACTGATGCTACTCCTTTCTAGTCAAGAGTATGCCTAATACAGCAAACATTGGGTACATTTTAAGTCGTGATTTCTCGCGTAAAAAGCCGTTTTAGACCGCTAGAGTAGTACCAGACAGTTGTTCTCACCTAGCGGTTACTTACGAACACCTTTGAACAACTTTTTTTGGGATCGTCGAAAATCAAACGATCGCCTTTTTCACTTTGAAAATGTAGACTTTTACTATGGTATACATTAAATCAAAATGTTTCTCTCGACCCAAAGCAACCTCTGAAACCACTTTTAAGAGGGTTTTAGATGCAAAATTTTGACATTTTGGCCAAAAACCTTATTTCATGTTTTCTCAAATTGCTCAATAAGTTCAGTCAAAACATCTATTATACTTAGCACCATTGGAAGCGCCATGAAAATTACTCTTAGAAAGCTTAAGGAAGTATTTTTTTTTGTAGGGGAGACGAGCTCCAGTTTTTATTTTAAGCTTAAGGAGGTATGGGATAATTGTCATATTTTACATAATCAAATCTGGCAAAATAATTCAACCAAGTCGAAATTGTACAAAAGTTGACCAATCTAAAACAGATATTAATCGAAATTACAATTTCATTTGGCTGCCAAACTATGCCATATTGTTTATGTCAGGCCCCCAACTTTAACCATAGCCAGCTGATGCCATTCATACTATTATGAACATCCTTCATGTTTTTTTCAAGCTATTACTACGAAACGGATTGCGGGCTAAGGGGCTATATAGATTAGCCTGGCTGTTGGCTATATATTGCTCATCTAAATGCAAATCCTAACCCAACGATGCAATGTTGACCATCACCTGATGATTCAAGGCATTTGTCACATTTTCATAGCAAACAACAAAGCAATTCATAGATGGGAATATATAAAGTGTATTAGTACAAAAAAAAAGTAAAGGAAGAAGACGGAAAAAGTAAAACAGGATCATCTAAAGGTATTGATCTTGTTCTTCAATAGGTGTGTTGGTACCACTCGAAGTAGCTCTTGATCTTTGCTGATGCTTTTTACCCACCAACATGTTTTTCAGTGCTCTCAAAGCAAACACAGTGAGTCCAATGCCTGTCCAATCCTCATCATGCAAATCACGGAGGTCTCCAACTGTCATGATATCTTGATTTTGAAGTTTTCTTACCCATTCAAGAGCCTTGTCCTTGTTACGATTAGTGGAAGCAGCCGTTTCGAGGACAAATGTTTCGATGCTGGTATCATTGGGATATTCTACAGAAAGATATGGTTGTCAGCAAAAGGGTTGACTTGATACTCTAAAAAACAGTACCTGATGAATCCAGAGGAATATGTTCGTCTGAATTAGCAATAGGTGAGGTGGTTGTAGTGGGCGTCATCAAGTTGTCTGGTTCCAACTCGGACTCAACAAAAGCAGAGATTTTAGCTTGTTCTAATGCAGTAATGGTATCTTTATATCTCTCTTCTGCGAGTTGAGTTCTTTGCTCAAAACTATTGCACTTCTTTTCCACATCTGCAATCTTCTCTCTCGCTGCCATTAATTCGTTCTTTGCTCTCTCCAGCTCTGAACGGATGTCATTCTCTCTTCTCCAAACCATGCGGTCATCTTCAACCTTATCAGCCGCCGTGTTTTGTTGTTTCGTCAAATCACGCAAAAGCCGATTGATGTCTCCAGTAATCAATTGCTGATATCGCTCCGGCAGCACCTGCTCCTCAATCATCTCGGCAACGACGTCCTCTGCAGTGTCCGTATCAGCGTTGAACTCAAACTTTACAGACAGCTTATCCATGCCCTTGAAAACAACTTGCAAAGTCAACTGCTTCATACCAACATCCGTAGCCAGCATGACAACTTCAGGCTCCACTGCCAAAAACGAATGCTCCAAAATCTCCTGTGCCGACATGCGTTCATGTTCAGTTGCAAGACAGTTGTTGATCAAGGCCAGCACCTCCGGGTCTTGTACTCTGGACAAGCACTCGGGACGAATGGTCTGCGTCACTTTCTTAAAGACTTGAGCAGCGTTGGTGCATTCATTGTAAGGATATTCACCAGTAACCATCTCCAGTAAGCACATACCAAATGCATAAATGTCCACCTTCTCGTTGTAGCCTTTCTCTTCGTACATTTCAGGTGCCATGAATTCAGGAGTACCAATGACAGTGTACTTTTTATCCACCTTCATTTCAGCTGTGCCCATATCACCAATCTTGATCTCACCATGAGCACCATTAATAAAGATATTATCGCACTTGATATCACGATGAATAATGGTAGGCTGATGGCCATGCAGATAGACGAGGCCCTTTAGAATCTGACGGCACCATCTCTTGACAATCTTCATGTTGGGCAAAGGAGATAATTTTCGGATGTATTCACGCAATGTGCCGGATGTCATGAGTTCAGTGATGAATACAAATTCTGATTCATTGTACCATGCCTCATGAAAGGTGATGATGTTTGGATGTCGCACAGATTTGAGAATCTCAATCTCATGGCCCAAGGCTTTTACTTCTTGACGAGTCACCTGTAATTTGGGATGTTAATATTATGAAATAAATTTTCAAGGTACACAAGAAATTTACCTGTAAGACGTTCCAAGCGACTTCATAGCCTTCTTCTCTATCAATGGCCTTGTAAACAACCTTGAATGCACCTTTCCCCAGAAATGTATTCAGCTTAGCAAACCGGCCATTGTTGGATACTTCAATGACTCGTTCACTGTCTGCTTTTGATCTTTCCGAATCAATTTCAACATTGGGATTCATCAAAACAGACCCAAATGGCTCCATGTGAGGTTGTCGCTCGTATTCGGGGAACTGTGCTGCAAGCTGACGTACAAGTGAGAGTGAACTAGTTGTATTTTGCTCTGCATCGTTGTCCTTTTCGTATGCCGTTGCAGTTGGACTGTACACTCCAGAATCGATAGACTCTTCGCTTTTTGATTTCAAAATATTATTGTCCATGGTTTGCTACTCCTTTTTCTTTATAGAACTGGTAAGAGAGAGAGAGAGAGAGAGTGAGGAGAGAGGGAGAGGGGTATTGTTTGTTGCTTTCTTTAAATAAATAATCCTGGCTGCTTTCTTCTTTCTGTGATAAGTTACCAACCCAACATAACGCTGTTTGGGGCTGGTTTAAATGTGTAAATGTTGCGAGAAAAAATTGGCGTAAAAGAGAATTTGGATATAAATGTAGCCGAGTAGGTGTGTGATGTGAATCCTGCTAGCAATTAGCCCAGATAAATCGAATAGATGCTGAGGAAAAAGAGTAGTAGAGAAAGAGATTAGGGATAGTAAAAGATTTTTTCTAGCAATTTTTGTAGCTCAACGGAATTGAGCCAGCCTCTTGTTGCCTCTGGAATTGAAATCACATCAAGCTACCTTGCGAGAAATGAAGCTAAAATGCTCATTCACATACCAAACATGATGGCCATTCATCAGATTAAATATACGGGGCCTCTAGGCAACCATGTAGATCGATAAATCAGTTGCTAGGCAACCTGTCTGATGTAGAAATCTGACATGAACATCGGCCATACACCTTTCCACATCACATCCAATCTCATATTTTTTACAGATGCACACACACACGCACACAGACACACACACGCACACAGACACGCACGCCCTCGTTTATTCGTTATCGTGGTCGTCGTCAGTCAAAAACACTTGAACTAGTAGATGCGATGCTAATTTTTTCTTTCCTTTTTCCTTTTCTTTCCCATTTCTCTGCTTTACACCATTTTATTTAATACTACTTAATTTATATACATATTATATATTACTTAAACTTGCAAAAAAAAAACTGAAAAGCTTGAAAACGCCATATAACAAAAAGAAAAGACTCGAAAAAAAAAGACATGCAACAACATAATGGAAACATTCAGCAGTATCTGCAGCAATCCTCATTAACAGGAGCTGGCGGAAACCCTTTAACATCTTCTCTTCAACCTGGTCCCAACAATAATATGAACGCGTTGTCTCAACATTTTCCTGCTATGAACCGTGGTGCTGGAGGAAATAATGCAGACCCTTTTGTGTACGCTCAAATGATGAATAACGGTGTTGGCTCTCAGGGTATGCCGATGTCAGCCAACTTTGTCTTGCAGCAACAACAGCAGCAGCAACAACAACAACAGCACCAGCAGCACCAGCAAGACCATCAGGCTGCTCAAAAGATGCAACAATTAGATGAGGAAAAAATTTACGGGCTTGTATTAGATTTACTCAACCCTTCCTCGAGAGAGCAAGCTCTGTTAGACTTGAGCAAGAAGAGAGAGCAGTACGAGGATTTAGCATTGGTTTTGTGGTATTCCTATGGTAATGTATATCTACATTGCATTCACGACGACCTTAACACTCATGATGGTTTGCAATAGGTGTTATTCCTGTTCTTCTTCAGGAGATTGTTACAGTCTATCCTCTGTTGACCCCTCCTACATTGAGTGGTGGAGCTTCTAACCGAGTCTGCAATGCTCTCGCCCTTCTCCAATGTGTAGCTAACCATAACGAAACAAGAAGCTTGTTTCTCCAAGGTAAAAACTGAGAGCAAGTCTTATTTTTTCTGAATACTGACATTGATATATCTATGTTAGCTCACATCCCTCTTTACCTCTACCCATTTTTGAACACGACAAGCAAAACTCGACCTTTTGAATATCTGAGATTGACAAGTTTGGGTGTCATTGGAGCTTTGGTCAAGGTAAATAGAAGAATCAGCAGCAGTAAGAGCAATTTAGTTAACATGTGGACTATAGAACGACAATCCCGAGGTGATTAGCTTTCTTTTATCCACTGAGATCATCCCTCTCTGCCTTCGTATCATGGAGACTGGTAGTGAGCTATCCAAAACTGTGGCTATATTTGTGGTTCAAAAGATCCTTTTGGATGAGACAGGATTGGTAAGTCATGTTGCGTAGGGAGACCAAAGAGAAAAATGGCTCATCACGCTGCTCTAGTACTATATTTGCCAAACCTATGAGCGTTTTTACGCTGTAGCTACTGTATTGCACAACATGGTCAATCAACTCGTAGAAAGTCAAGCTATGCGTCTTTTGAAGCACGTAATCCGCTGCTACCTTCGACTTTCTGAGAACCCAAGGTAAATGTGTACATTTGGAACTGCATTACGTTGAACATTTGGAGTAACTTGAAATAATTTAATCAAGAGCACGTGAAGCTTTGCGTCAGTGTCTCCCTGAGCCTCTTCGAGACTCCACTTTCCATCAAGTCTTGAAAGATGATGTCGCTACCAAGCGCTGTCTTGGTCAATTGTTAATCAACCTCTCAGAAGGAGCCAATTAATGTCAATTCATTGCGAGAAAAAAGAGAGGGACTATATATATACATACATACACAACACACAACACTGACAACGCGCAAGCACACACAAAAAAGAACATACTATATACAACCATTATACACTCCAAACTTATACAAATCAACTATATATTTAATCATTTTCTAAATAGGCTGGCTGGATCCTATATCATGAATGTAGATGTACATTTTTCTTTTTTTTTTCGCTTCTTATCTATCTCACCCCTCCCTCTTTTGTTCTTCTTACCTTACATTTGAACTATTTCATTATTCCCCATAGTATTAAAAAAATGAATTCAGTTTCCAAAAGTAATTTCAATATAAACGCGCTCGCACATACTCATTTATAATCATAGACACTTTTTTTTTCGTCTCTGTAAATGCTTATCAACGAAGCATGATGGACTTTATTAAGAAATGTACGCTACTGACACTTTTGATCATCAAGCACTCATTGAGCCGCTTCCTCGCCTGCTTGTTCTCCTTCTGTTTGGGTCTCGACTTCAGAATCCTTTTGCAAAGCCTTTCGTACATTAACAATGTGATCGTTGTAGCTAAAGAATGACTCAAAGACGTTTGAGATGATACCCTCTCTGTCTATCACAAAGGTAGTGCGTCTAGATGAACAAGTTAGAGGGTCTTGAGCTTCTATTACATCCACATTTACGTACTGAGGAAAACCAAACAACAATTTGGGTACCTGAAATGTTGTCCGTAGCTGTCCCTCGGTATCAGCCAACAAGATGTAGGGCAGTTTTTGCTTGCTGACAAACTGCTCGTGAGACTTTACACTGTCAGCACTCACGCCAATGATCTCTGCCCCCAACTTTTGAATTTCCCTAATGTTAAATGTAATTACTCATTTTAGAAGTTTCTAGCACAAATGTAGAGCGGTGTCACTTCAAATCGATCACGAAATGCGCAAGCCTATTAAACATCAAGGACCTGAAGCTTAGCATGGTTGAGGTTACACATTTAAACGAACAATAGTGTATACCTCTTTGGTGCAAATAAATGTGCTATCCTTGGGATAAAAGAACAGGACAATGGTTGATTTTACCAATGCGATCAGCTAAATTGACATCTTGGTCGTGCTGATCCTTTACTGTCACGTTTGTAGGGGGCTTCTTTGTTGAGCAAAGCGTGAGATGTCATTTGGATAGCGTTTGAAGGATGAATGAAATGTTGGGATGTGGATATATATATAGCTGTCTGATGCCTCCTTTTTTCCTATATCAGTGGCAAAGCGCTCCTTGTTTGCACATTGCGATGAATAGTTTAATTCTTACCGCATATCAAGATTCCCACCCCCCCTTTTTTTGTTCCTTGATCTCAAGATGTCATGTGCTGTCAATGAGGAAACCGCATTTCGAAAAGGTGGTGGAATTTACAACGGATATCGAACTGCTGTTTCAATGATAGTGCCTTTCTATCGATAAGCTAAACAAACATATATCATGGCAACGGGATGGCAATGGTGTAGGACAAGAAATTATTATTTTTCCCAGGCTCATTTCAACATGTTGAGAGAGCTATAGCTGCCTACATGTTGGTAAACGAGAGACGGACACGCCGGCGCTTAGAAATCAAACAGCCTACTATTTTCTCCGTTTTCCAAGAGGTTTTTCATGTTGCCATCATTTGCCAATCCCAAATGAAAGAATGGATATTGCGTGCTTCGGGATTATTAACCTTTGAAATGACGGGTTGTTCTCCCTGTCACAAAACAAAATGGCTATAAAAGCATTGGAAAAAGTTTTTGGATGCAATGGACCTTTATCTTTCACTCAAATCAACTCATTTAATCATGTCTTCTGGATTCGGTACTCGTGCTATTCACGCTGCTCAACACCCTGACCCTACCACTGGTGCTGTCATTCCTCCTCTTTCTCTTTCAACCACATACAAGCAATCCGCTGCCGGTGTTCATACTGTAAGTATCTATAGAATAAGGGGTGAGATCAGTTGAATTAAACATGGTGTATAAAGGGATTTGAGTACTCCAGATCTGGTAATCCCAACCGCAACAACTTTGAGGAAGCCATTGCTAACCTCGAAGGTGCCAAGTACGGTCTTGCCTTTGCCTCTGGTTCCGCCACTACTGCTACCATTGTCAACTCTCTCCAAGCTGGTTCTCACTTGATCTCTGTCAACGATGTCTATGGCGGTACCTACCGTTACTTCACCAAGGTTGCTGTTAACCTCAACATTGAAACCACTTTTGTCAACTTGAGTGATCCTGCCAATATTGAGTCTCACTTCAAGCCCAATACCAAGTTAGTCTGGCTCGAAACACCTACTAACCCTACCCTCCGTATCATTGACATCAAGGCTATTGCTGAGCGCGCTCATGCTCACGGTGCTCTCTTGGTTGTTGACAATACTTTCATGTCTCCCTATTTCCAAAATCCTATTGCCTTGGGTGCTGATATTGTAATTCACTCTGTCACCAAGTACATCAATGGTCACTCTGATGTCGTGATGGGTGTTGCTGTTACCTCCAACGAAGAATGGTACAAGAAGCTCGCTTTCATGCAAAACTCTCTTGGTGCTGTCCCCTCTGCTTTTGACTGTTTCATGGCTCGCCGTGGTCTGATGACTCTTGAAGTTCGTATGCAAAGACATGCTGAGAACGCCCAAGCTGTTGCAGAGTATTTGGAAACCAACGAGCACATTGAAGAAGTTATCTATCCTGGTCTCCCCTCTCATCCCAACCACGAATTGGCCAAGAAGCAACAAAGCGGTTTCGGTGGTATGATCTCTTTCCGCGTTAAAGGTAATTTGGATAATGTCAACAAGTTGTTGAGCAACCTTGAGCACATTACTTTGGCCGAGTCCTTGGGTGGTGTTGAGTCTCTTGTTGAGGTTCCTGCCATCATGACTCACGGTGCTGTCAGCCCTGAAGATCGCGCTGCTTTAGGAATCACTGATACCTTGGTTCGTGTCTCTATTGGTATTGAAAACAAGGAAGATTTGATTGCTGATCTTAAGCAAGCTTTGGAGAAGGCTTATTAATTTCATTTTACCCTGTCATGTATCTTTTTTTGCTCTTTCTTCACTCAATTGTATCTATATCATAGAAAAAAAAAGAGATCGATACTCTTTTTTTTTTAAAAAACTAATTATTTAGAAATTGAACATGTTATATATATATATATTATCATTTTACAATAAATACTCATTTGTAGCAACCACCAGAGATGTATTCGCCTAATTTATTGAGGTGGTAGGACGTGAGAAAATCAGCGCCGCCAAAATTCATGCCACGGTTCGTAATGGTTCCTGGGGCCACTAAATGCACAGGTCCTTTATTAGCATGATTCACATATATCTAAAACAAGCCAATTGCATTTATATTTTGCATCCGTATTGCTCGCAAAGTGTGCAGTGTGGTCAAGTGAGAAACCAAGTGATTCCAACCTTCTCGAAATAATGCAATTGGCATGTATCTTTAATCTTGAAAGCTGTCCAAGCACTATTTGTTCAAATTCACCAACGACAACATTTACTCGACTATGTGTGTGATTTTTTAATATTTACAATCGTAATACTCTTTTAATGTATTGATATTTTTATTTCAAAGTGAATCCATGCTCTTGTCAGCAGATAGTTTGTGTTTACTAGCAATACAAGTCAATCATTAGGCTGTCAAATGAATGGATCAGATCTCCATAGATCTTACCTGCTTCATAGCATCCTTCTTGCCCTTACGCTCGAGAATAGCGACACGGCTCTTGTCCAATTTCAGGTTAGTGACAACAACTTTGGAGGGAGAGATACCAATGGGAGCAGTGGCACCATTGACCTTCTCACGAGAGACACGGTCAATGTGGATCACCCACTTTTTACGGTACACTTGGACAATTTTGCCTTCACGGCCCTTGTAAGTACCACGAACAACCATAACTTCATCGTCCTTGCGAACAGGAATGGAACGACACTAATTATGATATATAAAGAATAAGTGGACATGTTGTAGTTTCGAATAGTAGGATTTTACGTTATGCTTCTCACGGAGCTCCTTGGACAAAGGGGCACTCATGATCTTGCGACGAACATCAGATGTGGCGGAGAAATGAGCCTTTCTGCTCTTACGGCGAGATGAACTGACGTCTATGCAATGTTAATGATCCATCCATCCATTTGTTAGAATGCCATCATTTGATCCATTACCAGCACTGAACTTCATGGTTGATATGGGTGTGTACTGAAAGAGGGATCGAATGCTCACACCATGCTGTTACTACAGTCATTCCATCTCGGGATTTGGGAGCATAAAAACTAGCATTTCAAGACACACACACACACACAGACACACACAACATCTCTCACGTATCTTCCGGACCGGATGATGTGATTCCATGTAATTCATTTGATGTAACTGTAACCTGAATTGGCGCGCGTTTGAAAATGATCAAGGCGCGTTGGACCCATTTCTCTCCTTCTCTTCTTTTCTTTATTTAAAAAACAATATAAATTATGTCTCTTGTCAATATCTTGAATATTCAAGTTTTGGATAACCCCACCAACTTTACAAACCCTTTGCAGTTTGAAATTACCTTTGAATGCAATGCACCTCTCAAAGACGGTAAGTTGAATCATAGCATATAACGTTGATTTGAGGGCATTTGACTCATGGATGAATAATGCGCAAAAAAAAAAAAAAAAAAGACATTGAATGGAGAATGATTTACGTTGGATCTGCAGAAAGCTCAGAATACGACCAAGTACTTGATTCTATCATGGTTGGACCTGTTCCTGTTGGCGTCAACAAGTTTATTTTTGCTGTAAGTCATGTTTGATTGCACTATGTGGAGGTAAATGTGCACTAAGCACTCGATGATAGGCTGATGCGCCCAAGGTTGAACTGCTGCCCAAAGCCGATTTATTAGAAGTTACAGTTGTGTTATTGAGTTGTCTCTACAACGACAAAGAGTTTGTCCGCGTCGGTTACTATGTCAATAACGAATATACTGACGAGCAATTGCGTGAAAACCCTCCCGAGCAAGTGCTTATTGATCAACTACAAAGAAACATCTTGGCAGACAAACCCAAGGTGACTCGATACATGATTGACTGGACTAATCCTGAAAATACTGTTCCTCAACAGCCCGAACAACAACAATCAGCTACAGAGCAAGACATGATGGTTCAATAAGATCTACACACACATAACAATAAAATACAAATAATCAATGTACAATACTAAAAAAGAGATATGCCTATTTATTCAATGCAAGTGTAAACGGGTCCTGATTTAGTGAGTTCATCACAGACAGTGTCCAAGAACTGGTATCGGCGCAGATATCTCGCCGTGTGCTCAATAACTGTAGGCTTGGTGTGGTAGCTTTGCTCGTCTTCTTCTTGCTCAGAATCAGACAGATCGTCGCATGAAATACCAATCGCGCCTCGTCTTGCTTTGATTCGACTGTCTGTCAATTTGATGGCTGCAAGCTGTTCTCCAAGTTCAGTCAATGTGTCTTCTTTATGCACAATTTCTCGTTCAATATCACGGATGGCACGATGAAGTGTATACATGGAAAGTGAGCTATACCCCGTTGTCAGTCTCTGTTCATGCGTATCATCAGAGTCCCACTTACCCAGCATTGTGCGCATTTCTGATCCTGTTTCGCTTCTTGTTTTCTTCTGTTTTGAACTCCAAATCGTTGAGGACATTGCCACATGCTTTTGATTTGCTCTGCAATTCGATAAATGTTTTCTTTGTCTCTACATCCAATTCTCGGCTGTCCAGGATATCAACCACCTTGGAGTCAAAGTCCTTACCCAAGAGGTATTTGATGTCTTCCTTCTTGTCCATTGCTAATCCATGTTATGAGTGCCCTAGTATGAACACAACATGCATTGAGGCTATACTTACATTTTTTGCAGTTTTGAATCAAGGCATGTACTTGCTGTTTTATTTGTTGAAGTGCGGCCCCTTGGTTCTTGATATCGGCATTGAGTTCATTAGCAATGTTGCCAAGCTCTTGAGCATCACTGAGATTCCATGACACCTCTTTGACTTGCAAGTTGGACACAGACTTGGCTTCCAAAGGCATTGTACAAGCCTTGACAGCAAGTGTCAGCTTGCTATGATACTCCTTCAACTAGAGAATGTCAAGACGATCGATCAGTACACCATATCAAAGTACTTGTTATCATCTTACCCGTTCAATCTCTTCTGTCACTTTGATGTAGAGCTCCTCGTATTCCTTGGCCATTCCTTCTTCTTCTGTAGGCTTCAATTTCTCGGCTGGTGGCTTACTAGTTGTGATTTCAGCTGGCGTCTGCGGTTGGGATGCGGTTGTTGTAGCAGGAGCCGAGATAGCTGTAAGTTTGGATGGTACGACGGGAGTGATTACTGCTGGCTTGGATGTGATAGTAACTGCGGGAGCTGAAGTAGTAATGGTTGCAGAGGCAGATGGTGTACTAGTAGTTGACGCGGTAGTGGTCGTTTTTGTAGAAGCAGGTGCTCCAAATGATGTGGATGTGCCAAAAGTAGGCGGTGTTGCTGCTGGAGACTTGGCACCAGACACAGTGTTTTTTGCTAATGAACCAAAGCCGCCAGATCCAAGACTCGATGTTGATCCAAATGCACTTGTAGCAGGCGCTTTTATAGTCGATGTTGAGCCAAACAAAGATGGTGGTGTGGCTGCTGCAATCATAGTAGCTGTGTTGGCAGAGGGTGTTGCAGCTGCTGGAGCAGCACTCTTACTGAATAAAGAGGAGGGTATAGTAGTGGATGGAGATTTTGCGCCTGGAACAGTGTTTTTGGCAAGTGAACTAAAGCCACCACTTCCTAGTGTGCTTGTGGAGCCAAAAGCAGATGCTGTGGTGGGAGCGGCAGCAGCAGGTTTAGATGCCTCTGTCTTCTTCTCATCGCTTGTACTTAAGGAACCAAATGAGAGAGATGCTACATCAGGCTCTGTCTTTGATAAGGTAGTAGTAGAAGCTGCGTCTTTTGGAGCGGCAGTAGCTGGTGTGGGTGTCTGAGCAGGTGCACCAAAAGCACTGGTTGTGGAGGCAGAGAATGGGGAGGCAGTGCTCTTGACAGAACCAAAGGTTGAAGAGGAACCAAAGGGTGATGAGGAACCAAAGGGTGAAGTGGTAGCTTGGTTAGCAGCTGCTGCACCCAAACTGGAAGTGGATCCAAATGATGAAGTGATCGACTTGTTTGCAGAAGCCCCGAAGCTTGATGTAGAACCAAAAGCAGGCGTCTCATTCTTGCTTGCAGCCCCAAAGCTAGTGGTTGATCCAAACAAGGGCTTGCCGGTATCCTTACTTGGAGTGGAAGCAGCAGGAGCAGTAGAGGCAGAACCAAAACCACTGGAAGAGCCAAACGCAGGTGAAGCAGAGATTTTGGGTGCAGATCCTAGATTTGAAAAAGATGGAATGCTTCCTCCTGTAGCAGATCCAAATCCACCGAATCCTCCAAATCCGCCACCCGTGCTAGAAGATGTTACAGCAGGCGTTGCGTTCTTACCAGACAAGAGATCTGCGAATGCATTGTTGGAGGTAGAAGCAGCGCCAAATGCAGAGAAACCAGAAGGAGCTGGTGCGGTGGCAGCTGGAGCTGGTGCCACAGCAGGCGCTGTTGTGGTTGATTCACTCTTAAAGGACTCGCCTCTTCGAGCCAGCTCGCTGTTGTAACAGTGGAAGGAGCCAATCTCGCCATCATCATTGAGATAGTAGAATACAGGCATGGGCTCTACACCAACATCCTTCTCACTGGGATCAAAAGCAGGCAACTTTTCATCTGCAGTCAAGTCCAAAGCCAAACCCACAGGGAAAGTGTCTATGGATGTCGTTGGGGATAAGGGTAAATTAGCCATGCCATTCTCAGGCAGCTGCCATGTAGCCCATTCACCATGCTCATCATGACCTACAACTGAAACCTCACTGGTAGCTGCATTGGCAATGATGATGAGATGCTGGATCTCCTTTCCAAGCCCACGAATTGTCTCCATATAGAAGTGATTGCCACGTCCTTCTGTTGTGAAAATAGGTGTGATCTCAGCAAGACGAGTGTAGACGGGATCCGTGCCAGTGGCAGGCTTTCTGTTGATGATGTATCCATCGTTGATATAGTCGTCTTCATTGCTGTTGCGTTTGCGGGCGTACAAGGCAAGGAAGATGTGGTTTTCGATCCACAAGACATCGCACACTAGACAGCAATACTTGTGTCAGCAACCTGTTGCACTTGAGATATCCATGAGCTTACCATATCTATTTTCTACTTCATCGCCGTGGCCAGCACTCATCGCTTCTGGTATGGGCAAACTGTCCTTCACTGCGCCCTTGATGTCGAAATGTTGGAGCCCACCATCGCTTTTACCGCAGACAATTTGCTTTCCCTTGAATGACCAACAGATGGCTGTAACATTGTCCAAAGGAAAAGTGCATTCTATATTTCCAGTGGTGAAATCAATCAAAGCGCAATGCTGGTTTGTGTATAACACTGCTGCTATGTTGCCGTATGCTTCAGGGTTGGGTCGTACATCAACCACATCGCTGCCCAATTCAAAGGTATTGACAGGCTTCACATTCCCTTTCTATAAAGGCAGATCAGTATACGAAGGCGTTGTGCTTTCCATCTGGCGACATATACCTGACTTTGGATGTCGTCTGTGCTGTAGACAGACAAACTGCCGCCATCACAGGCAATCAAGATGTGTTTCTCGTCTGCTGAAAACCTGATTTGTCTGATGGCATTTGTAAGAGACACTGATACTCTGTCGTCGTCGGGAAGCTGCTTTATCTCGCCCTTGTTTGCGCTGTAAAAAGTAGTACGAAGCGCCTTTGTCAAGCCGAAAATGAAACCTACTCAATGTACATAAATCTACTGTTTGCTTTGTCAAGCATGTCTAACAATTTACCATGCTTTGTAGCGGCAACAAAGTGACCAAACTTGTTTGAACAAGCCAGCAAGGACACGGTGGCTGGATAGTTTGCTGTATCAAAGGGTTCTTGTTGAATGGACACTTTGGCATCGGGAACGAGGCCTGAAAACTTGAAAAACTAGAGCAGAGGGCTCAGAAACACAACATTCAAAGGGGACATCACTCTCTTTACCTCAACGTCAGTGGGGTCAATTATCTCATCAGCGTCAAAGGAGCTCATTTTTTGTGTAATTGCTGCTGCGAATGCACACGCGAGATGTAGTAGAAAGAAGTGATAGATAGAGTTGTCAGCATTTCATTTTCATTTTATACATTTCAATCAAAAAATTATTATCGCGTCACGGACGTCCACCTTTTGATCCCTCTGCATAACTGAAGTAATGCTTGTACTTCTACGTATTTATAAACAGGTTTGATACCGACCATCTTGAAAATTCTTATGGACCGCCCACTGACTTCATACTTATGGCGCTTGAGCGCAATATTAGATGCGTTGATTCGTATAAGACAGAATGCTATGCATTTACGCTTGTCTCTTTCAATAACGACGCACTTATCTATTGTTTAAGATGGTTATATACAGTATACATATATGGAGATGTTGTCTTGCCAATATCAGGTAGCTATTAAACATTAAGAACCGGACAAGGCTCAAAAAATCTTCGTTCGCATTTACAAGCATGCTCATGAGATCCTAATGAAGAAGAAGAACGACAAGCCTGAAATTTTAATAGCGAGGATGCTCACATTCGACTCTGCACTCAGAATCTGCCAACTGTTACAGTCGACGAAAAAAGATTGGCCCAATAAAAAAAAAAAAAATTGGCTAGTTTGAAATGAAAATGGGTCAGCCAATGAAAATGGGTCATAATTTGAAAATGGGTCACTAAGACGAAAATAGGTATAATCCTTTAGAATGCTTTATCCAATTCTCGCAATCTTCTCTGCTGATGTGAAGTGATGCGTTGCGAATACGATCAGAGATTTTTTCATTCTGCCTGACAGAAGAAGGATCGTTATTTACAACAGTCTTCAGCTTGGACCAAAACTCTTCGATCGGATTTAAAAAAAGGAGAATAAGGTGGCAAAAAGAGAAGTTTATAACCACGTTGCCCAACCCAATCTTCAATAAGTGCAGCCTTGTGAATGGATGCATTGTCAAGAACTAGATATTTGTAGCTCATGTTAGCCGCATCCAGTGTCGTGAGGACTTGCTCTATGTATTCAAGGAAGTCACTGCTGGTAGTACCCTTCCTCTTGGGGGCCTGAGATTTCTCACCAGTTCGAGTTCGTTTTCCACTCCTAGCACTAAGTACAACTTCTTTTCTGGATAATGTGATTAAACCACTCTTACAAATAGCACCCAAGATGCTGACATTTGCTCCCTTCGTTTGAACATCAATTTTGCAAGGTGTTCCAGCCTCAGACCATCCATATGAGCGATGCATACTCCTGTTAAAGCCAGCTTCATCCAAGAATACACATTCATTCATAAAGTCTATGTTCTGGCTAACCCAGTATGCTACCGCATCTCGTCTTTTGGCAACAGTTTCATCCGTGTTTCTGCCATAATATCTAGGAATGATACGCTTGTAGGTTAGGCGACACTTCTTCTTCATGTGATTCTCCACTGATCTGGGGGTGATCTGTATATCTCTAAATTCTTTTGACAGGTGGCCTGTAACAGCTTCAACTGTCAATGTTGGCTCATTAGCCAGCAGCTCAAATATAAATACAGTATGTTCGTCTTTGAGTATTGTGGGTCGTCCCTTTCCTTCTTTGATTGCGATAGAATCAGGGAATCCTTTTTCAGCTATTTCGCTTGTCATTTGATTCCACTGCTTGAGTTTACGAGCAGCTGTTGACTTGGAGAGCCCTACCTTTCTACTCGCTTCACTGATAGACATATTCTCAAACTCTTGCAACAAATTGATCAAATTGACTACCTTTGCTTCGTTCTTGGTAATGTATGATCCCCTTTCCTTCTTCACTACATCAAGGGAGGGCTCCTTGGAGTGAGGTTTGGTCTTCCTCTTAGCTTCTTTTTGTGCTGCATTTACTGCTGCAGTCTCTTCCCAGTCCATATATGATTGTATCATCACAGGTACTGTCTCACTGTCAAAATTGTATTCTTCGTTCATGTTAAGCAATATGAAAAAATCCAAGAAGAGAAAAAGAAGAGAGAATTTGGCCAATCCTCATTACATTTCTGTATTGGTGACCCATTTTCAAAACAATGATCCATTTTCGTCTTAGTGACCCATTTTCATTTCAAACTGACCAATTATTTTTTTTATTGGGCCAACCTTTTTTCGTCGACTGTACACAGCCTATTTCACCACCTTCATCAATTTCACAACCGATTTCACAGCCTATTTCACCACTTTCACAGCCTATTTCACCAATTTCACCAATTTCACAACCGATTTCACAGCCTATTTCACCAATTTCACCAATTTCACAACCGATTTCACAGCCTATTTCACCACCTTCATCAATTTCACAACCGATTTCACAGCCTATTTCACCAATTTCACCAATTTCACAACCAATTTCACAGCCTATTTCACCACTTTCACAGCCTATTTCACCAATTTCACCAATTTCACAACCAATTTCACAGCCTATTTCACCAATTTCACCAATTTCACAACCGATTTCACAGCCTATTTCACCACCTTCATCAATTTCACAACCGATTTCACAGCCTATTTCACCAATTTCACCAATTTCACAACCAATTTCACAGCCTATTTCACCAATTTCACCAATTTCACAACCGATTTCACAGCCTATTTCACCAATTTCACCAATTTCACAACCAATTTCACAGCCTATTTCACCACTTTCACCAATTTCACAACCGATTTCACAGCCTATTCTTGGTCGAAAGAAATTTCTCGCAAGAATTTCTTGAGACCGTCAGAACAAAATAGGAAATGTTATTATGCTAATCCAGAGAGAAGTATTCATGAGCATCAAAGAACTGGTCAAGAGAATCCAAAAGAACCGTTGATGTGAAGTCCACCTGAGCCATCTGATTACGTTGGTAATGGTTTTCGAAGGTTGAGGAGGAAGTCCAATTACCGAGAGTTACGATGTCGTCTCTAGAGACCCCAAGATCTAACGCTCGCTGAGGATGCTAGTGAACGGATGGAAACATTAGGTTCAGAAGTGCAGAGTGCAATAAAGTCACGATGTAGCCATGAGGAAATGGTTGAAGACGATAGGGGCTGTTGGATGAGATGAGACTTTACAAAGAGTTGTGAACCAGGAGGACGAGAAGCCAAACCAGGATGAGCACGAAGAGCCTTGAAACACTGAACTGGGCATAGTTCTATGTCGGACGCATGAGGATGGATCGTAAAGGGCTTGATGATGCGTCGTTTGCGACGAGTCTCTTTAGGCGCCACGACTTGTAAAGTAAGACAGCCAGTATCCGTGATAGAGCAGGAGTGATACGGGATACGAGCTAGGTCAGAGGGTCGGAGGAAGGCCGCCATAGCAAGCAGAAAGACTAACTTCTGTTGTAATAACTTGATAGAAATAGTTGTTCGAGAAACAATAGAACGGGCATAGGTCAGCGCGGGGGAGATGTCGATTGTGGGTCGGTGTATAGGGACGGGAGGTGCTTGTTTCATCATAGTATCTATGTAAGAGTTAATCAGTTCACTCTCACGTATACCTTTTGGTTCATCATGAAGATGAGCTACGGCAGCCCGTACAGTTTTCAGTGTAGCGACCTGTAAGTTGTAGCGGCTGCGAATATCCGAGAGGAAGTTAACAAGTTCTACGGGTGTAAACGAGGTGAAGGAAACTCCATTCTTGATGGCCCATTCTAGGAAACGAAGCTGGTTCTTGCGATAGCTTAAGTTAGTCCCAGTGGGAGCTAACTTTGCTGCCAACAAGTCCTCAACCGCTTGTGCATTGAGATTTTTCTTTAGTAATTGCTGCCTGATAGTTGCCACACGGAGAGCATCCAATTCTGTTGTAGTAATGGGTGGGGAGTCCTGGGTGATGTTGTCTGCACCGCTTGTGGTGGCAACATCCAAGGCGGGGAAAGAGCCAATCGTTGTAGGAGGGGGAACCACAGAGCACTGGGCCAGTACGGAACCACCAGAGTCACCAAGGAAAGTCGTTCTTGCCTGATCTTGTTCAATACCCGTGTGATGAGATTCCAAGGAGGATTTACGAAGGGATTCCGGAAGTTGGTCCATGTTATCGATAACGCATCCGTATATAGAGCGTCTGGATCCGGCATCCATGACACGCACTTTGGTAGCAACTTCGTAGTCCTGTCCGCGAATAGATCGATGGAAAAAGGTCCCCAAGCTTGCTGTATCTGTTGAAATATCTGCGGCTTGATCATCCATTGATTCTTGAAATACTGGCGCCGAGACTCGAAGTCCGCGATCCTGTTGTGTATGCCCTGGATGTGTTGCGCCTGAATCATTATGCGATTGCGGAGACACCATATCCATACCTGTGTTGCTAATTCCATCAGCGGAAGAGAACGAGTTCCGCCTTGCTTGTTGATGTAGGATAAGCTGGTTGTGTTGTCTGTCCGGATTAGCACTGTTGAATTCGGCGGCAGATGGAAAGTTCTGAGGGCTATGAATGCAGCTTGTAGTTCCCTCCAGTTGATCGATTGGGCTGCCTCTTCCGCTGTCCAGTAACCATGGGCCCGCTGAGTCTTCCATGAGCAACCCCATCCAGTATCGCTGGCGTCCACGAACATTGTCTGATTGGGCGTTGATGGGAGCATTGACCGACCGTTCCACTTGCGGATGTTGACATACCACCATTGAAGTTCTTCCAGACTTGCTTGATCCAACGGGCGAGGACGATCCCAATCCACGTCTGATTTCACTGACTGATTCTTGTAGAATAAGAGGTGACGGGTGTACAGACGAGCAGGGAATATCGCAAATGTTGCCGCTTGTATCCTCATTGTCAGGCTGTGAATAACCCTGGGAGACTGCCGATGCGGCTTGTCGAGTACCTGCTTGATTGAACGACGAATGTCCCTCAGTTTGGTTGCAGGGAGTCGGGCTGTCATGGACTTGGTATTCAATACAAAGCCGAGGTGTTCCAATTGTTGAGTAGGAGTGAGAACCGATTTCTGGAAGTTGATTAACCATCCTAGATCCTGCAATAAAGAGACCACCTGTCGAGCCTGTTCCATCGCTAGTTGCTTGGAGTCCGCCATTAAGAGCCAGTCGTCTAAGTACGCCGAGATCCTGATTCCGCGCGAGCGTAAGTGCTCTAATATGGGCCTGCAAACTTTGGTGAAGACAAAAGGACTAGAAGCCAAACCAAAGGCGGTTGTACAATACTGGTAAACCTGGTCCTTCCATTTCAGACGTAAGTAGCGCCTGGAGTCCTGATGAAGTCCTACATGAAGGAAGGCATCGGATAAGTCGATGGAGACGAGATAGTCGTTGCGTTTGATCATCAGAGATACTTCTCTGATAGTTTCCATCTTGAAATGAGGTGCGTCTAAATACTGATTGAGGTTCTTCAAATTGAAGACAGGGCGGACGCCACCGCTCTTCTTGGGAATTACAAACATTGAGCTGTAAAACCCTGGGACCTGTTGTACCTGATGAGGAGGCACCTTCTCGATTGCTGACTTGTCCAAGAGGTCTTGAATGGCCTGGTCGATAAGAGTAGCTTGGTCTGCGGAAAAGGGGGTAATAGATGTTGGTATTGTTGTGGTTGGAGGTGTTGTATGGAAGGGAATATGATAGTCGTGTTGAACTGTGTTGATAACAAAGGAATTGTTGGTGATATTTGTCCATTGTTGAGAATGTTTGCTGAGCCGACCACCTACTGGATCGGTTGTTATGTTGTTGATTTGAATTGGTAAAGATGTTACCGTTGTTGTTGTGGATGTTGATGTTGCGGTTGACGTTGGTGCTGTTGGATTTACTGACGAAAAGGGTTGGAGTTTTTCTTGTGGGCGTTTTGTTGAAAATTGTTGTTGTTGCTGTTGGCCTTGTTGTTGTACTGGCTGGTGAAGTTTTGCTGTTGTTGTTGTTGTTGTTGCTGAAACCACCCTGCTGCGAGGGTGGACCTGATCGAAAAAACGAAGGATCCGATCCGTTGGAGGGAGAGCTAGAGATGGGTGTGTTGCGATTATAACGACGTTGCCTGCGATTAGCTGTGGCTTCACGGGTTGCCTTTCGGGCAGCTGTCTGTTGGACAAGTGTTTGTTGGAATTCATCCAAAGGAAGGGTGTAATTCACTTCTGCATCATTCTCCAGGCGGAATGAAGGGTTAATGACCCGCAGAGCCAGATTGTTGCGCTGTTGAGTCATTGTCGAACAAACATGGAGTAGGAGACGGCGAATATCTCGCAACATGGTGCTATAACGTTCTAGGTTGGGATTACCTGTTTCATGAGTGAACATCTCATGAATTAGAATGTCCAAAGGGCGAAAGGTGGCAGATAAAAGATATTGGAGACTCTTGAGAGACTGGTCCTCATACTTCTGCCCACGATTCATGATTTTGGCAGCGGTAGGAATCGTCGCTGGAGCTCGATAGTCTAAATGAGCCATAGGGGGATAAGACTCAATGATAGCCTTGCGTTCAGAATCAGGCAAAGGCTTAGAATGATGAAGGGGAGTATCCAATTCCATTAGGTCCGTAAGGGCATCGGAGGGAGACCATTCGTAATGGGGCCTAGTACCAAACGAATGGAGAGGTGGGATAGCAGTACTTTCCTCTGACTGCATAGGAGTAGGCATGGCAGTGTCTTCCGCTGACTGCACAGGATTAGGCATGGAGGCCGCTTGAAGCTGGGCTTGAAGTGTAGCAAATTGCTGTTGTAAAGCCAGAAGTTGTTCTTCAATGGTAGACATTAGTATAGGTTGAGAATGTGATAATATAAGCCGGTAATGACCGAGCGAAAAAGAAGATTGATAGTATAAATATTTTCTTTATTGTCTTTATATATCTTTGAATTCGCTCAAAAATAAAACTTCAAGAAGATTCTAGCATAATAACATTTCCTATTTTGTTCTGACGGTCTCAAGAAATTCTTGCGAGAAATTTCTTTCGACCTAGAATATGGCTATTTTGGCCAAAAACCTCATTTCATATTTTACCAAATTGCTCAATAACTTCAGTCAAAACATCTATTTTATTTGAAACCACTGGAAGCGCCATGAAAAGTACCCCAAAAATGTATTAGGAAGCGTAGGGTGATCATCACAATCTATATAGTCGAACATCATAAAATAAATTAAAGAAGTCGAAAAAAGACAAAATCTGTCCAATCTTGAACGGAAAAAAATACTGAGCTTTGAATTGATTTTGGCGGGCGTCGCTGCTGCTGGCTGACCCAAATGCCTTTCTAATGATGACAATGATGATTGCGATGCTGATTAAATGAGGATCATGAAGCCGAAAGGATTATTGCTTAACCCGAATGCTTCTTTTTTTTTGCTTTTTTGGGAGCTTATCCCTATAAAGATGTCTTTTGCAATGACAATCTTTCAAAAAAAATCGCTATAGATCTTACATAGATCCTGTATTTACGCATGGCCTGCTTTATATCGCTACCTCAAGAGCAGCATCAGCGAACGGATGCTTCCCCCTCCGACTCTGATACTATAGCCTTTCTTTCACAGTTAATTGATTGTTTAAAATCTACTTGATATCTCTGATTTGAAATGTCGCCAGCGAGAACCTGCAGGGCGACGCCGACATCAAACTTAGCGAGATTGACCGTCCAGTGAAAACTACACTATAAAATAAGCTCAAATATAGGTGGTCCATACCTCAGTGGCTCAGATTACTAGGTGGTCCGTATCAGATCCGTTTATAAAACCTCTTTCAAAGCAATATGCAGGCTTGTGCTGTGGTATGCGGTATAGAATTGAGCATTGGGTGCTGGAAAATTAGCCTTATGCATGTTCATAATTAGTGCAAAAGCTTATTGGAGTTGCAATTGCTTTGGAGCAATGATTTACATGCCAGACACCTGCTGTTTATTATAAAGAGATAGGATTACTTTGATAGTATTATTTTACAGTTAAAGACAGGAATACAACATTATACAGCTAGTGATAAAGGATAGCGTAGAGGCATAAAATATATAATGTGATAATGGTAGTTGAATAAGATATAAAATTTGAGGTATAAAGGGATAGTGGTCAAACAAAAGAGTGTTATTATATATGTGTGTGTATATTTTAAAGAGAACAACGTTTATCGCATTGCTGTTAATTATATTAAAGTATCATTGAAAAAGAAAGAGATATTGCATTATTCTGTAGGCGTTGGGGCAGCTGCTTCCGTGGTGGAAGATTGAACAGGGGCATCTGTTGTAGTGGTTGCAGCGGCTTCAGTTGTAGTGGGCTTGGGTGCTTCAGTGGTTGCCCCAGTAGCAGCAGCGTCGGTAGTAGTAGTACTAACAGGAACCACGGATGATGTTGTTGAGGAAACAGCGGCAGATGTGGCGGTATAAGTAGCATTAGGAGCAGCACTGGAAGTGCTGTTATTGAGAGTAAGTGAAAGTGTGTCAGGGACATTGCCGCCAGAAGGAGGAGAATCGCAGATGGCTGCCCAGGTAGGATCGTATTGGTCAGGGAAGCCAGGGATAGAAATGGTGTAAGGCACGTTCATTTGGCTGTAGACCATATGGTCAGTTTCGAATTGGTCACCCACAATGGCAGCTGCTGTTTGAGTGATGTTGTAAACACCCTTCATAGCACCTAAATCAGCCATGACAGCATCAATGTTGGCGATATCAATGTTGACAGGAATCTCACCAGTCGTCTTTGACTCCCCTGGTCCAACTTCGAAAGGCGTGGGGAATTCGTAGTTGACGGCACCAATCTGAAAGTTGGTGTATTGGTATTTGCCAGCGTAGTTACAAGTAAGGTAGGAGGTACAGCTAGCAGTGATGCTCTTCAAGGCAAACTTGGTATCCAAAGGATTGCGGATGGTAATGGTGGCCTTAGCAGGGAGACCGGCAGCGAGATCATTGATATCAACCACAACATCTAGCTTTTCAATCAAACCAGTAGTAACACCATTGATGGAAGTAGCAAGTTGAAGTTTAGAAAGGCCTTGCTGGAGCGGTACAATGGGTGTAGAAGTAGCACTACCACGGATAGTCAAGGGTACAGCAGCACCAGTCAAGTAGTAGTAGAGCATCTTACCAACAGCTTCAATGCTGGTGGCTCCTTCAGCCAAGTGCATAACAGAGTTATAGTCTTGAGCTCCAGGCTTGATCGTAGTATCGAGCATGTAAGCTTTACCGACAATGGCATTGTATTCATTCATGTAGACATCAAAGTTAACATCGCCAATTATAATAGTGATGTTAGAAGGATTGTTCAATGTGACAACCAAGTCAACAATGATGTATTGGAGAGTGGCACCAGTGACCTTAAGGGACTTGATGGTTGCTACGTTGCCAAAGCTATTGAAACCTATAAAAATAAGAAATGTTGGAAAAAAATATTAAACAGTATTTCTTCCTCCTACTTACCAGCTAAATGAGTATCAACATCAAATGTAACGCCAGGAAGGGGCAGGGTACCAACAGCAGTGTTAGCAATAGCATTAGAAGAACCCTTCAAGCCAAAAGTGACACTAGGAGTCAAGGTCAACAAGGCGTTGAAACCAGTAAAGAGTTCGTGGTTGGTCACCTTGAATGGAATGTCATTGAAACCAGTAGTAATCAAACCAGTGTTGGAGGTGGAAGCAGGTGATGTGGGGATGTCAAGAGTGGCCACAGAGGCTCCTTGGTAGGTAGCTTCTACCTTCATGTCAAGTTGAGCAACAGAGAGAGGGAAACCGAAGGGGTTCTTGAGTTGAGCCTCGACTTTGGAAGAGCTAGTAGGAGGAGCCCACTGATCCTTGGTAAAGTCCAGCTTGAGATCCTTCATTTCAACAGAGGGAATAAGCTTAGGGATAGTGGCAGGACCAGGCAAAACGACGTTTTCAATGTTGATGGTCTTGAATGCAGAAGTAAGCCAGCTGACAGGACCATTACTACCAGAACCAGAAACACCCTTGATCGTAAGATTAGAGGACATGCCGGCAAGATAGTGACCAAAGACAGTAGTTATAGCAATAATGCCTTCCTTGGTATCTTGTGGGATCAAGCGACCTTTCATCTTCATGCTAGAGGAAGAGAGAGGGGCAAAGAAAGCAGCACCATCAGTGGCAAGTGGGCCAAGATCAACACCAGTGAAGTAGGTCTCAAATGCAGCGCCACCGAGATTGAAACCAACTTGACTAGGGTTGTTGATGACAGTATCAGCAGTGAGAGTAATACCACCAGCAGGATCATTGGCAGGTAAATCAAAGGACTTGACGGTAACAGCGTTCTTGAAGCCGTTGGAACCCTTCAAGGTAACAAACTTGTCAAGAGAGACGCCCACAAAGGTAAAGCCAAGAGCAGTGACACTGACATCCTTGCTGACAATCTCCCATTCAAAGGACTCGTTGTTAATCAAGTAAGCAGAGAATTCAGCCATGTCATTACCGTTGTTGACAGAGAAACTACCTTGGACATCAAAGGAAGCACCGACATCAGCCTTGGCTTCGATGTTGGCCATAGTGACTGTACCGAGCGTCTTTCCTTGCCAGTAGATGGTAAGAGGTGTAGGGAAGCTGATCGTAGCATCCATAGGGCCAGAGTTGGAGATACTACCCTTCATTTGCACAGTGAATGAGTTTTCAGCGACATTGGACATGACAATCGTCTCAAAACCGAGAATAGAGCCATCCACGACTTGTTGCACGATAGGCTGACCAACGATAGGGATCAACTTGGTGACAGAGTTATCAGCGGCAACAGCAACACCAGCTTGAGAGAAGGCCAAATCATTGACATATTGACCAATAGTAATGGTGGAAGAGAGAGAGAGGTCGACCTTCAATGCCTTCATAGCATCCAAAGTAAACTTGGACACGTCAAACCCCTTAAAGAGACTGGAATCAGTGCCGACATCTTCTTGACCTTCAATATTGAAGCCACCCAAAGCGAGCAGGCCATCCAGGGCTCTAGTATCCATATTAGCTTGAACAGCAAGTGTACGGAGCAACAAGGCAACAGCAGCGGGTTCCAGGTTCATGCTCATGCTCAAGTCTTGAGAGGTAGCAGTGGCCTTACCGCCAATGACAAAAGGATTGCTGCTAATGTCCTGATCAATGTTACCAACAGGCATACCGACAAATGTAGCAGCAGCAACCACCTTGGAGATGCTCAAGCCAGCAGAGAAGGGATTGGCAATAGTGACCTTAACACCAACCATGCTTGTTTGCAAGGTATTGTCGAGAACAGACATAGAAGAACCTTGAATCAGAGCAGTGGTGAGACCAGGAAGCGTAGAACTGAGGCTGACAACACTCAAGGCCTGAGCAAGAGAGGCAATGCTGGTGGAGTTGGCATAACCAGAGATATCAACAGCATTGTTGGAGCCCATGACAAAGGTACTAAGCAGATTTTGTCCAACATCGGATGACTTGGGGTCAAAGGAAGCAGCAGCAGCAACCGTATTTTGACCACGGTTCAAGGTAAGGTTGTTCAAAGTAACAAGGCCAAGGGTTGTACCACTAGCACCCATGTTGAAGCTCACATCACCAGTCGAGATACCAAAATCAGATGGGTTATCCATAGTGACATTGATAGCAAGAGCAAGGCCAGCCTCGGTACCACCAGTGACATCCAACGAATTGATGACAGTGGCTGTGCTGTTCAAGAATTGCAAGCCCTTGAGCGTGGTAGGTACGGTAAAGTTGATACCAGTCAATACAATGGGACCGATCGGTGTGTTAGTCTTGGTAGTAGCAATACCAGAGACCATAAAGGTGTAGTTATCACTGGCAGTCAAGGCATAGGTGTATTGGTTGTAGAAGCTCTCCTTTCCAGGGATACCAGCAATAGCCGTGTTGTTTAATGGGAAGATGATGGTGCCATTTTGTTGATTGCTAACAGCAGGAGCGAAAGGCGTTTGCATCACAGCAAAGCTCTCGGTTTGTGCACCGGTAGTATTAATGGCAAGAGTAATGTTCTGAGAGACTTCGCTAATATTCAAGGAGAAACCAAAGGGCAACTGGAAGTTGGCAGTGACAGCAGGAGCATTGGCAATGGGTGAGTAAGGAGCAGCAGGGTCAAACTTCAAGTCAAGATAGCCCATGCTGACGCCGTTGATGATCTTGAGAGGAGCACCAGCAGTAAGACCCACATTCAAGTTGACTGTAGAGAAACCTTCAGAGAGCCAGTTGATAGGGTTCACGCCGTCAGGAGCGCAAGACACACCAACAGCAGTAGTATTAGAGAGTTGGCCAGCGACATAGTTGGAGAAAAGCACACCAATTTTGTCAAGAGAAGCAGTGTCATTGTGAGGAGAAAGAGTACCCTTGAGGAGGATGTTGTTCTCACCCTTGGCAAGGTTCACGTTTTGAGCAGCAACCATTCCCAATGGCACGCCATCATAGCCGATAGCGAGCTTGATAGTACCCAATTGCACACCGATAGGAGAAGGACTCTCCAAGACAGTGCCCAATTCAACCAGAATACCGCCATTGGGGTCATCACCAGGAAGCTGGAATGAGTTAATCTTGACATTAGGGAAACCATTCATGCCTTTTTTTTTAAAAAAAAAAAGAAAGGTAAGGGTGGGTTAGTACATTGTTAGGGAATAGTATTGTGATTATAAATAGGCTTTACCATTAAGAACAATCTCTTTGTTGAGGTCCACAGTTGCTGTTCTACAAGATTCAGGGACAACGGAGATTAATATATAGTCAATATTACACAACATTGACATACCTGGTGAGAGCTGTAATGTCGAGTTTACCCTTGAGGGTCCATTTGAACGATTCTACAGCCAACATGGTCTTTGCAAAAGCAGCAAAAGCAGCTTGATCTCTGATCAAGAAGGGAGTGATGGCATTCAAGTTACCATGACCACCGCCAATGCTTGTTTCATTGTACAAGAAGATATCACCGAGATAGGATTCGTTGTAAAAGATCTGAACAGGGTTATGGAACTTGATTGTTGCGCTGAATGGGCCAGTATCAGAGAGGGCACTTTCCATGTTCATGTAAAAGGTAGAGTTCATGTCATCGCCATCACGTTTAGTATAGACTTGGTTTGCCAGGGCATCAGGTTTGTTGAATGTGATTCCAGCAGCAGTAACGTCAATCTTGGACTTATTCATCAGGGACTGAGCGATCTTGGGGAAGATAACATAAAGAGCTAAAACAACAGCAACTACCACTACAATGACTGTAGTAATAGAGCAAATGATCCAGTACTTTTTCTTTTTGTAAAACTTTTGTTTGGGAGGAGGAGCAGCTTTTTCAGAGTATTCCTCCATTAAATCATTATCGTCATGGCGAAGGTTTGTTTCATCATCTGCTGTGCGATAATAATTGCCGCCATCAGACGCAACTGCCTGATGCTCATACGTTTGGTGTATGCTACCAGCCATTATTATGAATAGTAGTAGTTAAAGAGTGGAGAGAACTGTTGAGTGTTTTACAGACAAAAGGAGAGTATATAAAGACGGTGAATATGGATTACTAGAGGGATGATGTTAAGGTACATTATATACGAAACAGATGGCGATATTTATACTAAATTGGTTTCTCTTGTACAAGGACATGGACATAATTGGTTTCTTCAGTCTTGTAGCACAGTATCAAGCAGTAGATGGAGACAACTGTACTCACAGGTATTACAGGTCCCAATTTAAGGATTCATTTTCGAGTCGATCCATGTGAATTGCCCACCAACAAGACGTACTGAACAGAAGGGTAAACGATTAAGATGTCGCTATGAATGTACAGTGTTAGTGATATAAAAAGAAACGCAAGGTATACAGAATACAACGTAAATCATCTGATGAGACGCTTCTCACACACAAATCCAGCAAACACGATGTAAGGTTTCCCTTTTGATTTGGTGCTACTACGTAGAAATAAATACTTTACATACGACCTGTTGATCTGTATATCGTACGAGTATTTACATTGCATCCTTGAACGGTATGTTTGCATTTGGTTCCTCCTAATCATTGCAAAAAAAAACAACATGGATCTAATCAGGTTATTTCTGTTTTTCTGCTTTGTGTTGAAGAATCTGACAAACTTTAAGATCGTACAAAAACAGCAATGTGGTGGTGGCAAAGGTCATTTGCAGGTAACCCTTTGTATCACTATCCCTAAAAGAAGAAATGATCCCTTAACAGAAAGATGTCTTCTGAATGCCAGTCTTTGTATTATTTGGTCTAGTGCAATCGTGTTGACAGGTGAGAATTGCAGCTAGTATTAGCTGAGAACAGGAGCAAGCTTATACCAACATGCTACAAAATGTGCGTGTCAAGCTGGCAAGGTTGCAATTAAGCGCCATTGCAAGATGTTTGCTTTGGAATGACATCGTTGGTAGTGGTCGTGGAAATCTTTACGTGCGGTGGCATCGAACCTACAATCTCATCAAGTGCGTATCGTTACTGCGCATCGAGCGGCTTCATTAAGCCCAAACAAGTATATAAAAATGACTTTCATGCAAACTGTAGACCACTTGGTTCCTGGATCAAGAAGTGATGTTGTAATTCACGTAGCGACAAAATTTGCTAAAATCCATTTCAGGACATTCCTGTCGAATATATCATCACGTAGCATACGTTAATGAGTAATGAAATCACATTTCAAAATGTCAAAAAAAAACTACTACTTGCAGCATTTATCTTCATCAAAGAATCAGCTATATCATTGGAAATGGGTATCATATCATAAAAGTAGCTTGTAACTTACACAAATGCTGTCTGAGCTCTGAGAATGATGAACACGAATTTCGTGATTATATCTTGTTGGAACATTTAAACGGGGAGGTCAGTGTGTATACTCTGTGGAACCATCAACGCTGCTGATGCATATTCTTTCGGTTTTTGTGCAAACTTAAGATGGAGAATATCCATATACACAAGTATCGTCAATCAAGAGCCACCTGAGGATGCGAAATAGAGATATTGCTCATTGCATTTACAAACTGATCACAGTGCGATCGCCAATCACATCTCAGCATAAGTCTACATCTAGATTCTTGCACTGCCAGATGTTCTGCACTGTACAGGAAGTCTATTTAAATTGTGATACCTATCACAACCACAAGTTAAATGCAAAAAAGAAGGGCATCTGTTTCTTATATACCAGTAATTTCAATAATACACACAAGCTTTTTTATTTTATTCAGCACAATTCCTTAAATTTGATCAAATGCAGTGACACCACCCTCTGTAACAACGCGAACAAGTTTACCGCTGGTAAGAGGCAATGTACCTGTAAGATATCCCTCCAATTGGCTACAAACATGGAATTTTGATTAACAACACATGTGGGACATGTATTGATATAAAGCGACTTACTTTGCGATATCTCCAGGAGATGTCCATGTGCTGAAATCAGCATTGGGCATAAACTTTCTGTTCATGGGAGTATCAATGGTAACTCTGTAAAATACAGCGTATTAATGCGATTTTGTAGTCCAAGCAATACAAGCAAACACTTACGGTAGTACAGCAGTGACCTTACAGCCATCAGGAAGTCCACCATTGGGAGCAGAGAGATCCTTCACAAGATGATGAACAGCTGCCTTTGCAATGCCATAACCAATCATACCAGGAGTAGCGTCTAAAGCGGCCAGTGCGCCTGTCATGGTCAGAAGTCCACCCCTGAACATGTTGGTGTTAGGTTTTTCTGTGTGTTTTTCATGCAACTCGGGATGTATACTTACGGTTGAAGGTATTTGGATGCGATGTGAGCAGCAATCAAAGAGGAATTCACGCTTTGGCTCAGCATTAATTCAGAGTTCTTCAAGAAATCTAATGTACGCGCGCCCATGCTCGTATCAGTTACAATCGCTCCCAAAAACTATGTGAGGACATATTACCTTTGCTTGCAGCATTTCCTCCTGCCCAACCGCCGGCAACACAAAATACACCACACAACTTCTCGGAGCCCAAGACTGAGGCGATGGATTCGCTGATAGATTGGCCTTGCTCGGAAAGAGAGCCGCTGCCAGTTGCCAATGTATTGAAATCAGCGTCCTGGTTCTCGACTAAATCAACACTGATCACAGTCTGTACACGAGTGTCAATGACATGTATATTGATCTCTTTTAACACTACATACATAACCCTTTGTTTTAAAGTGTTGAACAAGAGCACGACCTAAAGCACCAGCACCACCATAGATTACAAGCTTACTCATATTGTTTCTTATTGAAATTGATTAAAACCAACATGAACAAAAGGGACAAATGTACAATGCTTTTTATTACTATCCGACAACAGTCCCTGTTAGATGACCGTGTGAAAATATGCTTACTTTGTCTTCACTGGCGCAAATGGTTTTATCTGGAGACGTTGACACTGCTCCGGTGGTTGGATCTACTTGAGTGACATTGCATATAGCGACTGACTGTGGATATGTGCCCAACATGAAAGGTATGGGCTTATATTTGAGCACGCCTCGGACGACAAGTCCATAGGGGTATCGGATCATCCTGGACCTGATGTGCCAAAACAAAAATTAGGTTTATATAATTGAAATTAACCCCTTTTGTATAGTGCAAATTTACCATCTCTCATTACCGGCCGTGTCAGCCCCAGGTGATTTGATGCGAATTTGACTGATAGCTTCCAAAGAGTTGTCACTATGAAATCGATTTGAAGGTATTGATAGTGGCTCATCAAAATGTGTCAAACCGCCCAAGTATTCGGCTGGATCCACTCCTCTAATCGTGCTCGAGTTCATGGCAGTGACAATGATGTTGCTGCTGGGCACAATCTGGCTGAATGCAAACACGCTTATATCCGCATCAGCGACGTGGATTGTCCACCAATTCCAATTATCTGCCTTGACTTTTAGATCGAAAATGAGCTCCTTGTCAGTTGCCAGCACTCGGCCCATATCGACCGATAGTTCCATCAAGGGCTGTGCTTTATAGACTACCATGAGCAGCAGCAGAATCACTAGCAAAATAAGCGACAAGACCAAGTTTTGAAGTGTATGTGTGCTGATATTCGGCTTCATTGTAAGTTTGAACTGTATACTAGAATCCTGTAGTGCACATACCATGTCTTTTTCGGCTTTGAAAATGATCGCTTTTGTCGTCTCAATAATAAGGGCGCTTCTTCATCATCACTGGTGTATCCGCCATTTCTGTTACCATGTCCTATATACGGAGGCGAGTGCTTTTGTGTCGAATAGTACTTTTTAGTAGATGATTTCCTTGATAAAGGATTAACGTATTTCTTGTTGAAGCTGTCATGCCATAGATTGAGCAGACTTGATTTGCTTGATTGCTGCTGCTGATGGTCTTTGACATGGTTTCTTAATTTTGGCCGTCTTTGCTGCGATTGCTGTTGCTCTCCACTGGACCAAAAAAGGTCTTCCTCCTCTTCATCTACTGGCGGTTGTGGAGGTTTGTTGTACAACGTCTGCCTTAGCCACTCGCCGAATCCCTTTCTTGAACGCTTTTTTGAGTCTAATAAGCTTGCTGGCGTAGATCGAACGGAAAGAGGTCGATGAATGCCCGGTGCATTTGATTCATTTCCACTGTAAGGATATACATAGTGCTCATTCTCATCAGAATCTACAGAATCTCTATAAGAATTGACTCTTACACATCTATCTAAGCTCGCCATACCTTCTACATTGGAAACGGCATCGACTAGATTTCTGTGAAAGACCTCGGCCGGACTCGCAGTGCCGTTCATGGCAGGTTTCGATTGCTTCTTCATTACTTTTCTATTATTTTGAAGACTCGTTGATGGGCGCATTGGTGTAGGTGCTTGTATTGAACCATTATTCTGGTAATGTTAAAAAAAAAAGAAAAGAAAAATGGAGAATTTCAATATTTATGCAGTGATATACAGAGTATGGTGTGATGATGACCGAATTACCTCACTTTTCACAGGTGTCAACCTTCTTTTATGATCGTTTACGGAATGCGAGGTGGTTAGTGGATTTGACGTCAGCAGCGATGCCATGCTATTGTTACTATTTCCCGTAGTACTCAGCGTAGGTGCGGAGGGCGACATGGTCAATGCATACGTTGGCATAGGAGCAGGTGGTGAGGAGGTGGTATTGCTGCTATCCGCATCGAGGGTATGGTTCTCCTCGTTCGGTAGGATATCCACCTTTGGCAGCAAGGTGTCCGTGTGCTGTGTTGGTATAATTGGGGCTGATTGCGTCTGAATGATGAGGTTGTCCTCACTGCCACTGTTGCTCGTTGGCTCGAATTTAGCCTTCTCTACAACCAAAGTGCGATCAAACTTGGACAGTAATAGGTCACGGCGAAGAGAATTTGTGTTGAATTTGTCGTATTTCTTGAGTCTCTTTTGCTTTTCGTCAGCATCGGATGAAGAGTGGGGTTTGGGTATTTCGGATGACATGTCGATTTGGGCGAGACAAGAAAAGAAAAATGGAAGGAAAAAAAGAAGAAACAAGTTTAATTTATTGACACTAATTAGGGGATTCAAGACTGTGTTTCTCGAATCAAGTATAAACAGATATTTCCTTAGTTGGAAGTTCAGGTAAAGGATCATCCTCGTTTTCCACTGATACACTCACTAGTCGGGCAAAGGGACACAGCAAGTCCGTTGGATCATACTGTTGATCTATCAAGCTGCATGACGATATCTCTGCTCGCAATGTCAGTCCGCGTTCTTTGAGTTCGTCCATATTGGTTGGTACTCCCCATAGATCAAACAGAGCAAGTTGATCCAATGGCGGCAATGTCAAGCCAAAGTCTTGCTTGTACAATGGCACAGTGTAGAGAGAAATCGCATCTTTAAACTGCTCTCTCAGCGCCTTCTTTTTCAGTTCCAAATGCACGGTGGAGAAGCTGTGTGTTGGGTATAACATGACATACGATCGCAAATAGATTAACTCTTCAAAGTATTTTCTCCATGACCTCTCCCATTCACTTGATACGAGGTTGGGAACAATGACATCTTGCATTTCAAAGCCATTAATGTCTGCCATTCTTGCTGTGATGTAATCATGAAATTCCCTCCAATGCTCTGGAAAGTAAACAGCACCTGAATAGCTGGGCAATTGCATCATATAAGCATCGTCTTGCACAGTGTCGCTTGAATTGAACAGTCGTCTGCCAGAGGGGTCTGTCTCCAGTATTTGTGGTGAATACAGACTGATGCCAAACAGTTGGTCCGAAAATGATGCGTAGCGATACTGCAAAATGGCATATTTTGCCCAGATATAGAACATGGGCGAGAGTTCAATATCGTTATTCAAGATAATGGCATATTCATCATTACTTGCCGGATACCATGATTCCACAAAGATGGGCGATTTGGGCGTTGTTGCAATGCGATGACGGACGCTCTTTACCCCTTTCTTCCAGTTGTAATTATTTGCTAATGCTTGTGTTACTTGATCAGTTGTCTGATCCATGAGAATCGTCAAATCAACCTTGTCTCCTAGATAGTGTGCATTGGTCGCTGAATTCAATAGTCGTGCTAGTGCATGTGGCTTCTTGTCTGTAGTTATCATGATTTTGATGTTGAATGCATCCCATTCTAAAGAAGAAGAAAAGTTAGCAGGGCTTCTAGCAGCAGCACTGATATGTATATACTGTACTTGAGAGTGTGTCCAGTGATAATTCTGTCATCCAGGTAACATGAGCAATATCTTTTGCTGGCAAATAAATGCTTGGAACCTGGACAATCCTGCTGGCTGTTTCAATGCTGATGGATGCTTCGTCTTGGAGCGTATGAATCATTACCACCGGTCGAATCACCGTCAAGATACGAGTCAAGCGATGCAACACATCATTTACCAAACTCCAGTCCGTAGACTCATGCAATATGCTGAGATCATGCACTATCACTCGGGTAGGAAAATCATCATAACCACACAAAGAAGGGAGTGAGCTCTTTATCTGCTGATCTGATAATCCTCTCAAATTGCCGCTGGTCACAATATGCAAATCTATTTCCTCTTTGGCTTCAAATCGACATATCAACGGTGCTAAATGTTCAAAATCGTCCTTGGAATCAATGTAAAACAGAATTGGCTCTGCGACAATATCGGGAGAGGATGATGGTTGTCCTCTGTAGAGCATATCTTGGTACAGCACAGGTTGCATCTGTTTATCGTGGGCCACCGCTTCCAAGGCTTTGCATGTCTCTGATCTCTGCGTACGCTGTAATCTCACGTCTCCCCAATAAGCTCGCTCGATCGGATCGCTGGGTAGAGCAATAGATGGTATGCCTGCTGTCATGTACAGAGTACGACTGATGAATAGTCCCAACAAAGGCTCTGCAGCTGCAATCTCTTCCTTCTCCATGGCGTCCATCAGATACGATATCCAGGATCGATGTAACAACCAACTGTCGTTGATCATATCCACAGCCTGACTCCTCATCTGTCTGCTTCCCGAGCTCATCGTATCTGGAATACATTCTATCTTGTCTTTAGAGGCCATATTCAACACTGCTCCTTCTGTTCCTAGTAGTGCTGATTTGTATTGTGATGTGAACGACAGCTTCAGTAGATTCTCCAGATAGCGTTTTCCAGGGGCAATATCTTGGTCTATAATCCACACAAACTCAGTAGCCACATGAGCTGCTGTTTGGAGCCATAAACTGGTGTTGTCGTCTCTAGCCATCACTTTGACTCTTCTGCGGTCCAATGTCATGATGCGTGCCTCTACTTCTTGCTTTGATGCTGTATCACAAATAATCCAGATGTGTTCTGGTAAGGCTGTCTGAGTGAGTATCGCTTGCACTTGGATATATAGTTGTGTCACTGTTGTCGTATGGACAATGACTGTAACTGGTACGCGACGATTCTTGCCTGCGTATACAGCAGGTAATGATACGCTGTTGGTGAGTCGACGAAGCTCGTCAAACGTGTGTCCTATCGCTGATCCTTTCGAAAGCAGATTGACAAACGAGTTTTCGCCTGGGTAATTCACATTGAAATAATTGTCGAAGCGGGATGAGGATGTTGCAATAGGGCCAGCTGTGGTGTTGGTTGTTGCTTAGTCTCGCATGCTCGCTTAGATATAGAGTTGAACAAACCTTTTTTATCTATTAATAACCTGTCAAGTAGCGCATAGTCTGTATATTGTGAAGAGTCGTTGAACTCTGTTTTCTCCTCAAAGAGGCTACTCGCGGTTTTCCTTGATGGTAGGTGTATGGATGGATATTGATAAAAGCCAACAAATAAGAAGATACATACGCAGCAAGTTAATGTGAAAGCTCCTAATTTGCTCTTCACGAGGTGCGATAAATAGTTATTAGATTTTCTGAGTGGATAGTTCTGTCCGTCTATAATGGTGATTTCTTGCTGATCGGCGTCTTGCTCAAGTGGCGGTGGATATACTGAATACTTTTTCGAACTGGTGAGTTGTCTCCTTGAGCGGGTGCCAGCCCTCTCCAAATCTTCATCGTCTAAGCCCATGGTTTGTTTGTGCAAAAGGAAAGAAAAAGAAAGAGCAAAAAAACCTGTAATTAAAATAAAGGTTCAAAAAATAGGTTAAATGCTCGCATTAGTACTGGCTTTCAACCAGTTTAACCCAACTACTCCTTAATGTTTAGATAGCCAAAAGCCTCGTGCCTAAATATTTGAATCATGGTCAAGCTGTGTCTACAGCTGGTCTGCAGTATATTCAGACATCAAAGCAAACAGCCTCATTTTACTGCACTATTTCTGTATTATTGTCAAAAGAACAAGCAGTGCTAGACTTTGTATTGCTCGAAGATTGTGTAGCAATCGTTAAATTACCTCCCACCACTAGCCACTAGATCACAGCTAAATTACTTTTTTTTAGGCACTTATCTAAAGTAGTATAATTCAAATTGTATGTTCCAGTATGTTTGCATTTTTGTAGAATAAACTCGGTACCATTCGATTAAATAAAGCTACTTAGGTGACACACTTTTAATGGACACACTTGAATCTTTTTCTCCTCGAGCCTTTGGCTCTTTAAAGAAATACTTGATTTTATGGATCTCACCCATTCAAACAATACATCAACTAGATAGTACACGTTTATGTGCTGAAATCTCGAGTGAACATATATCATGGTAGATGGCGCTTCTCAGGCGTAATCCAAAGAATCAAACTAGGTGCGTATGCTTACTTCATTTTGGTTTGTTGTCACATAATAATAGACGACATCTTGAGCAATAACGGTCAGTGATGGGATCAAGTAACCTATTATTTAATTAATGAGACAGCAGAACTGATTGCTATATACTCTGCCCTATTATGGACTATGCTCTATTATAGGATTGAACGAGTATTATAATAAAATATTTCGAAATTTAGCTGCTGGCATTCTAAGAAAGCATATTACTAAGCTCAGCCAACCTCTTCATCAGAGAGTGTGTTAGGCACGTATAGCCTGTCAATCACGAGTAACCACGAATGGTGTCTTGATAAGCAGGGTGTAGGTACCATGTAATCAAAATCGCTTCTGGTAGCTTCTGTTCCTCTTCCGATTATCTATACAATGTCATGGCTCATAGGTTAATCTCGAAATGTTTAAAGATCGTCTGCTTATTATAGCTCATAAAATATAAGATTTCGAGCAAAATTATGAAGGGAACGCACATTTGATACTTAAAACCCTTACATTATAGTAGATATAACGTAGAACTATCAAATGGTCTTTGTTTTGTGCGAATTCAGTGAGTATTTGTCGAGATATAGTCAGAAAAAGTCATCATGCAAAATCATCACTTTTTGTTCAAAATCTGCTTGTGATAGCAAGCAAAAAATCTGGTGACCTTTTTTTGGTCAGGATAAGATTGTCAATATTTCATGATATAGTTATGCCAGAGATTTAAGCAGTAGCTCATTTAATAGGAAATTTTTTGCTCTACAATGTTTAGTAATGCTTAACAAAATGTTTTGATGACAGATACTGATTAATCTTTAGAAAACAGTCAAAATATTGCAAAAACAATCGTATCAAATATCAGGTGAACAATGTATACCAGAGACTTGAAATAAATACCATTGTATTCTCCTTGCAATTCTCTACAACTTTCATATAAGTTTGAAGAGGAGTTTACTATTAGGAAACGTGTAATGTTAAGGTCGATAGATTTCGGGATCCTATGGATCATCATTCAGAACGATAGAATCTCCGTTAAGCTTCCACATGTGTATACTACGCAAGTATGAATTTGACTGAGCATTTTAAAAATTGGAGCGTACGAAAAGAGCCATAGTAACTTGCTGGTTTCAAGTTATCAATAGATACTGGACATGTTGGAGAATTTTGCTTTTAAGGTTAGATAGTTGTAACTTGCTTTGTTCGATAATAATAAGTCTTCCAATTTAAAGTATGTATATTTCCCCGCTTAAAAATAGCGTCTCCAATGTCAATTCTAAGCACAAAAAATAAAAGGATTATTATTTGTAGCTTATAAAAAATGTTCGATATTGCAAAAACAAGAAAAGACTTATTTGAATAAGATCAGACACAAAAACTAGAGATTTATTGATGAAGACAAGAGTTATCCTATTTATACTAAGTTCTGAATGCCAAACTAGCAATTTATCTTGTACAGCGCTTATCACATTTGGTGAACCTCAATATTTAGATACCTGAGATGATGCACTTCAATTGTCATAGCTTGTCCATGTTGTTGCACAACACAGACATATCTACCCATCAAGAATACCTTAATCTTTATAGACACTTGTAGCTCTGCTGGCACAACAGTTACCAACAATCAATATGTTCCTAGTGGCTGCTGTTTATACCATGTCAGCGTAGTAATCATTGACTAGTAATCCATCATATTTAAACTACTATTAAGATAATCCTCTGTAATGAAGAAGCTTTTTGTTTTAGATACAGTTAACAACTGATTATTTTCGTCGACTTCTTTATTGTGAAGTCATCGATGTCCAACATTGACGCTAAACTTTGAATCTGATTTTACGGCTAGATTAGGTATCTCCGTTTTGGACGACCACCGAAAGTGTCCTGCTAACCTAATAAACACTTCGTCTAATCTGAGCAAAGCTGTTAGATTCAAATTTGCAAAGAATCATTGACATTCAAATTTTAAAATTACTGTATTCGCGTATTTTGAAAAGGAAGATCCGAGCTTTAGAACTAGATAGAGGCATTTATCACTTACGACTCGAGTTCCTTACAATGCAGAACATCAGAGACATCAGACAGTGCCTTACTCTATTTACTTCTTTGGCAACACAACCTAATACGCGTTATGTTTAGGTCAAATTCTGTCCAAACCTAGTCATTTTCAAACACAAATAACTCATGCTACAAAGCGTTGTGGACACTCGGAGCAAGGCCAAACGTCTCTTCTTGGTCACGCTCTACTTATTGATGCTTTATCTCAATTTTTTTTGGGTCATTGCAAATTCATGAAAATTGTCGTTTTTACATGAGTACTAGCAAGGGAAAATTTTTGAAAATCAAGCGATCGCGTTTTTCACCCCAAAAATGAAGACTTTTCCTATGATACATATTAGACCAAACCGATCGTCAAAATGGAATGCAGCACTGAAAGCTCTTTTTATGAGACTTTCATATGCTAAATGTTGTCATATTTACAGAAAACCTGCTTTCGTATTTTTGCAGATTGCTCATTATTTTCGGCCTGAAAGCTAAATGTAATCAGCATCATTCGACGCGCCTTTATTGACTTTATATAAATGCATTAGAAAGTATTACAACGACATTTTTCATAGTTAAATTTAGCAAAAATGTTTAAGGAATGTGAAATCAAGTCGAATTTGAACATGAAACTATCCACTGCACAATTTCAAATTAAAGTGCAGCAGTTGCGGCTGCCACCACGGCAGAAGGCTGAGACCAGATCTACTGGCCGTGACGTCAGTTATGGCACCCTCTCATTTTCCATGCATTCGTTTTTTTATCTTTTTTGCAAAACGCGTTTAGTATCAAACCATATCGATTTGGGAATCCTTTCGATTGACAACAACACTCTAACTTCTGATGACACGGCTTTGTACTTTTAAAAGTACTTGATAATGCTTTATTGAAGTGGAATATAGTAGGTACCATTCGATAACGAACACTAGAAGTCGTAGAATCAGCACTAATCGAATTTGTTTATTAGGTTTCGATAATTTTTTTGCCTGTTTGACGTAGGTGCTTCTGCCATTACTTCTCTGCTATCTCTGTTGTTTGATTCTTTGGTTATTATGTCTGGTAGCTACTTCTGCTGTCTCTATCTATGGCGGCTGCTTCTTTAGTCTTTGCCTGGTCTCTGGTGTCGCTCGTTCTTTGGGTTTTTATGATATTGTTGATGGTCTTGCTGACGGTGTTGCTGACGGTGTTTGCTGATGGTCTTGCTGCTGGTATTGCTGCTGCTGCTAGTCTGGTCTTTTCTGGTCTGCCATCTATGATGTATGCTCGTTCTCTCGTCTATCTCTGATAATTGCTTATGCTCTGGTCTATCTGTGGTGGTGATAAGTGGTAAGTAATTTCTTTGGTCTTTGCCTGCTCTCTGCTGATGGTGTTCGTTCTTTAGTTTTTCTATTGTGCTGCTGCTGCTGCTGCTGCTTATCTGGTCTTTCCTGGTCTGCTGTATTTGGTGCATGCTCGTTCTCAGGTCTGTGTCCGGTGATTGCCCATACTACTCTGGTGTATTTATGGCTGTGGTAAGTGGTAAGTATGTTCTTTCTTCTGGTCGCAATGATGTAAACCTTCTTTGAACGTTTATATTATTGCTTCCTTTCTCGTGATAATGCATTCATGATGTTTGCGTTGTTGCACTTTTTCTTTTTCTTCTTTTTCTTTTGTTGGTAGTGTGTCCTCTGTATCTTTACATGAAACAACAATATTAGTCATCATGTTGTATTGCAAACTTATAATACCACTGTTGCTTTTGTAGTTGTGTGTATTTGTGTCATGTTGCTTTACATCTGACTATTATTACTACCATGCGCGTTGCTCATGTGTGCATTTTTCTTGCAACAGCAACGAGCTTTTTTTTTTAACATCTTTGATGTTGTGTTTGTTATGCTTTTCTTTGAATCGCTTCGTGTGAGTGTATCTTTTTTGCCTACGTACTACTATAGTCTTATAGTATTATGTTCTTTTCTTCTTTCTTTTATTATTATTATGTTTCTTTGAAGCATACCTTTTTTACGTTGTGTGGATGTGCCTATCCCTGAAGCTCAACAAGACCTTATCCGAGGCTAGGAGGTAGATAGGCTGCCTCCACTTGGTTATCGCTACTTACTTTAGCGATGATTGAGGGTCTCAATGCCTGAATTTAAAGCTAGGTGGTGTAAGTAAGGCATGCTCTAGCACCTGGGGGAAATTTGATGATAGTGACGGCTATATTTCTATTATAGCGGCACTTAAAATTTTGCCTCACATTAAAACAGGGGGAAACCCTCGCAAATTTTTTTTTAGGTCAGCGGGGTTTTTGAGCGATTTGATTGGCTAAGAGGTCGAAGCAGCGAAGGTCTACAACCAGTTAATTTCCTATTGATCTGTTATTACTATAGTTTTGTGTTTGTAATAAAATGATATCCAAATAAGTAAAATCTTGAATTTTACTTTATCCAAAAGTACGGTAGTAATCAAGTGCAGTTGCTTAATCTGGCATCCATTACACAGTTTGATGTGATTGAGGTATGTGGTTTAAATTTATTATGTGGAGAACGCTATATACAGTTTAAGAACTACTACTATAGCAACACAATATGGGCTACGATATTATTGATATTGTATCAGTATGTTATTCTTGCAATCACGCCACTGATGAGCAATTGTTCTAGCTGTTGAAACTATAGTGCAAGGTGTTATGGTTTAAGAAGAGCATTTGATTTTTCATTACTGTTAAGCACAAAGAATAAAAAGATTATTATTTGTAGCTTATGAAAAATGTTCGATATTATAAAAACAGAAAAAGACTTATTTGAATAAGAATGCATGCTTATATCCGCGATACTAGCTACGGATACTTTATGTACTACAGACTTGTACTATATATGAGACATGCTATAGACATGCATACGATATGCCATAGACATGCCATATATCCAGATACATGCTAAAGATGTATGCTTAGCGATATACACTCAGATATGTACTATTAATATAGACTAAGAAGACTGTACCTATCGGATACATGCTACTAGATCGATATTAATTATCCTTATGGAAAGGATAGATCAGGGTACTTCGGATGAGAGTCTAATTATTCATCCAGACAGAGCTAAATCATGATTAGCTTGCTGGAGTTGTCTTTTAGCATGATTAGACATTAGTTGATCTGAGTTGACTTATTTGTCAATCTAATTAATAGAACTTTTATCCATTGTTATAGTATATAAGAAGGATCATCTACTTGGCCAGTAGAGAGACTTCAGTTTACTTTACACCTGTCAGTTTGATAATAAAATATACCTTTATCAAGTTGACATTACTGTTTTTTTTATTCTTTTTTTTCCGTGAATTTTAGTCTATCAAGCCTCAAATTCCACAAGGACGACGACGGTGCGCAACAAAGTAATCATGCATCAAGTCATGCAAGCAGAGGGCTTGATCCAGAGGACTACGTTGAGGGCGGAAACCACCTTGGGCAATGTCGAGAGCAGGAGAATGGGCATCCAGTTCAGGCATGAGAGAGAACTCAAACAGTTTGCGCACAACAGAAGTCAGAGAAATAGGCCTATAGTTGGCGGGATCAGAAGCATCGCCTTTCTTAAAAATGGGGAAAACTTGGGCTTGGCGCCAGAGAGCAGGAGTATACGACCGTTGATAGCACAACTTGAAGAGCAACGACAAGACAGGAGCAATCTCAGAGACCAAGGACTTGAGCATCTCAGCCTTGATATGATCTGGACCAGGAGCTTTATGTGTTGGGAGCCGTCGAATATGAGATACTAAAGTATCAACATCAAACAGTGACATGTCCACAGGCACACAGAAAGGCAGAACAGAGTCAAAGGTGGGAGGAGCAGCAGGACGAGTAGCAGTGGCAAGCAGAGAGCCATCATACACCGAGGCGAGATGAGAACCCATAGCAGAGACAGAAGCAGCAGGACCATCAGGGTGGCTGTACGTAGGAGAGGATTCTTTATTACGCTTGATGCGCTTAATAGCAGCAGTAGCTTTTGAGAAATCACACTCCAGGGCAGTACAAAATTGTTGCCAGGACCTTCGCTTTGCAGCTTGTACCAAGGAACGAAACTTGCGATGAGCAACTTTGTATAAGAACCATTTTTCAATTTTGGCAATACCAAAGGCATGCCTCCATTGACTATATGAGCGATCGCGTGCAGTAGCAGCATCCTGAATTTCTTGTGTCCAGTACTTCTTCCAATGGCCAGGACGACCAGATTTTACACCAATAGAACTATCCAGAGATTCATACAAACATTGATTCAGAGAATCGTTGAGTGCATCAATATCCGGACGAACACCAGGAGGAGCAGACACCAAACCAGAAAGAGTACCAACCAGAGGAGCAACAGAAGATCGAAAGGATTCACGGAGTAAGCCCAAAGACTTATCTTTCGTCAATTTCGAGAGCTTTCATTGACGCCGAGGAGCCAGAACAGAATCACCAGGAGCCACAGTGTCATCAAGAGGTGGCACATACCCGAAAGTAAGTGACATCAATCGATGGTCAGAACCAAGAGACAGATCAGACTCAACCACCAGTTGAGGATTCACCAAAGCAACATCACCAATATTTGTCAAAAACAAATCAATGATACTACTCAATTCTTGCTGCTGCCGAAGAGAAGAGTACGTCGTAACGCCAAAAGCCAAAGACGCATTGAGTACAGACAAGCAGTGTTCATCAAACCAAGGTTTGAGAGCATTACCACGAGCATTGGAGATAGCATCACCAGTCAGAGGACCCAACCGAGCATTGAAATCACCGCAGAGAATAGTATCCCTAGTCATAGGTAATGAGCTGAGGGCCGAGAGCACCTTATCAGAGGATAAGGGTGGAGGAAAGTAAACACAATGAACCGTTAGGGTGCCAACCTTGAGAGACAGAGTGTGCGGATTGTATGAAGGGAGTTGGGAGACAGTGAAGGGACAGGAAGGAGAGACAAAGGCAGTGACACCACCAGAACCACGATTGAAAGCACCAGGTACTTTTGAACCATAGAGATGGAATTGAGACCAATTTGTTGGAAAAGAGCCAGATGTAAGCCAAGTTTCAGTAACCAGCAGAACCTGAGTATCCAGTACATGAGAGAGAACATCATGGACTGTTGATTGGCGAAGACCATTGGCATTCCAAAGTGAAAGAGAGACGAAAACCGGGGAGACAGGCACATTAACATTATTAGGCAGTATAGATGGGGAGGAGAAGGAACTCATTATTGATCCACATCAGACATATCACTATCAGATCCAGCCTTGTCCTGGGAATCAGAGTTCAGCTTGCGACGGAACAGGAAATCAGCCTTTTTGGGCTCCTTCTTAGCAAAGCATTCAACGGCCTGAGCAACGGCAACAGAGAGACTTTCATCGCAGATCCAACCTTTCTGTATAAAGTACTTACCGACACCACTAACATTAAGTGGGCGGAGGAAGGACAAAGTTTGCAGGCAGCGAGCTTCAGTAAATTGGTGGATCAGAGCATGACGATCATCATCAGAGAGGCTGGCGTACTTGGGATCAGCAATATTGCTGGGGTCCAATGGATCAAAAGCAGGAAACAGTTCACCCTTAGCCTTGGTCAATAGAGCAGTAAACTCCTCAACGTATTGAACGTGCAACAGAACACCAATAACATGGGAGGCAGGAAAGCAGATATCCAAGACACGACCCAGATCAACACTAGCATTAGCTAGATGCTTACGCACTTCAGAACGTTGGATCTTTCGGGATCTACCAATATATACATATTGATAGCCCTGGACACCTTTGGTAGCAGCAGTGGTAAAGGCACGACCAGCAGCAAGACGTTTTTTGTCTTTTTTCTTAGGATCAGGCTTGTGAGCAGCAGCAGTAGCGATTTGGGCGAAATTAGGAGCTTCCTTGAGAGGCTTTGGAGACACTGGGATAGAGGAACTTTCGCCCCCCTTGGGTCGACCCGAACCAGGAGAAGTGGTGTGACTAGTAACTGGACCTTGTTGTAATTTTTGAATAACCAGGTCTTTGTCTTGTAAAATTTTTTTCAGATCCTTGTTTTCTTGTTCCAAAGCAGCCAAACGTGTAAGGAGGTCCTCATGCTTGTTAACTTTCTCTGTTACCAAAGTAAGTTGTTGCTGGATTTGTTGCAGTATCGCTGGAAAGTGACTCATATCCAGAGCTTGTAGATTGGTGTCCATGGCGTTGAATATTTTTTGAAATTCCAACAATTCGAAAAAATATGAAACAGGTGTACCACAATTCTGAAATTATAACACAATAAACTGTTGATGGATGCAAGTATACTGGTACAATTTCGAGTGGATTGGAGTACTGGATGATGAGATATTACGTTTCTTGTGGTTTTCAGGATACTTTTTCCGAAGAGGGTGGCAAAAAGTGTCGAAAAACGGGGCCTAGCTAGCTCAGTTTAAGATTGTTTTTATTTATATACAATGTTTTATAATTGGGCACTCGGTATGAGCATATGCCATAAAACTAGTAACTATATAGACTAAAGAAAGAAAACCTCAACAGAGACAACGGAAAAGATGAGGAAAAAAGTTTGAGATGGCCGTAAAAGAGCAGAAGACTACTTGTAGTGGCACGATTGATCTTGAGGGATGAACCAACGGATGGGAACTTTGATTTGACTTACCACCGAGGCACCGCACAAAGAAAACAATCGGCCAAACGTTCATCTCAGTTAGCCATGAGAGGGAGGATAGAACCACAATGATCCGGGATCAGGATCAGGGGCGATAGTAGCCAAAGGGTGGACCAGACAGTCGATTGCATGAAACAAAGATAGTAACGCAGACCAGTATACTGGAGGACCAGCAGAACCACTTATAGGCAGCATGTTCAGGGCATTGTCAATGACATGTACACCAGGAGGAGCAGCAGGCAGAGCATCCCACAGATCACGATCCAAAGCACGACATTGAGGGAAGTGATTTCGAGAGATGAAAGATCCATCCATGCAGGGACATTCCTCACGCATGTTTGCAAAACGACCAAGACGCCAACAAACCAAACGACTACGAGCAGATCGACCAATAGGTAAGTACAGTATGGGATCAGGGCGAGAGACAGAAGGACGGCACGCACGAAGCAGAACATGTTTACCAGTAGTAGTAGCTGCAGCTAGTTGTTGATCCACCTGATCCTGCCAGAAGTCAGAAAAGTGAGCCTTGAGACCAGCAAATGAAGGGACAGGGTCAGGCAGAGATCTATACAAACTGTTTTCACAGATGTACCGATCCAGTCGAGTGTACGACAGAGCATCACGAAGAACCACCACAAGACTATCCTCAGGTAGAGTAGCAGAACGAAGAGCATACCTAGTTGCCAAGACATTATACCGATGTTTCATTGAAGGGAGACAGGTAATGTGCTTAGCAACGTTGAACCAGGAACCACCCACGAACATACCAACCAGCCGGTTTTGGAGCTTGTCAAGAGCCTCAAAGGTACGATAGTCAAGATGAGATATAGCGAGGCCATACTCAATCTTGGGTCTAACGAAAGCCTTGTACAGACGAGAACAGAGCAGCAGAGAGAAACCATTACGGTTGACACCAACAGAGTTCAGCAGAGCCATAACCTTGACAGCACCAGCGGACCGCAGAGACAAGATACTAGGAGCATGTAGCCCTTTATATCGAAACGGCATACCAAGATACACAAACTCATCTACCACCGGCAGCGGCTCATTGTAGAGAGTAAGACGAGCATCAGAGAGGGCAGCAGGAGAACCGAGCACAGCACATTTAGATGGCTTCCACCTATAACCAAGACAGACAGAGTGTTCAGCAGCAAGATCCAACATAGACTGGACACCAGACAAAGACCCAAAGATAGCAACATCATCGGCAAAGAGCAAGCTATTGATGGCAATAGGACGACTAGCACCAGAAGGACTGACCATCGTAGCACCAGTATCAACAGAACGCAAAAGATTCGGTAAGGAGTTGATATACAACGAATACAAATGAGGACTGAGTACTGAGCCTTGAAGTACACCAGTAACAGGAGAGAAAGCAGCAGAGGTATGATTAGCAATCAAGACTGAGACTGAGACATCGTCAAACATGTTCATCAAAAGACCCAGAACAGGACGAGGAAGTGTAGAACCAGCCAGGGCTTGCCATATAACCCTACGATCGACAGTATCATAAGCAGACTTGATATCCAAGAAAGCCACCACAGGATAGCGACGGTGAGTCAGAAAGTAATCATGCATCAAGTCATGCAAGCAGAGGGCTTGATCCAGAGGACTACGTTGAGGACGGAAGCCACCTTGAGCAATATCCAGAGCAGGGGAGTGTTCATCCAGAGCCGGCATGAGACAGAACTCAAACAACTTACGCACCACCGAAGTGAGCGAAATTGGTCGATAATTACCAGGATCGGAAGCATCACCCTTCTTGAAAATCGGAAACACCTGGGCTTGGCGCCATAAACCAGGAGTATAAGACCATTGATAGCAGAGGTGAAACAGCAGAGAGAGCACTGGGGCAATTTCTGAGGTCAGAGCTTTTAACATCTCAGCCTTGATGTGGTCAGGACCAGGAGCTTTATGCGTCGGCAGACGTTTAATACACAGTACCAAGGTATCAGTATCAAACAAAGACATGTCCGCAGGGAGACAGAAAGGCAAGTCAGAGACCATAGGAGTGACAGGAGCAGGACGAGAAGCAGTATTTAATAGAGCACCTTCGTAGACCGTAGCCAAATGAGAGCCCATAGTAGCAACAGAAGCAGCAGGACCATCTGGGTGACTGTACGTAGGTGAAGACTCTTTATTGCGCTTGATGCGTTTTATAGCAGCAGTAGCTTTTGAGAAGTCTCTTTCCAGAGCACCACAGAACTTATGCCAGGACTTGCGCTTAGCAGACTGTACCAGAGAGCGAAAACGGCGATGAGCTTGCTTGTATAAGACCCAACAATCAATCTTAGTATACCCAAGGGCATACCGCCATCGACTGTAGAGACGATCCCGTTCAGTAGCCGCGTCTTGGATTTCTTGCGTCCAGTATTTCTTCCAATGGCCAGGACGGCCAGACTTCACACCTATTGAGCTATCCAAACATTCATACAAACATTGGTTCAAAGAACCGTTGAGTGCATCAATGTCGGGACGAGTACCAGGAGGAGCAGACACCAAACCAGAGAGAGTAACAATCAGAGGAGCAACAGAAGATCGAAAGGATTCACGGAGTAGGCCCAAAGGCCTCTCTTTCGTCAATTTCGAGAGCTTCCATTGCCGCCTAGGAGCCAGAACAGAATCACCAGGAGCCACAGTGTCATCAGGAGGTGGCACATACTCGAAAGTAAGTGACATCAATCGATGGTCAGAACCAAGAGACAGATCAGACTCAACCACCAGTTGAGGGTTCACCAAAGCAACATCACCAATATTTGTCAGAAACAAATCGATAATACTACTCAATTCTTGCTGCTGCCGAAAAGAAGAGTAAGTCTTAACACCAAAAGCCAAAGACGCATTAAGCACAGATAAGCAATGTTCGTCAAACCAAGGTTTGAGAGCATTACCACGAGCATTGGAGATAGCATCACCAGTCAGAGGACCCAACCGAGCATTGAAATCACCGCAGAGAATAGTATCCCTAGTCATAGGTAATGAGCTGAGGGCCGAGAGCACCTTATCAGAGGATAAGGGTGGAGGAAAGTAAACACAATGAACCGTTAGGGTGCCAACCTTGAGAGACAGAGTGTGCGGATTGTATGAAGGGAGTTGGGAGACCGTAAAGGGGCAAGAAGGAGAGACGAAAGCAGTGATACCACCAGAACCA